CACACACTTAAAAGACCCTGTTTAAATAGGGCTTTGATGCAGCAGTGAAAATACCTCACAGTGTTGTTGATATTTTAATGAATACTCATGAGAATGATTTGTAAAATGTGAAACATCATGAAAATATAGGTAGTTTTCTATGTACATTAATGAAACTGCTTTTGTATATACTTCCTTCACTTCTCTTTTTTCTTCTATTCAGTGAACATGACCCCTACGTTAATAGAACTTACTCTCTGTTGCCCCATCTAGCTCGGTCAGGGGAGGCAGTAAGAAATTGGCCTTGCTGGGAGGCACTGGGAAGCATCAGTGCTGCCAGGTAGTTGGCTGGAAGGGAAGAGCTCTGTGCTGGAGTGCTGCCTCCACCACCTCAGCTCCTGGGACTGCTGACGAACACCTGAGTGTCTCCATAGAAAGTATGAAAACAGCTGAAGCTCCACAGCCTTGCCAAGTGTTGTCTGTATTTCATCCGTCTTGCCTGTTCCATTCTCTAGAGGATGAATACAGTGGTGTGTGCATCCCCCCTGCACCCATGGTTACCACAATCTCCCAGCATTGCAGAGAAGTCCAACACTGTGTCTTTCTTTCCCTCTGTTGCATCTGCTTATCACTGAAGTGAGACAGTTTCTTTTGTAGTAAATAATCTGTCTTTGAATAAGCCAAGCTAGCCTTGTCTTTGTGCACTTTTGGTTATGTGTTTTACTGATCTATTCACTACCACTTTTTTTTTTGTTTTTTCCTGGTACAAGGATCGAACTGACGACCTCGTACTTGCCATGCAGGCACTTAAACACCAATGAGCTAAATCCTTGGCCCTTCACTACCACTTGTTAATTGAGAATTATCAACAGGATTCTCAGTGAAGTTCTTAATTTCACATTACAAATAATTCTTATTCTTGCAAAGGCTGGACTTTGCTGATCTCTGTTCATTTTGAAGGGGCAAACTGGAGTTTCAGATGGAGGCAAATTGGATAGAGCTATTCATTGCATTTTGTGCAATTGAGAAGTGGAGCCTTTCCCCAAGGCACTTTACCTTTGTTAGATGCAGATGCCTTAATCAGTAAGTATGTTCCAGGTGCAGGAGCTAGTGTTGAGCATACATGATGAGGGACATGACCAGTTTATTTCACAGAATACATTTTGCTGGCTAAACTTTTCTGGTTATTAAAGTAATACAAGGTCATTATGAAAATTAGAAATTATCGGAAAGTAGAAAACCTAAATTACAGGGCTGAGAATTTAGCTTAGTGGCACAAGCACCTGCCTGGCAAGTGTAAGGTTTGATTCCTGGTATGAATGAATGAATGAATGGAAGGAAGGAAGGAAGGAAGGAAGGAAGGAAGGAAGGAAGGAAGGAAGGAAGGAAGGAAGCAAGGAAGGAAGGAAGCAAGGAAGGAAGGAAGGGAGAGAGAGAAAGAAAGAGAGAAAGGAAAAAGAAAACAAAGGACAAACCTAAATGACTCAGAACCTCATCACTCCAGACATAGCTCCTGATTTTTATTACCTATTTTTATATCTTGAATATTTTTAATATAGGCTCAAAAATAATTTTACTATATAACCTTTATTGTATAAACTCAGTTTACTCAAAATGGACTGTCTCTTATTCATAAAGGAGGCTGACACAAATAATCCAGTAAGTAAATAAGACATCAGCGGATCCCATAGCTGATGGCCCTGTGCTGACACATCTAGTCTTCTCCACTGTGACCATGCTCTTTCAGTGGACATTAGCCTCCTAACTGGTTCTTAGCACCTTTATCCTCATCCTTGTTTACGGCATCTGTTGTCCATTTAATAGCTAGAGAATTCTTTTAAAAGCATAAAATAGACCTATGTATAGTGCTGATTTGGATTCTAGAGTAAGGAATGTACAAAGTGACTGTGAAGACAAGATATTAACAGAGTAAGAAAATGATAGAGAATAGAACCATAATCATGAAATTGGAAATGGTGCATATGGACAGAAACACTGCAGTTATTTGTGACTTAAGATCACATCAAAAACTGAAGAGTTTGTTTGTTTGTGAGACAGGGCCTCATACCAGCACTACATGCAGGCCAAGATAAGCAGCTGGCAGTCTTATGCAGCTGGGGCATGGTGTGTTAGATACAGCGACCAAAGGTGTGAATCTGGTACTTCATTTGTTCCCATGGATTTGTGCTCGAAACACAAGTAATCTAACTTGTGCTTGATGAAGACTTGGGAAGAAATTAGCAGAAATTGTATGGAGAAACCTGCATATAGTAGTTACCGTCTTCTTTTTTTAAATTTTTGAGACAGAGTCTTGCTGTGTAGTTCAGCCTTGCTTTCAACTCACTGTGTAGCTCAGGTTGGTCTTGAACTCATGGTAATCTTCTTGCCTCAGCCTCCCAAGTGCTGGGATTACTGGTATGCATGCTACCACCTGGCAACTGTTGCCATTTTAAAAGTGTTAACAGCCAGTGTATCTGCAGTGTCTTTTGTCCCAAGCTAGGTGGAAAATTTGCTATCAGAAATAAAAAACAAAACACTGCCAAGCATCTTAACCAAGGAGTTGCAGTTTGTGCAGTCAGCTGGGATGGTCCATAAAAGCCACAAGACTTGCTTATCTAAAGAACTTAAGGCTTATTTTAGAGCTATATAGTTGGGATAACAGTTACCCTTTCAGAGCCACTGTGTTGGTCTGGATTTAACTTCCAGTATGGATCTTCGTGTCTGTTGCCCTCTGGAATTTTAGTACAGGTATAGCAGGTACAGATGGTTTTTCTGTTAAGGAGGTGTTTTGTGGTTTTTTAACCTCACTGTACTGGATTCTGCCTCTCTGCAGGTGTCATCAATTTATTGATGGTGAGGATTTTTGTTCTGCAAAGTCTTGAAATGTCCTGTTTTCAGATGTATGTCTCACATACTTTGCCCATGTTGTGTCACTGTTGATGATTCCGATTGCTGCAACTGTACTCAGCTGTTCTCTCCTGGTGATGCTCCAGCTTTGCAAGCCTTGCACAGAACTGGCTGCTGCATTCTCTACAATTTCACCAACTTTGCCTAATACTGTTGACCAAGTATTTAGATACTTCTTGTAAAGTCCTCTCTGCTGCCTTTTATGCTAAGTACATACTAAGAAAATGACACATTGACCTCCCCTCCCTGGTAAGCAGTGGTGGTTTGGCAGACTGCTGCCCTTCCAGGGGGAGAACCAGCCGCAGCTCTTGAGATCTGTGCCATGTTGGAACTTAGGACACTGGGAAGCCAAACAAACCAGCCTGCCTCCCTGCTGGGCAGAGGTGAGCCTGCTGATGCGTGGCCTGGGGTCGGATATCCCACTTCCCCTATTTCCCCCCCACTCACCTACCCATTAGTGAGAGGGAACCAGAAATCTGAGTGTCTCCTGTGAGGTTGACCATAGCAAATGGGGGGACTTCCTTCTGCCATCTCTTTCAAGGCAGATATTTTTATTCCTGTTTTGCTCTTTTCTGATTGATGGTACTGCTCAATTCAATATTCTGTTTTGATGGGTTCTATAGTGTTCTATATTTCATCTCATTTTGATACACGTGATTGAAAGAACAACTATTATAAAGATAACAAAATATACTGTGATACCTATTACTGTTATCCCGGTAACCTGCTGTGAAGTTCTGTACCAATTTCACTGTACGATCTTAGTTCGCTTTATTCTGTCTTGTTCTGTAGTATACTTTCAAAATAAAATTTAAAAAAAAAAAGAAAATGACACATTGTCCAATAATTTTGAAACAGTTGCAGATGTCACTGTCACTTTTATGTGTGTAGATTTAGAAATTCAGGTATTGTTTAATTTGCTTTTATTTAAAAATCATAAACTGTATGAAGAAGACTATGGGTTAAGTGTGATATATTTGACTACAGTTAAATCTTTCAAGTGCTTGAAATACAGTATGTTTAATTGTAAAAGAATATATAAGTGGAACCAAAGTGTAGTCCCTGTTCAGAAAATTACAACTTTTTAGAGTGGCCAGAACTTTGGAAAATAAAATAAAAAATTAAGTAATGTCAAATCACACTAAAACATCTCACATAGAAAAGTATTGTAGGGGCTGGGGATTTAGCTCAGCGGCATAAGCGCCTGCATTGCAAGCAGACAGTCGTGAGTTCGATCCCTGGTACCAATAAAAAAGGAAAAAGACCAAAAAAAAAAAAAAAAAAAAAAAAGAAAGAAAGAAAAGTATTATAACTGGGTGTGGTGCTGCACACCTGTAATCCCAGCACTTGGGAGGCTGAGGCAGGAAGATCACCATGAGTTTAAGGCTAACTTGAATTGTACAGTGAGACTTTGTTTTCAGAAGAGAGAGAGAGAGAGAGAGAGAGAGAGAGAGAGAGAGATAAGAAAGGAAAGGAAAAAAAAGACAGTTTTGTAAAGTTTTAAAAAAGACAAAAAGAAATTACATGTGTTATAAAATAAGGTAGCACACATCTATAATCCCAGGATTTAAGACACTGAGGTTTTCAGGCCAACCTGGACTACATGGCAAAACTCTGTCTCAAAAAAAATAATAATAGATTAATAACCAAGTAGGTGGCTCAAGTGAACATACACAGATAGACTTCTTTTTGCCAAACCATTTGAAAGTAGGTTAAAAATATTATAGGCTGATTCTTACCTGTAATCTCAGCACTTGGGAGGCTAAGGTAGGAGGATTACCACAAGTTTGAGACCAGCTTGAGATACATAGTTTAAGGCCAGCCTATACTACATTGTGAGACCCTCTCTCAAAGGAAAAAGAAGCCTTCATTATTTGTCTTCCAAAAATAGAAACATTCTCCTGTACAGCTACAAAACAGTCCTGTACACAATTTAGGAATATCAGTATTAATTCAACCTCGTGATCTTTGTGCAGTCCTTATTCACATTTTCCTCTTTTAGAAGAAAATCAATACTATAACTTTTAAATGTGTGTGAGGTGCCTTTTCTTATAGAAGAAAATGACTGTGTTTATTGTTTGCTTACTCTGCTTTTTTTTACCTTTGCGGTTTAGCTGCTTACATCCGTTTTTGACAAAAGCATCAAGACTTTTGGAGTAATTGAAAGTGACCCTTTTGACTGGGAGAAGACTGGAACAGATGGCTCTCTAACAACCACCACCACCTCCACCACCCCTCAGCTGCACACCCGTCTGACCCCTGCTGCCATTGGGTATGTCCTGACAGTTCATTTAGCGCTGCCTCTTCTGTGTACATCATATTAGCAGCAGTTGCCTGCAGTCCACCCAGCTTTGTTCAGATGATCAAATGCTAAACATAGGGGAAAACATATGGATTGCCTTGAATGAAACTTGCTTTTGTAAAAGATAGTAGAATTACTTACCTTAAAAAAAAATTTAAAAAAAAGAATTACTTACCTTAGAAGATAATGGTTTGTGCTGTGCAGTAGGAGCTTAGAGTTTGTATGACCATTGATGTCAGATTTACAGTGAGTTTTCTTCAGAATGTTGAAAGGAGTATTAGTTGTATTTCTGAAAAATATGTTGGACCCTAGAAAGAATAAAATACAATTGTATCTAACTATACTGTTATATATGTAACTGTGCTGTTCCTAAATTAGTAAGAACAAAACACATAATATGTTACTCTTACAAAAGCAATTTAAATTACCTAGTATGTTAGGAACAGATTACAATGTATTTCCATTTTCTCATTTTTGGCCTGTGAGTATGCATGTGTGGTAATGGAGATTGAATCCAGGACCTGTTATGTTCGTGTTATGCAAGTGCTGTGTCACTGAACTGCATCCCTAGCCCTTTTTCATCTTGAGGCAGGGCCTCACAAATTGTCTTTGCATTTGGAATCCTCCTGCCTCAGCTTCCTGAGACTGGATTCCAACTGTGCCCCACCACATTTGGCTAATTCCATGTTCTTAGTTTTTGTGTGTGTTTAATATTTTTTTCTATTATATATGTTAAGTATAGTTCCTCTTGTTTTTTGTTTCATTTTAAGTTTTGGTTTGTCTTTCCCCCATGATCTGCTTCTGTTGTGCTTTGCCTCTAAGCACAAAGTATGTGTGTGCTCTAGTGCTCATATTGACTGCTCATTCATACTCCTGAACGTGTCATAATGTTCTCGGGGAGCAATTGTTTATCTTATATCAAATTCTAGATTCGGATCAAATTCTGAGAAAAGGAAGGTAATATTAACTATGGAACTGGGAGTGGTTGGAAAGCAAGATAATACTCCTGGACACAAAGGAAGAAAAGATTTGAAAGAATACTTGAGGGGCTGGGGATTTAGCTCAGCGGCATAAGCACCTGCATTGAAAGCAGGCAGTTGTGAGTTCGATCCCTGGTACCGATAAAAACAAAAAAGACAAAAAAAACAAAAGAATACTTGAGTGATTAAAATGTGAAAAAAGTTATCTTTGAGACTAACTAAGTATCTGTGAGTTCAAATAAATGTATCTGTTTGCCTTTCCCTTTTTGCAGGAGTAGAGAGAATTCTTTGAATAAACTTTTAGAATACCATGTAGCTCACATAGCATATCTCCATTGCACTTGCCTCAGCAAATAAAGTATATTGAGCTTATACCTGAAAAATCTTTTAGTAGCCAGTTTATTTCTGATTGTAATTTTATAACAGATCAGTTCATTTGAAGTATTTCAAGCCAAACTACCTTTTAATGTGTTCCCAGAGTCAACTACAGGGACTACTAGGCTATAAGGATTTTTGCTGGCAGATATTATTAGTACTTTTCTAGATTATTTACCTATGAACTACTGATAGATTCATCTAGCATTGACCCATTTGGGTAGAGGTAGTAGTGGAGGGCATCAACTCAGGAGGGACAAGTCTGAGGGAAAGTATTGGTTTTGTCACAAGCATGTGAGGCATATGTGACACTGCCAGGGTGGGTTACCCGTGGGGGTCCCTGAGAGGATGCCAGCTTTGCCACTCATGATAACTACATGTGAGAGTCTATGCACTGTGTTTTCCTACATTCCAAATCAGTGGTAAGAAATTCCTCATGTGGTTTTTGGCTTCTTATTTTTGTTAGAAGCACCAGGGATTGAACCCTAGGAGTTTTGAGCTACATCCCAGCTACTGCCACTAGGGATTGAACCCAGACCCTTCATAGTGAGCTACACCCCCAGGCCTATTTATTTATTTATTGAGACAAGGTCTCATCAAGTTACTGAGTTGCCCATGCTGAACTCAAACTCGTAATCCTCCTGCCTCACATTTTCAGAGTGCTGAATTTGAAGATGTGTGCCATTGTACCCAGCTTAATTTTTTTAGACAGTCTCCCTACATTGGCCAGGCTAGCCTAGAACTTGCATTCCTGCAGTCTCAGCCTCCTGAAAGCCAGTATTACAGGTGTGTGCCACCACCCAGTGGTTTTTGATCTTTAGTGCTGCTGTGGACCAGAAGCAGTTTCAAGCGTGCTAGTCAAGGGCTTTACTGCTGAGTTACACCCCCAGCGCTAATTGTGTAATGAGTACTGTCGGCAACATTTTAAAAAACCAAAGAAGTACACACTATGAGAGCTGGCAGATGCCTTTTCTCATAATGAATGAGAAATAAAAAGCTTCTCATAGACCAGAACATGGAGTTACTTTGAAAGAAATACATAGACAAACACCAAAAAATATTTTCCGTTTTTCCCATGAAGAACTATCTGAACTATATAATTGCAGATTTTCTAATATCTCTTTTAAAGTAAAAATTTACTTCCTCCTTTCTGTGTTGCTAGGGCATTACATGCAGGGATGGAGGATGTTTACTGAAAATTTTGTACATGAAGAAAGCAATGTACATTTTGTCCTTTTAAAAAACATAGATTGATCTGATGCCATAGTTTCCTGGTTATTTATTTTCTATGAAAAATGGGTAAAGAATAGAAAATGGTATTATAACTGACAAAGATTTCTTGGAAAATAGACTAATATTTTAGACTTTTAAAATGATTGTCAAATCAGTGAATTATTATATTAGGATTTATATAAGTAGGTTCAGAATTTTTTAAATTTAGATGTTTTCTTTTGTAAAATGGGTACAAACTTTTCAAAAGTTGTTAAAAAAAAAAGACTTTTCAATTATATGTGGGCTTCATCATTTAAATTCCAAAACAACATGGAAAATAGTCTCATAGTATCTTACGATTCTGATCTACACTTTTTTCCTTACCTCACTTTTAGAATTGCCAATGCCACTCCTATCCCTGGAGACTTGCTTCGAGAAAATACAGATGAGGTGTTCCCAGATGAGCAACTTAGCGATGGAGAGAATGGCATGCCAGTGGGTATGTCACCAGACAGACTGCCTGGGTCTCCGGGGCACCCTCGTCCCCAGGAGAAGGATGTCTGGGAAGAGATGGATGTCAATAAGAACAAGATAAAGCTTGGAATATGTAAGGTGTGTATTTACTTTTTTTTTATTGCAACAAATCATAGTTCTCAATTTTGAATGAAAAATAGATGAAACATATTGTTATTTACATTTTCACAATTGCAGTGTTTTGGCTAATGTAGCCCCGAACATTCATGTTATGAGCAACAAACATTAATCTTCATCTTGTATTTTGTAGAAAAGATAAAGGTAATTAAAAAATAAGTAACAAGGGCTGGACATGCAGCTCAGTGATAGAACACTTGTCTAGCATCCATAGGCCTCTGGATTCAGTGCTCAGTCCTGCAAGAAGACAGAATGGATGGAGAAGACAAAATGCATGTTCAATAAATGATGCAAGTTTGTCTTGCATAGAACTGCTCTAGGTGCACCTGTCTATGAGGGGGAGATACAAATTTCTGAATCGTATGGCTGTTTTGTAATTTAGGAGCATATTTTTCCCAAACTTTTGTCAATCTCATTGTTCTTATTCTTTCCCCTTTGTAGAAGATAAATACAGTAGGACATCATGCAATGAATTATAAATCGGGTGTGTGTGTGTGTGTGTGTGTGTGTGTTTAGGAAGGTTTGCTTAGGAAGGAAGTTAAACTACCACTTAGGCATTGAGGCTTGGGATAATGTTTTAATATGATTGATTGAAACTTGACTGTTCATACATTATTCCTGGCATATATGCTGACAGGAACCAACTGTCGTCAGTTCCAAGGAGTTTGACCTGTCTTTGGAGACAGTTGTTAAAGTAAGGATATTGTTTCAGTTTTTGGGGGGCTGCTAAAGTGGGCATCCTAAAATGATTATATTATCCTAAGATAGGTAAAATATCCTAAGATAAGCACATTATAAGCAACAGAATTTTGTTCCTTGGAGTTCTAGAGGCTGGGAAATCCCAAGTCATGGCAGATTTGTTGAGGATCCACTTTCTGCTTCCTGTGTAGGGTATCCTCACATGATTGAAGAGGCAGAAGATCTCTCTTGGGCCTTTTATACAGATACTAATCTTATTTTTGAGAGTTCTACCTACATGATCTACCTAATCACCGCCCAAAGTCCGCCACCTAATATCATTACCTTGGGAGTTAGGATTTCAACATATGAATGTCAAAATGATACAAAAATTCAGAACATCCGGTAGCATGTACAGTGCATACTTTTTAAGTCATGGGAATTATTTTTAAAAATGCTCTCTCCAGGGTTGGGGATACAGCTCAGCAGCACAGTGCTGCCTGGCAAGCACAAGGTTCTAAGTTTGATTCCCAGTGCCAAAAAAAGAAATGCTGACACCCTTAACTCATATTATCATGTAAAGGATCAGAATAAAATCTATATAAAATATTCAAAAATGTTCTCTGTAGATACGTTATATGCCACAGTTCAATGTGGCTTTTAAATAAACTGTCTACCCTAAAGTCTTAGGAATGAGTCCTGAATATTAGTTAGGAGTAGGCCACACAAGTGTGTATGGCCCTGGGGATTTGAATCTAGTGCCTTGTATGTGCTAAGTGTGCACTCTACTGCAGAGTTACCGTTGCAGCCCTTTGTAGTAGCACCTGTGGTTGTCTTGATAATACTATGCTTTGTGTTTTGGTTTGGTTTGGTTTTGGGTTTTGAAACCAAGTTTGCTATGTAGTTTAGGCTAGCCTTGAACCCATTATGTAGTCCAGGCTGTTCTCAAACTCACACAGATCTTTCTGCCTCAGCCTCCCAAGTACTGAGGTTAAAGGTGTGCACTATTGCACCTGGCTCTCTCAGTCACCATCATATATGGATATTTATGTATGTGAACTAGGGAAATAGTACTTGACATAAAAGAGTTTAGTGAGTTTTCTTTTCTGTCATTCATTCATGATCTCTAATCTCAGTGAAACTGAAATGGCCAATGGTTTTCTCTCAAGTCACTGTCCAAGTATTTATCACAGTCATATATAGTTTCTTAAATTTATAGTGCATGCTGCTGTATATTATGAGCTCTCTACTCATTTTGAACATCTCTATAAAGTACTCAGCCAAATACTAAAGGAAAGACAATCATTGACATCTGAATTTATTCATTTTTTTAAAAATTAACAAAGTTTAATTTAGCACCTTCTGTTTACAACCCACTAAGCTAGGTGTTGTGCGGTTTCATTGTTGTTTTTGTTTTGTTTTCTTTTTGTGTGTTGTTCTGAGAGAGGTTCTCTCTATGTAACCCAGGCTGGCCTGTAACTCACAGCAGCAATCCTCCTGCTTCAGCCTCCCAAGTGCTGGGATTATAGGCCTGGCTTGTTGTGTGACTTAAAATTCATCTATTGTCCTTAAGGAGCTTAGAATATAAATAGGTACATATATATGTAACTAAATACAATAGAGGCAGAACATTGTACAAAGCAAGACCATTATAAGGAATAAGAAGCAGGGTATGATGGTACATGCCTGTGATCCCAGCACTTGGGGGGCTGAGACAGGAGGGTTGCTAATGAGTTCAAGGCCAGCTATGGCTATAAGCAAGACCTTGTCTTTTTAAAAAAATGGAATGAGAATGTGTGCAGATATAAGTGGGTTGGGGACGTGCCTCATGGAAGAAGTGCTTGAAATAGACATATAGCAAAAATTATATAAACAAAAATGTGCATGAGTGGACACTGTAACTTTAGGAATTTATTGGTCATCTAGGAGGAAAATTTTAAACAGCTAATTTTTGCCCAGCATGGCAGCACACACCTGTAATTGTTATACTTGGAAAGCTATGGCAGGAGAATTTCTGAGTTCACAGCCAGTGAGACTCTGTCTCAAACAAAATAAAACAAAACAAAAAACACAATAAAATAGGTATATGTATCCTTACAAAGCATAACTAAGCACATAAACGTGGCACTTGAGCCAAGAACTAATATATATATATTTTTTTGTTGTTGTTGTTTTGTGACAGGGTCTTACTGTGTAGGATAAGCCTACACAGCCTTGAACTCACTATGAAGCCCATTGAGATACTTTTCCATTTGTTACTCCTGCTTTTTAAAGTTCTATTTCTTCAGTTTTTTTGTGTTTCTTGCCTACATTTTAGGACTGTAGGTTTTGTTGATGTGTTTTTTTCTTCTGTTTTCTCTTTGCACTTATTTGGAATTTAAACATTCTAATTCTGTCTTTTGAACTGGAGAGAATGTGCATGCCTGTGGTCCTCAGCTCCTCAGTAGCTAAAAAGCAGAAAGATCACTTGTGCCCAGAAGTTCAGGGCTAACAAGACATTGAGACTTCTGTTTCTTAAAAAAGAAAAAGAAGAAATTGGATGATCATTTTCATTCTATTCTTTTAGTAGTTTACCTTGAAATGTTCTATGTATTTTTGATGTAAAGTCTGAAATTAAACAATTTTAACCACGTTTCTGATTTTTTTTTTTTTTTTTTTTTGTCTTTTTCCTTTTTTATCGGTACCGGGGATCGAACTGCCTGCTTGCAAGGCAGGTGCTTATGCCGCTGAGCTAAATCCCCAACCCCCGGGACTGGGGATTTAGCTCAGCGGCATAAGCACCTGCCTTGCAAGCAGGCAGTCGTGAGTTCAATCTCCGGTACCGATAAAAAAAAAAAGCAAAAAGACAAAATAAATAAATAAATAAATAAATCCCCAACGCCATGTTTCTGATATTTCAAGGTCTTTGGGAAATTTTAATTTTAGTCATCCTCCTAGTATTTTACTTCTTCTGTTTTTTAGATCATTCCTTTTTTAAAAAAATTACTCAACTTAGCTTATTACTATATGTAATATGTTCTTTTCTTTTCTCTAAGTAATGTTTATATGCACTTTCAAAGATGTTTACCATTTCCTTTCATTTCTGGAAGTCTTGGGATCATCTTCCTTAAACATTTCCCTTAGAAGTTCCTTAAACTTTGGACCTTATATTTTATTTTAAATTCTTGTAGTGCTAAGGATCAAACCCAGGGCCTTCTGCAGGCTATATAAACATTTTCCACTCAGCCATATTCCTGATTCATTTCAGATTTTTGATAAAATATTTTTTTGAAGTTTACTTATCTAAAAATGTGTTTTAGTTTTATTCTTTCCAGGTAGTTTATGTTGGATATAAAATTTTGATTGATGCCATTTTTCCTCTGGTTTTCAGTTGCCATTCCTTTTTATTGATTTGTTTTTCTTTGTTGATGATCAGTTCTCTTTGGACCTCCTGCCCTCTTCCTTCCTTCTCAGCTACTGTTTTGACCTTGGCTGTGATGTTCTGCATTTTACCTATGATTTGTCTAAGTATAATTTCTTTATTTTTGCTTAGCATATCTTTTATATCTTGAATATTTTGATTCATATTTTTGTATCAATTCTGGGATGTATGTATCCATTCTCTATTAAATATTGTTACTTTTCATGCTTTTATTTCTTTCTGGGACTCCAATCAGATATATATACATTAAGCCTTTTTATTCTGTCTTTCATATCTCTTAATATATCTTTTCATATTTTTCCTTTTCTTGTGTTCCACAAGTAATTTGTTTGACTATGTCTTCTAGTCCATTGATTACAGATTAATAACTCTCTTTGTTCTTCCTTCCTGCTTCCTTTACATTTTTTTAAGTTTTTGAGACAGGTCTCACTGTGTTGTTTAGGCTGCCATGAACCCGCAGCAGTCCTCTGCTTCAGCCTCCTGAGTATTGGGATTACAACTGTGCACCTCCACGTCTGGCTTTTTTTTTTTTTTTGAAACAAGATATCACTCTTAGTTCAGGCTAGTCTTGAGCTCACTATAGGACCCCGGGTGGCCTCAAAGTTGAGATGATTGTCCTCCCAAGGGCTGAGATTACAGGCTTGTTGCCACTTTGGTTTACTTTTTTTGTTTGTTTGTACTGGAGATCAAACTGATGACCTCACATTTACCAAACAGGCACTGTTTGTTGGCTAATCTTTTAATTTAATTTAATGTTTCATATTAATTTAATCAGTTAATTGCTTTATTGACTTATAATGATTTATTTAAATATTTTGTACATAAAATTGTTTCGTGTCAAGTAAGTTTGATATCTGAAGTTTTTGAGAGCTTTAAATGTTATGTTTTAAATTATTATTTCTGCTGACTCAGTTATTGTGGCATGCCTTCTGTATTTATCATTAGTATTCATTAATTAATAATTCAATGCGAATTCAAATTGGGGCTCAAGTCACCTTCCCTCTGAGAAGATAGTTGGAGTGTGCACCTCTCTGAGAGCACTAGCTCCTCCTACAGGTCTCATCAGAACCGGTTTGACAGACTTGGCTTGCTCACTCCTTTGTAAAGCAGGAGTTTTCTGATAATGATGTTGCGGCCACCTCTGTCCTTAAACAGCCCCCTCTGTGCTCCCTCATGCTCTTGCTCTGCTCTGCTTACTGTTCTAGCCTCTGAGCTGCCTGTTACTTGTTTTTGAGAGAAGGAATGAGAAAGGGAAGGGGAAGGAGAGACTTGTGTTCAGTGGTCTCCCTTTACTCTTGCAAGGCCATTTATGTCTCAAACAGACTGCATTTTCCAGGTTTTAGCTTTAGCTTAGCAGAGTAGGATCCTGCAATTATCTGAACAGATACTATGCAGAATGCTGAAGTCAGACTGAGTGTGGTGGCACACATCTGTAAGCCCAGCGCGCAGGGAGGCTGAGACAAGAGGAACACAAGCTGCTTCCAGTTAGTGATACTCTATCTCAGAATAAAAAGGAGGGGAAGGAATGGGGAAATAAAAAGAATTAGTAAGTGTTATTTACATGCGCCAACTTCTCACAATAGATGTAATCATCATATACTGCAAATATGTACTAATAAAATTTTTTAAAAATAAGACCAGATGTAGTGGTTCATGCCTATAATCCCAGCATTTGGGAGGTCAAGGCAGAAGAATCACTGCAAATTTGAGGCCAGCATGAGCTACAAAGTGAGTTCAAGGCCAGCTAAACTGCCTAGTGAAACTTTGTCTCAAAAAGATAACAATAAAATAAAAAAGGAAAAGTAACTAAGGGTTGGGGATGTAACTTAGCACTAGAACACTCCAGTTTATAGCCTCAGCATTGAAAAAAAAAAGCCAAAGTCATCAAACATTTTAGATGGTTATTTTGTACCCCCCCCCAAAATTTTAAATAACTGAAATGTAACTATAAAGTATTCTTTTATAATAAAGAGGTAATAGGAATGCAATTAAGTAAACTACCCAAAATATCCTAATCTTCCAAAAACACATTTAATCATTTCTTTGCTTCTTTCTTTCATCTTTTATTTTTATTTATTTTTGTCTTTTTGAGACAGTTTCAGTATACTGGTTCAGGCTGGCCTTGAACACACTTTGTAGCCCAGGCTGGTTTCAAGCCTCCTGAGTGCTGGGATTAGAATCATGTTCCACCAAGCCCAGCTAATCATCTGTTTGTTTCAGTGATTTCTCCCAGGGGAAGTACCTGGAGTGTTTTTTCATGCCTTTATTTTCCATTTTTCTAGGCTGCTACTGAAGAAGAGAACAGCCATGGCCAAGCCAACGGTATTCTCAATGCTCCAAGCCTCGGCTCCCCCATCCGCGTCCGCTCAGAGACCACCCAGCCAGACAGGGATGCTCCACTGCTGCGCAAGTTACGCTCTATCCACAGCTTTGAGCTGGAGAAACGGCTGACCTTGGAGCCGAAGCCAGATACTGAAAAGTTTCTTGAGACCTGGTATAAAATAGGTTTTCTTCCTTTTTAAAGATTCTAATGTACCATTAGTATTATTTTCTTGAGAGTGTCTCATTAATACAGTTTAGTTCAGAGTGGTGTTGAATTCTCTGTATAGCCCGGACATGCCTCACATTTTGGAGAGATTTTCCTGCTTCATCCGCCACAGAGCTGTGATAATAGGCACATGCTACCATGCACAGCAATATTTCTTTTGTTTTTATTGGTACATTTTAGATATGCATAATGATAACATTCATCATAAGGAATTTGTACCTATACATGATATATCTTGCATCTTTTGTTCCCCATTCCCCTCACATCCCTTTAACTTCTTTTCCTCCTCATACACATAAAAATCCTTCCATTTTTTCCCTTCTATTCTTTTTTGTTCTTGTCCCCCTCCTTCCCTTCCTCCTACTCCCTTCCTTGTTCACATACCCATTTAAACATTTTTCTCCCCATTTCAAAATATCTACTATATAGCTGGGGGTTGATCCGTCCCACGGATCGGGTCCGTGGGCCTCGCCTGGAGAAGGGACGGGGATGAAGGGCCAGGCAAGAGAAAAGAGAGATGGAGACAAGGCGGGATTCCATTCAAGTCTCGTTTATTCTTAAAATGGCTACAACTTATATAGGGTGAAGGCGGGCCAATGGGGCAGGAAGAGGGCAACAGAGTATTATCTGATAGGTCTTCGTCACATCCGGATATATGAGGTAAGCAGGAGAGGATTATGGGAGATGTAGGCTGAAGCGGGAAGTTGCTCACGTCATGCGCACTGTAGGCAAGGGGAAGATCATGGGAAATGTAGGCTGACACACAAAATGCCCTCAGGTGGAAGGGGCAGGGCAGCAGCAGCCATTCTGAGCCGCTCCCTACAGGGGGTAGTTGCACATGCTTATAATCCCAGCACTTGATAGGCTGATGCAGGAGAATCACTATGAGTTTGAGACCATCCTGGGCTACACAGTGAGACCCTGTCTCAAAAAAGCAGAATCCTCTTACACAGTTTGGCCCTTATTTATACTTTCAGTTTCTCACATTAGAGAAACAAGGTGGTATTTAAGCATCTGATTTATTTCACTTGAGTGTGTGGTCTCACGGTGCATCCATTTAGCTAGAAATGTCTCAAGCATATCCTTCACAGCGTCCTTTTTTTTTTTTGTCTTTAAAACAAGGTCTCACTATGCAGTTTGGGCTGGCTTTGAACTCACTTTGTAGCCCAAGCTGGTCTCTAATTCACAACATTCCTGCCTCAGCCTCCCCAGTGCTGGGATTATAGGCATGCACCACCATGCCCAACCTTCTTTTTTATGTTTAAAAAAAAAAACACATCTTCTTTATCTGTTCATTGGTTAATGGGAATTTGGGCTGTTTCCTAGATTTAGCTATTACCAACTGTGCTACCATAAACATAGATGTGCATGTATTGCTGTGGTAGGATGCTTTTAATTCTTTTGAGGAAGATACCAAGAATGGGAATAGCTGGGTCAAAGAAACTCTAGTTTTACAGTTTTAGACTGGTTGTACCAGTCTATACTCCCACCAGCAGTGGAGAAGAGTTACCTTTTCCCCAAAGCCCTGCCAGCATTTTTTATTAGTTGGTTTCTCTTTCCTTTCTTTTTTTGTACCAGGGATCAAATTCACAACCTTGTGCTTGCAAGGCAGGTACTGCACCACTGAGCTATGTCCCTGACCCTGATTTATTTTATTTTATTTTTGTCTTTTTCATTTTTATCGGTACTGGGGATCGAACTCACGACTGCCTTCTTGCAAGGCAGGTGCTTATGCCGCTGAGCTAAATCCCCAGCCCCCCGATTTCTTGATAATAGCTGTTCTTTCTGGAATGAGATGGAATTGCATTGTGGTTTTAATTTGCATCTCTAGAATGACTAGTGATGTTGAATGTTTTTTCATAAATTTGCTCTTTGTACTTCATCTGAGAAGTATGTATTTATCTCAGATGCCCGTTTTTAGATCAAGTCTTTAAATGTGGAGAGTCTCCCTATGGTCTTGTTTTGAGGTCCTGTGTTGTTTCCATTGTTTTGATGGGTTGGGTTTTATTCTCTTTTGTTTTGTTTGATTATTTTAAATCCAATGGCAGGAAAAGCTATTTCAAGGATATCTGGATATATTATGGTAGCAATTTTGGATTTACTAATGACTTATTTGAAATTCTGTATTGCATTCATTGTTTTGTTTTTGTTTCTATTCTATTCTGTTGTTTGATTTCTACTATGTCTGAAGTTATCTGCAGCTGTTTGAAAGACATCTAAAGGCCTTATGCTAACTATTGTTGATTTCATAATGTTTTGAAGTCTTGTATCTCTTACACTTGTTTATTTTGATGGGTTTTATTCTGTTTAATCCTCTTTAAAATAAACAAAAATAAGTTTGAGGAGTCCTTTTTTTTTTTTTTTTTTTTTTGCAGTACTAGGGATCAAACTCTTGACCTCAAGCTTGCCAGGCAGCTTGTGCTGCTGAGCTAAATCCCTGGCCCCAGGAGTCCAATTTTTACAAGTTTTTTATATTCTAGATATTAATCCTTTGAGGAACAGCTGGCAAAATTTTTTTCCCTCATGCTGTGGCTCGTCTCTTTATACTTTTGCTGTGCAAAAGTTTTTTAATAAGATGAGATCCCTGTTGATTTTTTTGTGATATTTCCTGTGCAATCAGGGTTTCGTTCTTGAAGTCTTGGCCTACACCAGTGTATTCAAGAGTTTTACCTAGTCTATATTCCAGTATATTTAGTGTTTTCTGTTTTATGTTATCCTTCTTTGCATCATCTAGCAGCTGTTAGATTAATTTTTCATGGTCTCGTGGTCTTAAGAAACCTTTCTTTCCATGATAACTAGTCACAATCCTCTCTTCTATTTCTGTTGTTCTTTCCTTATATTGCCTCATTCTGCTGTGTATACTTTCAGTGGAATTTTTAATCTCCTAGACATCTATTTTAATCTGTTTCATGGATCCCATTTCTTTCCTATGCTGAGCATTCATAGTTTCCATCAGTTTACTAAGTTTACTCTTTTTTTATCTGTATCTGCTATACAGTCACTAACCATGTCTTTCATTATGGTCAGCATCTCTGTAGTTATCTGAGAAATTATTTCTAATTTGATTTATTTTGAGAGCCTCTTTCATCTGCTTTGTTACTTTTGCTATTACCATTTCAGAGAGTCCAGGTGAAAATGGCTTTCAAATTGTTCCACCTCATTACTCTCAAGGTTTGACTTTAGTGAGCTGGAAGTCTAGAGTTGCATCTTGCTTAAATATCTTCTCACTTTCTAATATTTTTTAATTTAATCCGTAGGTTGATAGTTATAAATTGCTTATGGTGGGTAGCTTTATTGCTAGTATTTAAAATCCTTAGGATGTGACAACTCAGAGATTTCTTCACAATATAGCTAGGTTTGGGTTTTGAGTCTGCTGCAAGATCCTACCTCTTCAATTTATTGGGAATAAGAAGTTCAGCAGCCTGGTTGATCTAGCTGCTAGTTCTTTGGTACTGACGTAAGTGTTATTTATAACTCGTAGGCAGTCGCAGTCTTACGGATTAGAACAATTCTACCACCTTGGCTAAAGTAGTAAAAGCAGCAATAATAGTAGCATCAAACATAGCCTAGAAATGACAAATTAGTAGCTATTGATTTGCCACTTTTAACCAAATGAAGTAAATTTGTTATAAAACAAAATCGAAATCAACCCAGAAAATTGTATCAAGTAAATAAGACCTCAGTACTCTGATTTTATCCTCAAAAGAGAAAATTTAAAAGGGAGGAGGGGGAAAATACAGAAACAGAAGAAGAGGAAGAGATTAGAAGCGAGGCTGGATGACAAAGGAATATTACTCAAACTTTGTGAAAGTGGTAAAGAGAGCAGGGAAGAAAGAAGAACAAAATAAAAACTAAACAGAACAACAAAAAACTGGAAACAATGTTCACACTCATAAAAACAAGAACAAACAATCACCAAAAAATAGAAAACAAAACAAGAAAATGAAAGTCCACTTCATGCCATGTCTCTGCTGTCACTGGTAAACAGAGAGAGTAGGCAGACAGTCCAGATTGTGTTGATTTATCCCAGCAAGCCAACTGCAGATTTATGACGGGGTAGGGAATGATCTCAGCAAACCTGCCCCATCAGTCCCACAGAATTTCAGGGTAGTTTCTGTCTGTGAGACTGGAGCCTGATTTGTTCAACCTGCAACACTTCATGAGTCTCCTGCTGGCTTAAACTCGGGTCCATCTCACCCTGACACTAGAAGCCACCAGTTGGAGCCAGCCTGCACTGCTCTGAGTTTCAAACTCAGTCGGCTCCTGTACAGCCCTGTATAGCCCTCCTGTATAGCCCTCCTATAGCAGGGCTATAGGTGAGTTGCAATCTTCTGGGGAGCATCTGAACCTAAATAACTTGGCAGTGACTGCAGTCCACAGTGTCCACTGCTCTGTTCCCCTGGTGTGTTTCTCCTTGGAGGCGTCTGGGGCTCCCGTACATCTATCTGCAGGTTTGAGCTGCTGCTCAGGGGGAGAACATCACTTGCTACTTCCTTCTGCTGTGTTGAGGTCTCTTTCTTCGCTCCCCTGGGAGCTGCAGCTCTCACTTCAGATCCTTGCTGGGTCCTGGGTACCCACTACCCTCCTCCTCCTCTTCCTCACATTGCTATATTCTAGCATCTGGACCCCAGATCTCAAGAGGCTTTCTCTCTGCTCACCACTCTGCCATCTTTCTGGAAGTCAGTGTTTGTATTATGGAAAGTCTTTAAGAAATCGTTGCATGTTTGTAACATTAACTTCATTAAGCCCTCATTTTTCATCCATGTCTGTAGTAATCATCATCCTCATCCTGACTCACAACTGAACCATCTTCTGATCCTCCAAATGCTATAGCAAAACCTGTGGTCATGGGAGCTTCCAGCAAAGAAAGCTGTGGAGCCTGCACATAGACAGGTCATGGCTCTTTGTAGCTCAAGGTTAATGAATCATACAGTCCTTACAATTTAGTAGCAGGAAACAAATGAAACTTTAAAAAGTGTTTGGTATGTAGTTTGAATTATAGAAGGCTTTAAAAATTATGATGTAAGTATCTTAAAAATATTTATACCCTTCAGTGGTATATCTCTGATAGCTACTACTGGCAGTGAAAGGGTAGAATGACAGATTACTGTATTCAAGCCATTTTACTCATTTCTGGCCTTGCCTAGTTTCTAACTTATTTAGAAATACCAGAGCTTCAAATAATGGTCTTTGCACTGAGCTAAATAATCCTTTTTCATTTTATCTTATTTACTTATTGTTGGTGTAGTTCTGGTTTCTTTGAGACAATATCTCACTATGTATCCTAAATTGGCCTTGAACTTGAAGTATTCCTCCTGCCTCAGCCTCCCAAGTGGTGGCATTACAGGTGTCCACAGCCATGCCTGAGCTCAGTTTCCTTTATTTTTCTTTCCCTAAAGACAAGGTCTCACTATGTACCCTAGGCTGACCTGAAATCCATGATGATCCTCCTGACTCAGCCTCCCAAATTCTGGGATTAGAGCCACTACCACCACAGCTGGTACTTAGTTTCCATTTTAAACAGTCTTTTCCATCTATATTTTCTTCCTCACATGGTAAACATTCTGTGTTGTATGTAATACAAGTATATTCTGAATCTTTATGTGATCAAAAGTAAATTGGGCATGTTGGCACAGGCCTGTAATCCTAAAAATCTGAGAGGTTAAAACAGGAACATCAAAAAAAATAAATTGAATACAACAGGAGGGTCTCAACTTCAAGTCTAGCCCAGGAAATTTAGTGATTTAACAATATTCTGTCTCAAAGTAAAAAATTTTAAAGGGCTGGTGATGTTGCTCTGTATGAAGGCCCTGGGCTCAATCCCTTGTATGGGGAATGGGGAGATGTGCTGCATAGGGACAATGTTTTTAAACATTTTGAATTGTGGATAAGATGAAAAGCAAATATCAGAGTGCAGTAGGGATACATGTTTGGTTAGGTTAAGAATTAGTCTTAAGAAAAGAGGTAGAAAGGGCCAATCTGAAGAAAGAGCTGAGCATCATCTTCCAAAGTAAGATTATTGCACGTGGAGAGGAACATTTCAGGCCTGTGAAGCTTTCTTTATATTTCATAATGCTATTTCCTTTTTCCATGAATAGTAATTCTGTATGGAGCTCATGGGTTTTAGGACACACATTGAGTCATTTGTCTCCTTTTTCTTAGCCTGGAGAAAATGCACAAAGATAGCAGTGCAGGAAAGGGAGCTGTGATGCCTGCGTTGCTGCAGAAGCCTTGTCCTTCTGCTGCGTCCCGCACCGACCACGTCTGGCACTATGATGAAGAGTATCTTCCCGATGCCTCCAAGCACGCCTCTGCCCACACCCCTGAGCAGGCAGATGGTGGGGGCAGCAATGGATTTGTGGCCGTTAACTTGAGCTCTTGCAAGCAAGAAGTTGACTCCAAAGAATGGGTGATTGTGGACAAGGAGCAAGACCTTCAGGATTTTAGGACAAATGAGGCTTTAGGTCATAAAACAACTGGAAGCCCTTCTGATGAGGAGCCAGAAGTGCTGCAGGTTCTTGAGGAATCCCCTCAAGATGAAAAGCTCCAGTTAGGTCCTTGGGCAGGAAGCGGTCATCTGAAGAAGGAACCATCAGATGTGGTCTTAGCGCTGTCTGTGGAATGCCCTGCCACAGCTCCTGCAGAACAGGACCCAGACAGACTGGAGCTCCAGGCTGGAGTTGCTAGTCAGTTTATTGCTGCGACACCCACAAGTCCAATGGAGGCGCAAGCAGAGGGCCCCCTGACAGCGGTAAGAGACTTGTTTCTTTGTTATTCTGTTACCCACTCAAGGTGCTTGCAGAAGACTGATAGTCATTTGGTCGATTAAGATTCTCAGTAAGCCCTGAATTTGTCTAGCAGGTGTAGTGATAATATAATGAACCCTCCAATTTGAAATATTTGTTTGTTTTTGAGACAGTCTCACTATATAGTAGAGGCTGGCTTTGAACTCACTTTTGTAACCCAGACTGACCTTGAATCCGTGACGATCCTCCTGCATCAGCCTCCTGAGTCCTGGGATGACAGGTCTGTGCCACCATACCCAGCATCCAATATGAAATTTTTAAAAAATGAGCATTCCTTTGTTTTGTTTTTGGTATTTTTGAGACAGCGTATCATTATCTAAATCAGGCTGGCCTTGAATTTACTATGTATCTGAGCTAGCTTCAAACTACCTCAGCTTCCAGAGTTCCCTTTACAGTGGCAGCACAAATACAACTTTTTAGAAAGCTTCCTTTTTTTCTCTCTCTCTAAAGCAGAGCCTCACTATGTAGTCTAGGCTAACATTAAACTCACCATCTAGCCAGGTTGGTGTCAAACTCCAGGGGATCCTCTTGCCTCTGCCTCCCAAGTGCTGGAATTACAAGTGTGTACCACCACACCATCTTTTCAAAATATCAAACTCAGTATATTAAATAGCATTATAACCAACTTTTGGAATAACATGTATAATTAGACCCCACGATTAAGTGTGTGTACTTATGATTGCTAAAATATTTATAATTCCAGAGCTTTTTATTATATATTACATGAGGAAGGCCTATATTTAACCGTTTGCAGTTTGTTCTTTATACACTGTTACTAGATCTATAATCACTGTTACTTTTCTATAATCTCTACCCAGAAATTTTTCCTGTTTTACATCCTGTTATAGTTTGTCATGGTGTCCTGTGTCTACTGGCTGTGCATACTACCCCCTTGGTAACATACACAGTCTGTCGCTTGTACGGGCTGCACTAAGGAACCTTAAAGATACTACTTCCCATGGATGTTGGGTATCTGACCTCCTGCCATCCCCATTCTAGGCTTCAGATGGGCATGCGGGGTGCCTTTGGGAAGCCCCAGGGCGGAGTGGTGAGGGTTCACATTGGACAGGTCATCGTGTGCATTCGCACCAAGATGCAGAACAAGGAGCATGTGATCGAGGCCCTGCATAGGGCCAAGTTCAAGTTCCCTGGCTGCCAGAAGATCCACATTTCCAAACAGTGGAGCTTCACCAGTTCTTGCAAACTGATTCGAAGATGTGGTGGCCAAGAAGTGCCTCATTCCTGGCGGCTGCATGGTGGAAGTGGCAGGCCTTGCATTCCTGAAGGCTTCCATTGTGCTACCCCTCACTTCTGAACAAGTCTATCAGTAAATCTTATCTCTGCTCCAATAATTAATTAATTAATTAGTTAATAGTTTTTCAATTTCAGCTGTTCAAAATATAGCATTGAAAGCTGGGAGTGGTCGTGCATACCTGTGATCCCCACACTCCAGAGGCTGAGACATGAGGATCATAGGGATTTTGAAATCTTTAAAAATAAGATACAGCATTTCAGTCCTCCCTAGCAGAACTGCTTTTGTAGGTCCTGGGTTGAGTGACTCTGCACTTTGTTTTTTGTTTTTGTTTTTGTTTTTGCTTTGTTTTGTTTTTCTGGGTAATAGGGATCAAACTCACAACCTATCACTTGCCAGGCCGCTGAGTCCAAGTCTGCACTTTGACAGCAGATAGAGGCAGTGGTAATACCAGTCTTACACAGAGGCCCCTTCTGAGGAAACCCTGGGGCTTCTGTCACACCCTGTCTTGAGTAAACAGCGCCTTCTCATCCCAGTAACTGAGCTGGGGGAGCCTCAAAAAGGCCAGAGATGGCCAGCAAAGCCCTAAAGAGCCTCCAGACAGTAAGGAACCCTGAACCCTGGAAGTCCCCTTATGCATGGTTGCAGTTATCAAGGGTCCTCAGCCCTCCAGCAGCCCTCCTCTGACTCACCCAAAACAGCGTGATTATCCAAACTGAGACATTTTCTAGGGGAACACAATTTCCCATGCAGGTATAAAAAATAACGGTTGGAAAGATTACTGGTGAAGCTTTTCTGGAAGAATTTGCCTGTGTTTCAAAATGGAGAAGTAGCTCAGTGGCACAGCCCCTGCCTGGCAAGCATGAGGTCCTGACTTTGAGTCCCAGTACCCCCCTCCAAAATTACAAAAGTAAATATCTATTTACTTCTCTAGCCAGAACTTTGCTGCTTTTTTCTCTCTTTTTCCACATTTGCAGTTCTAGCATGTGGGCAGTTGAGGCAAGAGGAGTATGAATTTTGTTGTTGTTGTTAGACAGGGTCTCACTTTGTAGTTGTGGCCCTGAACTCATTGTGTAGCCCAGACTGGCCTTGAACTCACAGTGCTCCTCCTGCCTCAGCTTCCTGAGTGCCATCACACCTGGCAGGAGCATGAATTTGAGGCCAGTCCAAGCTACATAGTGAGACCTTCTTTTGAGAACAAAAACAAAACCAAAAAAAGAAGATGCCTGTAGTACAGATTGAATGGCCCAAGAAACTCAAATGATTAAAAGGAATTTGTTTCTATAGCTCAGCTAATTCTTGGCTGTATTGGGAACCAACAAATTATTTTGTTCCCTGTGTCTCTTCTAAATTATTTTCTTTGTCCATAAAACCGGTGTGGGATGTAGGTATTTTGTATACCACATGTCTTTTATTTGTAAGAAAAACTATTGATATGAATGTTAAATTTCTCCCAAGTTTTTGGCCCAGGGATTTAGCTCAACGGCATAAGTGACTGCCTGGCAAGGGCAAGGTTGTGAGTTCAATCTCTGGAACCAAAAAAAAAAAATTTCTCCAAGTTTTTATCCTAGTACCATTACACTCCTTACATAAGAGACAAAAAGATCTTTTTTCAAAAAGACATAGAAGTAGAAAGGGAATATTAGTGAAAGGGTAATGTGCAATGCACATACCTGTGATCCAGCACTTGGGAGGCTGAGGTAGGAGGATTGCAAATTTGAGGCCAGCCTGTCTACGTAGTGAGACTTGGTCTCAAGATATATATCTGTGTATAGATATAGATTTGTATATGTAATATAAAATAAAATATAAGGAAATTATAAAATGTAATTTGTAAAAATGATTTAGGAATATTTTATAAATTTGTGTAGAAATTAATTTATGTGGGATATCATAATTGTTCAATTTTTTTCAAGGAAATAAATTCTTTCTACACATACATGTGTAATATGTTTGTTTATTTGTTTGGTGGTATACTCAGGGGTCTTTACATAAACTGCTTCTCTAGACTTTTTTATTTTTTAAAATTTTGAGATAGGATCTCCCTAAATTGCTTAGGCTGATCTTGAACTTGCAGCCCTCCTGCTTCAGCCTTGTAGAATACTTGGATTATAATCATGCTATCACATCTGGTTTATTTATTTATTTTATTTTTATTATTTTTTTTTACCTTTAAGATTGCTTTTTTTTGTTTGTTTGTTTTTTTGGAGATAGGCTCTTGCAGTTCAAGCTGGCCTTGTCTTGAACTCACTGTGCAGCCTGGGCTGGCCTCAAAGTCATGGCAATCCTTCTACCTCAGCCTCCCAAGTGCTAGGTTTACAGGTGTGCACTACCACACCTGGCTTGTCATTCCTTTTTGTAGTACTATGCATACACACATATATTTATAATCTAATCTAAAATGAGTTCATCTCAGAGCTACAGAAATTAATTCTAGCTTCAGTCTCAGAAGATCAGTGAAGCATCCTTTTATAGATACTGTTGAGACTAGGTGTGATGGTGCTCACCTATAATCCCAGCACTCAGAAGGCTGAGATAGGAGAATCACTGCAAGTTTGAAGCCAGCCTTGGCCACAAAGTGAATTCAAGGCCAGCCTAAACTGCATAGCAAGACCCTGTCTAAAAAAATAAAAATAAATAAAAACCAACATTGTTGAGTTTAGACACATGGTATATTCGAAGGGATTTGGAGAATTTAATGTAAGAAACTTTTCACAGATGTAGAGTTTTTGTTTTGTTCAAGGCTGGCTTTGAACTCATTTTGTAGCCTAGGCTGGCCTCAAATTCACAGCAATCCTCGTGCCTTAGCCTCCAAAGTGCTGGGATTACAGTCATGTGCCACCATGCCCAGCATTGTTGATTGGTTTTTTCATACAGAATCTTAATATGTAGTTCAGATTGACATTGAATTCACTGTGTGGTCCAGCCTGGCCTTAACCTCACAGCAGTCCTCCTGCCTCAGCCTCCCACGTTCTGGAATAATAAGGGTGTGCTACCACACTTAGCTTGTAATTGCTTATTTTTAATATGAATTGAGTTGACCTAGTCAACATCTGTGTTCTGCTCATAAACTGGAATTTGAAGTATTAAATCTGATGTCATGTACCTTGACTGATATTTCACAAATTGTGTTTTCATTTTTTTCTTCCCCTCTCCAGATTACAATTCCTAGACCTTCTGTGGCATCAACACAGTCAACCTCAGGAAGCTTTCACTATGGTCAGCATCTGGAAAAGAAAGATCTTCAGCCCTTGGAGCCCACTGTGGAACTTTTCTCTCCGAGAGAAAACTTCTCTGGCTTGGCTGTGACAGAAGGGGAAGGGCTTCAGGTAGATCATGTTGGCCAAGACACATTGCCCCATGTTCAAGAGAGTGACAGATCTCAGGACCTGGGACCAAAAGACCTTCCTGATGATACTGGACTAGTTGGGAGGGAATTTGAAAATTTCCCTGTAGAAACTGAGGAGAAAATCATTCCAGGGGCAGATAATGAGGATGAGAAGTTAAGTAGAGAACAGTATTGTGTTGAGCTCTCACTTCAAGGAGATCTGGGGACTGAGGAAAAGGATCATTCTGCTACTACTGAGCCCCTCGATGGGACCAAAACACAGACTTTCAGTGTGGTGCCAAATCAAGACAGAAATCATGAGATCGTGAGGTTTCTGGCAGCTGGAACTTCGGAACTTTCTCCAACAGTCATTGACCCACCTGTTGAAGGACAGCACGGCCAGGTAGCAGCAGTACAGAAAAGCAGGCTGCCTAAGGGCGATGACATCCAGATGGAGGCCCTGCCAGAGCATCATGAGGGTCTCTCTGCTTTACTGTGCCAAGAGGATAAGAGAGAGAAAAGTGCCCCGAGAAACGGAGAACTGATTGATTGCATTGCAGAGAGCGAGTGTGCTCCCCCTGCCCGGAAGGACGTGGTCAGGTCGTCTCTTGTAACCAGACACAGTCGAATCCCTGTTCTAGCACAAGAGATAGAGTCAGCTTTCGAGGCCTCTTCACCTGTTTCTGCAAAAGAGAAGCTGCTGCAGAAGAAAGCCCACCAGCCAGACCTGGTGAGACTGCTGGTGGGAAAAAGGCAGCTCAGGTCTTTGCTTGGCGACCTCTCCAGTGCCTCTAATAAGCTGCTGGAGGACAAGCTGGCTTCTGTCCCTGTGCCCTTCTCTGAGGAGGATGTCTTGGTGCCCTTTTCTAAACTGGCCGTAGATGCTCCCCTGAGCAGGTCAGCGGAAGATAACTTTCTGTCACCCATCAGCTCGCAGTCCAGGAAGAGCAAGATTCCAAGGCCCGTTTCGTGGGTGAGCACAGATCAAGTCAGCAGCTCGCTGTCATCACAGTTCTTGCCTCGGCCACCGCCCGGGAAGCCGCCTGCGAGGCCTGGAGTGGAAGCCAGGTACACTGGCCCTGCGCGCTGTCGCGTTCCTCTCCTCTCCTGTAGTGACGCCAGGGGAAGCATTTCTTTTTGCCTGCTGTTGCGCGTCTGCTCTTTTCTACCTTTCATGGTCTTCCTAGTATACTAGGACAGTATACTGGTATAGATTGATCTATTTAACTCTTTCTTCCCAATTTTTAAAATTATAGTATAGCATATAATAAATATAAAATTTACCATCTTTTTGTTTAGTGTTTTTGGTTTGTTTTTTATTTTTTGGCTTTTTTTGGTTATTTTGAGATAGGATCTTGCTATATAGTACAGGCTGGCTGGCCTTCAACTCACTATGAAGCCCCAGTTGGCTTTAAACTCATGGCAGTCCTTCTGCTTCAGCTTCCCAAGTGCTGAGATTACAAGCTCATGCCAGCATGCCTGGCTAAAACTTGTCATTTTTACCAATGGTATTAAATTCGGTCATTTTGTCATACACTTGTTACTACTGTCCATTTCTAGACAGCTCTTCGTTGTAAAACTGAAACTATACCTATGAAACAGAAAGCCCCAGCCCAGCAGTCATTGGTCTGCTTTCTTTCACTCTGATTTTGATCATTGTCAAGCCCTCACGTGAGAAGAGTATACAGTGTGTGTTGTGACTGCCTTCCTTTCCTCAGCAGAAAGCCTCAGCAGTCACCATGCGTAAGCCAGAATTTTCCTCCCCCTCAAGGCTGACAGCACGCCACTGTCATTTTGCTGCTTGTTTGCTGTGCGCCTTCTTAGAGCTTTTTGCCCCTGTTCCCTCATCCCTGTATTCAGTATGTGTGTGTGTGTGTGTGTGTGTGTGTGTGTGTGTGTTTGATTTTTTGAGACAAAGTCTTACTGTGTAGTGCAGGGTGGCCTTGACCTCTTTTATGTAGTGTAGCCTGGCTTTGGACTCTTAGTGACCTCCTGCCTCAGCCGGCTGAGTGCTGGGATTATGGGCATGCATCACCACACCTGACTGTGTTCATTATTCAGTTGAATTTTTCAGGCTGGGGATATATCTCAGCTGCATAAGCACCTTCCTCATAAGCACAAGGTCTTGAGTTTGATTCTTGGTACCAAACAAACAAATCAGCAAAATAAACTGTCCCTGTGGCTTTAGTTGAATTTTTCTTTGACATGAGATGCTTCTTTTTTTTTTTTTTTTTTTTTTTGTATCAAGAATCAAACTCAGGGCTTTGCACTCACCAGGCAAGTGCTCCACCAAGCTATATCCTCAGTTCTAAAATACTTTCTTTCTTTCTTTTCCTATTGCTTTTTCGTTTTGGATACCTTTGGATTTATACCAGTTTAAATACATATAAAAATTTTGCTCTTAACAAGAAATTATCCTCTTTTACCTCTCCATCCTCACTTCTTTCAGTTGCTAATCAAATCACATCTTTATGTAGTGTACCCAGCAACAGACGCTTAGCAGCTCTCAGAGGCTGAGGTAGGATTGCTGTGAATTGGAAGCCAACCTGGGCTATGTGGTGAACTCAAGGCCAACCTAGACTATATAACAAGACCCTATCTCAAAAAAAAGAAAACCAGTTTATAATTATAAATACATTAATCTCTTAAATTATGTAGAAAACAAAAAGCACTCACCAGGCAGGCTCACCAGTTACAGACCAAAATTAGAAATCTGCTACTTTTAGACTAATTGATTCTTTATAGAAAAAGGTATCTCATAAATTATGCAGAAAATAAAGTTACAAACCATTGTTGAAATACTCACTTTTTAGTTGGCTGTGTATGTGCCTTTGTTGAAATCTTTATTTTTTCAGATGGGTTTGAGTTACTGTCCTTTCATTTCAATCTTTAGAACTTCTAGCAGGACAGATCTGGTGGTAATTAACTACCTTAGCTTTATTATTAAGTTTTAGATTTTGTGCGGTGTTAAGACTTAAGCTTAAGGCTTTATGCATAGCATATACTCTTATCACTGAGCTAAGCTGCTAACCTTTGTATCAGCTCTTGTCTAAGAGTACCTTTATTTATCCCTCACTTTTTTTTTTTTTTTTTGAGACAGTCTTGCTGTGTAATTCAGGCTGGCCTCAAACTTGTGGGGGTCCTCCTGCCTCAGCCTTCCAAATATGGAGTTTATAGGCATGTGCCACCAGGCCCAGCTATCCCTCACTTTTGAAGGATACTTCTTTGGGGGTTTTGTTTCTGTTGTTTTTTGATACCGGGTGGTTTAGTCTGGCCTTTAACTGCAGGAATCCCCCAGCCTCAACCTGCCAAGTGCTGGAATTTCAGCCATGCACCCCCACACCTAGTAGTCCCTTGAACTATTTCTTTGTGACGGACATACCTCTGATATTTGGGTTATTGCACTTGATCTGCTCAGTGGTACTATGAATTAGCCAGTGTCCTTGCTTCTAAAAAGCTCACAGGTTCATGGTCAAGATCATTGAGCTGGTGCATAGCAGAGTATCTGGATCCTGTGAGTGTATTTTCTGATGTTGACACACATTGTGTCACAGTGTGATTGTGCACAATGCACAGTGTGATTTGACACATTGTGACTTTTAGGCACATTTGGAATAAACTAAAACAAAAATAATTCTTTTCTGTTCTCTTAAGGTTGCGCAGATACAGAGTCCTAGGAAGCAGTAACTCTGACTCAGACCTTTTCTCCCGCCTGGCTCAGATTCTTCAAAATGGGTCTCAGAAGCCCCGGAGCACTACTCCATGCAAGAGCCCAGGACCTCCACACAACCCCAAAACACCACCCAAGAGTCCAGTTGTACCTCGAAGGAGCCCCAGCGCCTCTCCTCGGAGCTCACCCTTGCCTCGCACATCCAGTTCCTCCCCATCCAGGGCAGGGCGGCCCCACCACGAGCAGAGGAGTTCATCCCCCCATCTGGGGAGAAGCAAGTCCCCTCCCAGCCACTCAGGGTCCTCCTCCTCCAGGAGGTCCTGCCAACAGGAGCACTGCAAACCCAGCAGGGGCAGCCCCAAAGGCTCTGGCAGCCTCCACCACCACCCAGCCAGCTCGAAAGCGCCCCTGGGGAAGAGCAAGCCAGCCAGTAAGCTCAGCAGATAGGAGCCGGGCACCAGCTCTTCCTCCTGACCCGACGCATGTGTGTCCCTGTACTGTCTGTTTAAAAAAAATCAATGTTGCTCTTCCCTTGCAAAAGAAAGAAATATGATCAGTTATTTATAAGCAGCTATAATGTATGATAAAGAATTACCTAAGGCAGGTAGCAAGCAAATAGGAATCAGCACCTTGTCATAGGGTGTTGCCGAGGATTTGGCAATCCTGCCATATTCAGGAGAGAGAAATTCATAAGTAAGCTGTCATTTTTTAGCTGCCTTTGAAACAAAAGAGGGTAGGTGACAGAATGAGATTTTTAAGGGGTTCATCTGATTTTTTTAAGCCTCTACTTAAAATTATATACCAAGTGTTTGATATTTTCATTTTCCTAATCTTGGTGTCATTGCTCAGATATCAGAGTATAAAAAGCTGGGCATGATGGTGCACATGTGTAATCTCACACTCCGGAGGCTGAGGCAGCAAGTTGGAGGCCAGCCTGGACTACTAAGACCAGCCTGAACTGCATAGCAAGACCCTGTCTCAAAAAAAATTAAATAAGTAAAGATAAAACAGAGTATGTAAGTCTCCTGTGAGGGAACCAGTACTCATGTAATTGATTCAGGGAGTTGTTTACTGTATTGAAAATCCACACTTTTATTGCCTCACTCCAAATACCCTCCTTGGATTTTATGTGGCTTTTGTTTTGGTTTGGTTTTTTGGTTTTGGTTTTTGGTCTTTTTAGTTAAGAATTAGTGTTTCTTTCTATCCCAGTCTCTCTTATTTTTGCAGTACATCCTGATAGATATTTAGCAGCACAGGCTAAGAATGCAGTTACCCTTCTTTTAGTCCCTTGGTATTTTTCTTTGGAGCAACAGTTCTTAACCCAGTACATTTTTATTGTGAAAAATAACTGAAAAACTTAGGTAAAGGACAGAAGAGTCTGACTAGAGCTATGTTGCAGGCATTATTGTCTGGAGGGGACAGTGAGGGCCACAGCTTTCGAGAACAGAAGGACATGCTTGCACCGTGTTCCACCTGGGCAAGGGGCAGCCGTGTGCGTGTCTCCAGGGTCCCAGCTCTTTCTGTTAACAACTCCAAGATGACACTAGGGAAGCACACTGCTTGGGAATATGACTCTGCTTTTAGAGAATTAGAAAAACAGGAAGACATTAAGTATGGTACAGAGGCCAATACACTTTGTGTTTTAGACAAGTAAGGAATGAGTATCTGGGGAAATAAATTTTAATTTTTTAATAAAACATTAACTGTGCTTTAGTTCAGTAGTCGGGCTTCTTGGCCTGATTTCTATGTAATCCCATGGAAGCTGTAAGGGAATCATATTTGTTCTAACCTCACTCTTGCGCTAACAAGAATCAGGCAGAATGAAAGCATACAGGGTTTGTAAATGGGCTCTCATGTACTCCATCAGTGTTCACGTTGTGATGAAGAACTTGTTAAGGTTAGGTAAATGGGTCCGCCTGCTGTTGAAATTTGCCTTCTAGCAAACATCTGTGCTTTCTCTTTGACCTTGTGTTTGCTGCCAAATGTAATACAGTTGAATTGGAAAAGAGAGATATTTCCTCACTAAGTGAACGTATTTTAATGCTGCATCAAGCTGCCCTGAAGCTGCACTGAACTTACCTTGTTCTCTTTGTGTGTTGAGCTTTTTAACGAACTCAGAACACTATATTGAGGCATATAAGGCCTCCCATAAGAAATACAGCCTAGTTGGAACCTGTTTTCTCTCTAGTCTGAAGCACTACAGAGGAATGTACTAGATAAGACATTTTTGCTGTTTATCTAAAGCAACTGTAATTTTGGAAGACCAGTCCTTCTGTATTATGTTGTATAATAGTTGCCATAACACTACTTGCATGTCTTCATGGTAAATTATATAAATATTTATAAATATATAGAGATATGCTTATATAAACGCACTCTTTCTCATTCCCCACTGGTAACCAAGATCCCATGCCGGGAAGTTCCTTTTCTATTGTTTGCCTCATGTATACTTGGGCTTTGCCCATCTTTATTTTCTGAAAATACGTTCTTGGTCTGTGAGACCTGAGACTCTTCTTGCTCCTCCCTTTGACAAGCCAATATAGAATATTTAATTTTCACTATAAAGAAATTTTAATGGGGGAAATTATTGGGACATGCTTGTAATATTAAAAGATTTGTCCATGTTAATCACATAGTTCTGTTCTTAGAATAGATAGATGGAGATTATAACCATGGATCTGATGGATAATTGTTTGAAAAACATTTCCTAAAAGTTGCCACCCTGCGTTGCTCTTTTCTACTTTGTTTGGGGAAGGGGGTGGAGTTGGGGGTTAACCAAGCCTGTTTGGTTATTTGTTTCCTCTCCCCTCTTCCCTGGCACTCTTACACACACACACACACACTCTCTCTCTCTCTCTCTCTCTCTCTCTCTCTCTCTCTCTCTCTCTCCTTCACTGTTGTTGCATTAACTAAATTGTGATAAAAGTAGCCAGCTTAAACACTAACCCCTCTAGTCAGAAATGTCTAATAGTAACCACTGGAAAACTGAAGTCACGTGTTATTTGCTTCCTGACTGGTGTTTCTCTGCTGGTAATCACAGTTGATGGTGATGGCAACTGACATTTTCTTTTCTGGTTCCTTCTATTTTTCTCTCAACCTTTCCACTGTGTTGTTTCCATTTTAAGGTAACATTAACAAACTCATCAAGATCCAGAGATAAAAGCTTCATTGTGTAAAATAATTTATTTTGCATGTAGAGGAAGAGTTAACCAAAGATATTTTTGCTCTGACACTTTCAAAACTAATTATAGCTTATGTGTCAGTAGGTCCATTCATAAGTACCACCCTTATCTAGAGAAATTTACTTTATGGTTTTAGATGTCTCAGGTTAAAAACAGAAGTTGGTAGCTTTCAGCTAGCACTTTTGACAAGGACTTTATTTTTATTTTATTTCAAAGTACTATACCAAGAACAAAATTTTGTTTTTGTTTTTAGCTCTTTATTATTTATTTTTGGGTTTTTAGTGATGGTATAGTATAATTTTAAGCCTGTTTGTTTATTTTATTTCAGCTGAGAAACATGGCCACTAAATCAAATCAAATCAAACTATACTAAAAGCAGTATGGGACAGAAGGTAAAATTAGTTTTTGAAAACTCCTGGTATCTCCTATAACAACAGCAGGATGAGTTACCAAGTCCACTTACCCTTGCCTTCTCTTTATAGTCTCAGAGACTACTTGGGAAGGACAGAAAATAGGAGTAGCAGCAGCTCAAACCATGTGGTGGCACACCCTGTGATCCCAGCACGGGAGGCTGAGCTAGGAGGATTGCTGTGAGTTCAAGACCAACCTGGGCTACGTAGTGAGTCCAAGGCCAGCCTGAACTGCATAGAAAGACCCTGTCTCAAAAACAACAAAAAGAAGCAGCAGCTCCATTCCTTTCTCCTGGACTAGACTGACAGTCCTCCAGGGTCTTTGAATTAAATTCCAAACTCCACCTAGTAACCTTATATGATTTAAAGGCATTTGACTCTAGTGAGTGATTCACAGAGAAGAAAAATGGATCATATCAAATTTAACATAAAGATACAGATTGCAAATCATCTCTGATTCGCGCCCCCACCCCAGGCAGGGGGCACTCTCATTGTCAGCGCTGGTATGCAAGCTGAGCTCTGATAGTGGCACAGATATTTGCTGGTTTTTAAGTTGCATATTTCAAAATGAAGGCTTTTTGTAAAGTTGTCTAGTGAGGCAGGTCTGGAGCAGCAGAATGGTAATTGAGACCCATTGTGGTCCTGATCAACTTCCTGTGGTTGCTTCATCAGGGTGCAGAGCTGCCGCTTGCCATGTGCAGTGTCCACAGGGCAGCTTAGCATGGTCCTGTGGCTGTGGAACCTGATTTTCTTGGGCCTGCAGCAGAGATGCCTGGTAGGCCATAGATTCTGTGCTGATGTTTTGATAGTTGCACCCTCTCTGCAAAGAAAGAGTGTACATTGGTGTGAGTGTTCTAACTTCAGACACTGTTAGAACTGTAATTAGTTTTTCTGTACCCGGTAGCTTTGTATTAAAAATGGATACTTTTTTCCATAAGCAGACAATTTTGTGTTCCTAATCTAACATTAGGAAATGGTGAGAGGAGAAACAAGATCCAGAATTCAGAATTTTGTAGCTTAGAGAGAAAAAATGCATCTTGCCCTGGCTGTTAGAAAATACATTTATCTGTAGATAATGTAGAGTTGGCCTTGGAGATCAAAGTGCTTCATAATTTTAAAAACTTCATTGCTTTTTCTCTATTAAAACATGGGCTTAGAGAATTTCTTCTGTCATGTTCATGTACTGTGGAATTGAGTTGTTTGCATTCAGTCTCTCAAGCTCTCCTTTTCCTGGTTCCGTGCCTTTTATCTCCAGTGTGTCTGCGCTTTGCTTATGAGGAGAAAAGGTTTAGTAACTGTGTCACTGAAGAGACAAGAAAGGTTGACACCAACTGCACTGTTGAACTTCTTGAGTCAGTTCTATAGACAATATGATTACTTTGTATGTATGATTTAATAAAAAAAGTAGTATAGGGTTCAGGCATGTAACTACTGCAGCAGCTCTCTGTTAGTATACGCCAAGCTCAGCCACTGTGGGCTCCTATTGAGACCTAACTTAGAGCTTGGGGTGAGAGGCAGTTCCAGCCCTCAGCTATATGGGAGGTAGTGCCTGGAAAGCCCCAGGACATTGTTGGAATGGCTCACGTCCTGTCCTCTCCAAGTAAGACTCTACTGTGTAGCGCGAAGATGTGTACTAGAGTAGAAACTACAGTATTAGATCTTCTCCATAATTTGGTTATTCCTCTGGAATTAGGGAATTTAACCCAGAAAGACTTGAGGGTTTTTGGAATCCGTTGCTCGACATTGCTAGTGAAAACCACAGGAGGCGTGTTCCCAGGGAACCCCAGGACGCGGGACAAGGGTCCTCGTTCACTTAGGGAGATCTGGATGGTATATGTGTTGATCCCAGAGAAGTCCCCAGGTGGACATGGCTCATCAAGACATTTTGTAACTCAGTTTTTCTACCTTTAAAATGTGTAAGCTTGTTATTTAGTTACTGCCTTTGAGTAAAGTTGATCAGCAACTTAAAGTATGTAACAAGATCATCAGGATCACCTTGAGATTCCATATAATGGCGGGATGCTGAATGGCAAAGTTGTAACTTTTACTCAGTAATGAACTGAGTGTTTTCTTACAGTCAGCTGAATCCTGGGTCTTACAGACAAAGGGACCTGTGCAGCCTGACAGGTCACCGCCACCTCTTTGGTTGGAAGTGATATTGGCCATGTCTTCCCGACACCCTGGGCCAAAGGCCCTGAGTCAAGAGTAAGGTGTGCACAGTAGATCTTTTAAGCCGTGAACTACAGAATTTGCTGATAATTTTATATGAATGAAAGGTAGGGGATTAACCTTTTAGTACTTCAATACCCCTTCACATTTTGTGGCCAAGTATTCACTCATCTATTTAAAGCCATCAAGTCAATCTGTTTTTACATGGACTACCCTTGCCACATGATGCTTTTTTCCTTGTGTGCAGTCCAAACCCCTACAAACTGTCTGCAGCACCTTGCCTTACCTGCTCTGTGGTGGTCTTCACTGGTCTGCAAGGGTAAACAAAGCCACCAGAGTGGGACTGTGATTTATTTTAAGAAGCCACCAGGGAGGGGTAAGTTTGGGGACTTTTCTCCAGAAACCTTGTTTTTAAACTGTGCATCACATAGGGAAATTAGTTCTGTAAGATAAAACACTGTCAGAAATTCAAAGAAAAAGATATAAAGGAAATATAACCCTGGGCTTCTGGGGTTTTGACATTGGACTGTTTTAAGAGCACAGCAGATGAGCCAGGCAGGGGCCTCTCACTCCTTATCACCCAGTTCCCAATCCCTGCCCTCTGCTCAAGTCTTTTACTTACAAGCTCCTAGCCTTTAAGAAAAGAGTGGAAGGTTCTAGTTTTCAATGCAATATAAATCTTGAAAGTTATAGACTCTTGGCAGCTGTGAGATCAGGTTCATCCACAAACCAGAATTCTCTCCTGCACAAGACCAGTGAGTTGGAATAGATACCGTTAATAACCCATTTTTCTGTCCTCTCTCCTCTTCGTGAGACCAGAAAGATGAGAAGCTGCTCCCTGAAATACCTCAAAGGTATTGCGTTGTGTCCCTCCCTGCCCTGCAGCTCCCTTCCAAGTTTTGCTCAGGCAACCAAGGACATGGAGTACGGCAGAAACACGGAGTGCTTTTGCATAGGCCATCTGTACATAAAAGTGTATTTATTTAATTTCCCATTTGTATCATATTAAAGCTTTGTACAGTGTTTTAAGTTCTGTTTTAAAATTATTTTGTATTTTATTTTTATATTCTAGTAATAAAATATTCATTCCGCATGCAACTCTAGTTCTATTTGTGCAATGGATTGTTCTTTGAAACTGGGAAATACTTTCTAAAGTTTTAAATGCAATACAGGTAGCTTTAAAGTCACTGTAAAGCTTGAAAAAGGGGCCAAAAGTGACCTAGAAAAAAGCCCTGGGCAGAGTAGAAATAGGTGTTCAGTGTCTTAGTAGGTGAAAGCAGAGATGGTTTCCGATCACAGAATCGCCAGGTCTAAAACTGCCCATTTGCTCCACACTGTCTCCATCTAGCGGCAGACACTTACTCTGTTCCACAGAACACAACTTTGGTTTCACTGCAGGGACTCCTATCCCTCCCTCTCCTTTGTAGGTACTCCAGTGCTGCTGCACGAGGTGCCCCAGGACTCTCTCCACTGTGGTGTGGCCTGAAGGATTAATGTGTTTTCTTCAGCCTGGACTCCCCTGTAAGCATCACACTGAGGAACAACTTCCACAATGCTCAGTCTCTAAAATTTTCCAAATAAGGGATAGTTGGATGTAGTGGTGCATGCCTGCGGTGGCACCATGCCAGCACTTGGAAGGCTGAGGCAGGAGGAGCATGGTAAAGTTGAGACCAGCTTGGCTTACCAAATGAGTTCAAAGCGAGCCTGAATTGCATAGTGAGACTCTATCTCAAAAATAAATACAAAATAAGAGAAACTAGGAGAGTAGCTCACTCAGGCTGAGGCAAGAGAATTACTGCTAATTAGAGCATCCTGGGTTAGTAAGTTCAAGGCCAGTCTACCTTACATAGCGTGATCGTCTGAAAAAATGGGAGCTTTTATCTCCTAGAAGCTAATTATGAATATGCTTAAAACTGCCCGTTATTATTATAATGCATGAAAGAGTAAAAACGACAGGCAAGCAATTCTGTGCACACGGTGGTCTGAGGATTTAAGAAAGCCTCTTGTCAAGAGTTTTGTCCTATAGCCAGGCGTGGTGGTACACACCTTGGAATCCCAGCTGGCTGAAGGATGAGGTAGGATCACGAGAATTCCAAGGAGCCTGGGCTATGTAGCGACCTCGAGGCCAGCTTGAACTACATAGCGAAACCTGGCTTTAAAAAGGTTTTTTTGTTTGTTTGGTTTTTTTTGTCTTTTTCATTTTTATCGGTACCAAGGATCGAACTCCACGACCGCCTGCTTGCAAAACAGGTGCTTATGCCTCTGAGCTAAATCCCCAGCCCCCTAAAAAGTTTTTTTTTTTTTTTAAAGAATTAAATGGCTGATCAGGAGTTAACTCTCAGCGCGACCAGTAAATACAGAAGTTAAAGTAATGGCCAATCAATAGAGCTGGCCAGTGAAAAGCCTTTTGAGACAGAGTAAAGAGAGATTAGGGTAATGCCGAATGGTTGGTACAATTACTGGAAGGGACGGAGCTCTTTGGCAGGAAGAGCAGGCTGGGTTTCAGAACCGTTCACCTGCGCTGACGTCGCTTTCGCTGGCCGTCTCCAGCGGCTGAGTCTGTCTGCCGAGCCCCAGCGAGCCGAGCCGACTACAGCCCAGCCGGAGCCCCGCCCCTTGCCCCGCCCCCTCGCCTCGCCCCGCCCTCTCCACCCAACGGTCTCTCCTGCAGCCGGCCCCGCCCCTCCCAGGCCCTCGGGACCTAGCCAGCGCCTGCGCAGTCCCCAGAGCGCCGGGACCGGGATGGCTGCCGTTTTGGAGTCGCTGCTGAGGGAGGAGGTGTCGGTCGTGGCCGCCGTGCGGTGGGTCGCGCGCCGGCCCCAGGGTTTGGAGGTAAAGGCACCCCCAGCGCGGCCCGGAGCCCACCACCCTGTCGCGCTGCCCGGGCCGCCGCCGACCTCCCTTCCCTCCCGCAGGAGAGCCCGGGCGAGGCGGCCGCGCTGCGCGCGCTCCAGCCGCTACGGAAGGACTTCGTACCGTTCCTGCTGAACTTCCTGCGCGAGCAGAGCGGCCGCGTCCTCCCACAGGGTCCGCCGACCCCCGCCAAGGCCCCGGGCGCCGCGGCAGCCCTGCCCGGAAGGCCGGAGGGCCCGGCGCGGGGCGGCCGCGGAGCGCGCAGCCAGCTCTTCCCCGCGCCCGAGCCCCCGGCCGCCGCCACTGAGGCCCCGCTTGCCCGCCGCGGGGGCCGGAGAAGGGGTGCGGGGCCGGGCCGCGAGCGCGGGGGCCGCGGGGCCCCGGAGGACGGGAGCGGCGGGGACAGCCCGCCCTGGGCCGGTGCCCGGAGGCCGAGGGGCGCTGGCAGCCCCGGCCGGGCGCTCTCGGATCCGCCGAACCTCAGCAACCTGGAGGAGTTCCCTCCCGTAGGCTCGGTGCCCCCCGGGCCCGCAGGGTGAGAAGCAGCCCGCGGCCGGGCGATCGAGGCTTAGCAGGTGGGGGTGACGAGTCTGTAGCTGCGAGGGCTTTGCGAGAGGCCCAGCTGTTGTGGTAGAGGAGGGAGTGGTGTTTGGAGATAGAAATGTGAGGAAACCTGTGGCCACTCTCAGCAGGACGAAGCCTTCACGCAGGATCAACCCAACTCCGGTGAGCGAAGAGCGGTCACTGTCCAAGCCCAAGACCTGCTTCACCTCACCCCCAATCAGCTGTGTCCCCAGTTCCCAACCCTCAGCCCTGGACACTAGCCCTTGGGGCCTTGGCCTTCCCCCAGGGTGCAGAAGTCTGCAGGAGGAGCGGGCGATGCTCAGGAAGGAGCGGTATGGCCTTGCCGCTCGCTGAATGTCCGCTTCCTCCCCAGGGGAGACCTGCAGGGCTTTCCCTCAAAAGTGATTCCCCCAGACCTCTGGGTTTGTTGCCTGGGCTGTTGATACCTTCTCTGAGGGACCCCTATGACTGCCCTGGAAGTCAAGCTGACTACTCCTGATATCTCTCTGTCCTCATAGCTCTAAGCAGCTGCAGCAGTCACCAACCCCAACTTGTCCCACCCCAGAGTTGGGACCCCTCATCCCCAGCCGGACAGGAAGCCTCGCAGCAGAAGCCGCTGACCCTGCACGAGTGTCCTCCCGCAAGCGCCTGGAGGTGGTGGCCCTTGTCTACTCCTCCTGCATTGCTGGTGAGTGAGCCCAGAGGGCTGTAGAGAGCTGCGTGCAGTACTGCTATGCAAGAGGATCAGCAAGGCAGAGAACTGAGCCTTGACTCCAAACAGTGCCCATTACAATGGGATTTTTTTTTTTTTTATATCCAGAAAATCTGGTACCAAACCTCTTCTTGGAGCTTTTCTTCGTCCTTCAGCTCCTTACTGTCCGGAGAATGGTGGCTGCCAAGGACAGTGATCTTGAACCAAGTCAAGGTCAGTGAGCAAGACCTATTTTGAAAGTGGGCTCTGTAGATGGGGTGGTCCTTCCTGACAGCTCCTTATTACCCTAGATTCCCTGGAAAGCCCGCTGTTCCAGAGCATCCATGACTGTGTCTTTTTCGCGGTCCAGGTTTTGGAGCATCAGTTTCAGTGAGTTTCCTGGCCAAAGCATTTGGGCCTTATTCTTTTCTGTCTAGTTCTTAGGTGACTTTGAGTGTGCTTGTGCATAACACAGATACAGTAGCCCTGGACCTTTTCCTGTCTGTAAAAATTGGTGTCAAGGGTCAGGATTTTTTCCTCAAAAAATCAAATACCCTTGGCAGCCGACCGTGAGATCATTGGTGACATTTCTGGCCCGCTCATTTGTTCTCTGCTTCACAGGGTCTCACTTCCTCACGGTTTTGTCTCCATCATGTTGACCCTTGATATACATGCTGGGCTTGTGTTCTGTTCCATGTTCCAGGCGCAGTTCATGTGGCATATAGCTGCTGCTTCCTGTGTCGTCTGGTCTCATTCCCAGTCATGTGTGTTCTTGTCTCTGCAGGGTTCTTTCTTACCTGGACAAAGGGACCTTAAAGCTGCTAGCTGAGAATGAGCGGCTGATGTGCTTCTCCCCGGCTCTGCAAGGCCGCCTTCGAGCTGCGTATGAGGGCAGCGTTGCCAAGGTAGTGACACCAGTGGAAATGCCCACTGCTCTGCACATAGTCTTCCCTGCTTCCACAAATAAATTTAAACAGCCTGCTCTCTACCTTCAGTGACCTGTGGAGTAACTTGGCAAGACACGGGGTCACATCTTCTGACCATGGCTCATCAGGCTTTAGTCCTAATGTCACTGCCATGTTTCAGGTCTCTCCGACAATGACACCCTCTGCTCAAGCTGTCTCCTTTCAGCCAGAGACTGACAATCGTGCCAATTTTTCCAGTGACCGGGCCTTTCATACTTTTAAAAAACAGAGGTGAAAAGAAAAGGGAACTTTGGGGAAGGGGATGAAGTGACACTTTCTCTGGAATAGACAGCAGCTTTATTGTCATAGAACTTATAAGTCTAGCAAACTAGTGGTGTGTTAGTACGACCAGGCCCTTTATGACAACTGCTGGAGGGCTGGCACTGTTCTGTGTTCATGGACATAGACCCTGAGCTTAGCCGTCTCACAGCACGTGATTGCAGTCCCCTTCTCAGATAGCATGTGCCCAGATAGATTCCCATTGCCCCCAAAAGTACACAAGGGTTGCGATGCCCAGTAGCTGGGTCTGTGGCATCTCTGTAGAGTAGAGAAATCTGGAGGCTAAGGAACGGCGCTGGGCAGGACTGGCCTTGGCTTTTCCAGGCAAAGAGGCTGCACTTGGAAATGAGTGAGGCAGCTGTGCAGCAGCTGATCAAACGTTTTGTGTCTGTCAGGGATGTGTTCTATGAAGTGCTTCGAGAGTGGGAAGATCGCCATGAAGAGCCTGGCTGGGACTTTGAGAAGGGATTGGGCAGCAGGATCAGGTGGGTGCTCACTCCTGATCACCACTTAGCTTGCTTCTGACAGTGAGCAGTTCAGTGGTATTCAGCAAGCTGCTGGGGGAAGGCTTGCTCTACTCCTTCCAGCCTGAAGTTGTTTTCTGCTCTAGTTCTTAGTAGTGCCCAAGGGAAATCTGTCTGCCTAGTAGTTCACTCCAAAGTGCAGAGGGCTTAATTCGAGTTGCCTTGAGTTTATCCCCAGTCACTGGCAAGAGTCCTGCCACTTCCATGTTCTCCATTGTGTAGGTTAAGCAAATCTGATGGCTTTGCATAGGTAGCTGACCAGGCTGTAGAATATACACGGTCCTCTGTCCACTCCGTCTCTCATTCATCTTGGTCATGAAGCTAACTGGCACTCAGTGTGGCCTGTCATTTCTTGTTGGTTAAGTGCACCTCTAGTGTTTCGCACGGCATCTTGGTGCCGAGAGGGTTCTTTGGCTTCTCCATGCTCTCAGATCTTTCTCTTTCCCTTCTTACACTCCATGCCTGCCTTTTACCCCCAGAGCAATGATGAGTCAGCTCTCTGCAGCCTGCAGCCACAGCCACTTCGTTCGGCTTTTCCAAAAACAACTTCTTCAGGTAACAGCCTGTGCAAGCATTTAACCTACAGTGACCAGCAGGTGTTGTAGGCCACCAGGGAAAGGTGGCACTCTGGACAGATTCCTTGGGTGGTATTTCACACTCAGGTGCCAGAGCAGAAACAGCAGTGTGACCTACCTGTACCCTGTGCCCCACATCTCATGCCTTCCCAAGCCTGTTACTACCTTGTTTCCCTGTACCGTGGAAAAAGAGGACAGGGACAGTAGTCAGACCTTTTCACATCCCAGCCCTAGTAACTGGGCAAGTGCTTCCGTTTGACTTTCTTCACCTTTAGAATAAAAATATATTCCCTGCCTCAAAAACTGCCCAGCCCATGACATGGAGCTAGCTTTTCAGAAATGTTCCTTACTCTGTCCTTTCTGTGCTTGGCCCTGTCTCTTCCCTCTGCCACCCTAGATGTGCCAGAGCCCTGGTGGTGCTGCGAGCTCTGTCTTGGGTGAGGCCCCAGATGTGTTGAACATGCTGGGAGCTGACAAGCTGGGACGCCTACGGAGGCTCCAGGAACGACTCGCAGCCCCTCCAAGTAGTGGGGGGCCCTGCCCACCCCCCACCTTCCCAGGCTGTCAAGGTTTCTTCAAGGACTTCATCCTAAGTGCCAGCAGGTAAAGGTCCTATCTTTTGCAGTGAGAGGGCACAAGTTAGGAGAGGTTTGGCCTCTCAAAAGGGCAACTCCTCTCCTTTTCCTGGGATGTAAGGGGGGGGGCAGTTGGTCTCACTTTCACCCACTCCCTGCTCCCAGCTTCCAGTTTAATCAACATCTCATGGATAGCCTGAGCCTGAAGATCCAGGAGCTCAATGGCCTCCCACTGCCTCAGCATGAGCCTGGGGATGAAGATGGGGAGTCGGATGTGGACTGGCAGGTGAGCAGAACAAGGAAGAACGAGGCCAGACCTAGGACAGGAGGGTAGATACAATGGACGGAAGACCAGTTTGGAAATGTTCTGAAAGCCTTATGCATATCACTGTTGCTCCCTTGGTTCCTCACAGGGTGAACGGAGGCAGTTTGCTGCGGTCCTTCTTAGTCTGAGACTTCTGGCTAAATTTCTGGGCTTTGTGGCTTTCCTGCCATACCGGGGCCCTGAACCACCTCCAAGCCGGGAACTTCAGGACTCCATTGTGGCCCTCAGGAGCCAGGTGAGTGAGCACAAAGTCCTGGGAAGTGGGGAGCAGGGAGACTAGCAGGACACAGGCTGCTCCCTTGGCTGTTTAGGAAAGCTGGCAGGTGAGGAATGGCACCCCGCCCCCACTGCCTGCTGACCAAACCCTGGCTCTCCCAGGTTCCTCCTGTCCTGGATGTGCGCGCACTGCTGCAGCAGGGGCTGCAGGCCCACCGGGCAGTGCTCACCGTGCCCTGGCTGGTGGAGTTCCTGTCCTTTGCTGACCACATTGTCCCCTTGCTGGACTACTACCGGAGTGTCTTCACTGTCCTGCTACGCCTCTACCGGTGAATAGACAGGGCTGAGGAGGCTGAAGCAGGAGGATTGCTGTGAGTTCCAGGCCAGCCTGGACTACATAGTGAGTTCAAGGCCAGCTTGAACTACATAGTAAGCCTGTCTCAAAAACAATGAATGTGTGGGGCCACAGTGAGCAGGCCTGCTGCACCTCGAGACTGAGCATCCCAGGCTTCCTCTGCAGTTTCAGTCAGCCCTGAACTTACAGGAGAGGCCACTGGCCCACAGTGACATTCTGTGTGTGATGTTTTGCCTTGCCCTTGGCCCTTTCTTGTCTCCTGTGGCACAACAGAAGTGATGATGTGGCAGGGGACACCATGAGGTGACAGAAGTGTCTTGTGAGGCCTGTGTTTGAGAAAATGCTCGGCAGTGGCTACTGTTCGCTCCCTGCCATTTTAGCACACACGTTCCCTTCACTCCCCCATTTATCTTTCAGGAGCTTGGTGTTATCACAGGAGGGTGAAGGAGAGATGTGTTTCCTGAACAAGCTGCTACTGCTGGCTGTTCTAGGCTGGCTTTTCCAGGTGGGCAGCCTGCGGGTCCCAATACAGAGGTGGTGCTAGGAGAGACAGGAGCACAGTGTGGGGTGAGCCAGATCCAGAGGTGTGGCCGTTGATGTGGCGTTGGTGCCTTGGTCCTGCCTCGTGACATTGTGAGGTATGGGGTCTCAGAAGTGCCAGCTAGAGCACGGGCTGCCATCTCTTGCCAGATTCCCACAGTGCCTGAGGACTTCTTTTTTTTGGAAGAGTGTCAGGTAGATGCCTTTGAGGTGGACACAGCTGCTTCGGAGCATGGTTTGGTGAGTGTTGGTATTGGCCCAGAGGCTTGGGAGCCCAGGAAGACAGGCCCACAGCCCGGGAAGGCAGAGGACAACCAACCCCGCCTCTTCTCATGCAGGACAGCGTGCCTGTGGTGGATCAGCAGCTGCTGTACACCTGCTGCCCCTACATCGGTGAGGATGGGCTCTCTCATGTGCCCAGGGCTGCGCTCCCCAGTGGCACTCTGAGACGCATCCCTATAGCCTGGTAGGCATGGGCATGGGCTGGCGGGCTTCTGGGACAGAGAACTGAGACTTCTCTGCTGCAGGAGAGCTCCGGAAACTGCTCGCTTCATGGGTTTCAGGCAGCAGTGGACGGAGTGGGGGTTTTGTGAGGAAAATCACACCCACCACCACCACCAGCCTGGGGGCCCAGCTTCCCCCAAGCAGCCAAGGACTCCAGGTAGGAGGACAAGCGGCGGGCAGGTGCCAGTGTATACGGCAACTGGGCCTCACAGACACCGCTCTCCTCACAGGCACAGCTCGCCCAGGCCTTTTTCCACAACCAGCCTCCTTCACTGCGCAGGACTGTGGAGTTTGTGGCAGAGAGAATTGGGTCAAACTGTGTCAAACACATCAAGTAAGAGGGCCTCAAAGGGTCTGCAGCCCAGTCCTTACCATTTTCCCCTTAAAAGCCCTGTGGCCAAAGAAAAGAAAGTCAGCTGGGAGAGCAGGAGAGTGACAAGCCCCTGGGGAAGTCCTAAGCAGGTGGCCTTTTCCTCAGAGGCCCTTTCTGATTTCGTCTTTCCAACTACCCCAAAACTTGCTGTCCCTGCTACAGGGCAACGCTGGTGGCAGATTTGGTACGCCAAGCAGAGTCACTTCTCCAAGAGTACCGAGTGGCACAAGGCCAGGAAGGGGGAGATCCAGCCCAGCTGTTGGAGATTCTGTGTTCCCAGCTGTGCCCCTCTGGGGCCCATGCATTAGCCCAGGGGCGGGAGTAAGAATCACGTCTCCTTGGACCTTTTTTCCTCCACTATCCTTGGCTTATTTTTCTGTTTGCTCTTCCCTTTCACACGCACATCCTTTATCCCCTCCATTTTCCCCTCTCTGCTCTAGGCTTATGCATGGTGAGGCACAAAGGTCAAGGATGACTCGGGATATGTGGTCTTCTTCTTCCTCCAGCATTTGGGGTGGGGTGGGGTGGGGTGGGAGTGGGCAGTGCACAGGCCTCACAGCCTCCTCCTGTTTCCTTTGAGGTTCTGCCAAAGGAAGAGCCCCGGAGCTGTACGGGCACTGCTTCCAGAGGAGACCCCAGCAGCTGTATGTAGTAGGGTAGAGGCCTGGAGCCAGCAGGTCCATGGTGTGTGTATGTGTGCATGCGTGCATATGTGTAAATGTGCATCTGCATGGAGCTGCTCGGGGACTCTGGCAGCTGTCGTTGCCCCTGGCTCCTGACTCCAGTTCTTTGCTCCCAGGTTCTAAGCAGTGCAGAGAGCATTGCTGTAGGGTTGGCCACCGAGAAGGCCTGTGCATGGCTGTCTGCCAACATCACAGGTGAGGCTGTACATTGTTTTGCATGATAGACCGGAAGCCTTGCACAGTTTGGAAAGATCGGCCCCAGCCAGCTGGAAACGGGAAGGGTGTGGATTGTTATGGTGAGCCTGTACGGGACACCCCAGTGATCCTGTTTCTGTTCTCCCCTGCAGCGCTGATTAGGAGGGAGGTGAAAGCGGCTGTGAGCCGCACACTTCGAGCCCAGGGTCCTGAACCGGCTGCCCGGGGGGAGCGGAGGGGCTGCTCCCGCGCCTGTGAGCACCACGCTCCCCTCCCCTCCCACCTCATCTCCGAGATAAAAGTACACAGCTCCCTACTCCCTTCAGCTCCCTGCTCCCTTTCCCGCTCTGTTCCTGGTTTTCCTTTCCCACATCAGCTGCAGGATTTCTGTGTAGAAGCTTTTTATGTTGTGTGGCTAGTTTATTTCATTTGTCACAGAAAGAGAAGGCAGAACAGAAGCAAGGAGTTTCCTTCCTGTTTCTAAGCACTGACATCCCTCGTAGTGCAGAAGGGTCAGTCTAGAGTTTTGAGTGAAGTGCATTTTACACAGAAAGCAGTGGAAATGAGTGGCATGTGGCTTGAAGTGTGACAGTCTGAGTGTCACTCCAGCAGCCCATGTGATTAATGTTCTTCAGACAGGGAAAATAACAGATCTTCTACCTTGGTTTAAAAACCAGGTTTTCTAGGTCAGCAAACAGCATATACAACATATCGAACCTTTTCTTTTTCGTTCTTTGCATACTTAGGATTGAATCCAGGACCCCAGTCCTTTATTAATTTCAAGGCAGAGTCCTATTCAGTTACCCATGTTGGCTAGAACCTGGCAGTCTTCCTGCCTCAGTCTCCCTGGAGTGCTAGGATTATAGGTATGTGCCAGAACGCCTTGCTGGTTTGAGACAGGGTCTCACTATATAGTTCAGGCTGGCCTCAAACATATGGCGATACTCCAGCCTGCCAAGAGCTGAGGTAACAGGAATGTGCCATCATGTCCAGTGTGGCTGTTTTTGTAGTTTTACTAGTTTCCCATCCATTTATGTACAGTCTTTGACTGCTTTTGTGCTACAGCGGCAGTGCTGCAAATTCTAATGTGTTTACTCTGTGGTCCCGACCTAAGGTAATAGTCTAGGAATAAAGGTATGAATAAGGACCACAGAACAATACCAAGAGGTAGCCACAAAGTAACTGGTTCTCACTGTGCAGATCTGTACTGAAACCTCCACTGGGTAAGACAAGGTGAACAGAAGCCTGAGGACTAGGAAACATCCAAACATGTGTCTGGCAGGACAGTCCCAAGCACTGTGAGATACCCTCTGGGAGTTGGTTAGGTGCTTGTCCCAAGCTAAATGGCATCTCTGGAGCTGTCAGGCAGAGCTCATCATCCTTCCATTGATCTGCTCCCTTGGGTGTCCCCATGGTAGATTTTCCTAGCCATGCTGTCCTGCCTGAGCCCCAGCTCTAGGGGCACCTCAGCCCAGCTGCTTCACCCCAGGGTCCTATTTTCCTTTTCCTTCTGTCCCTCTCCACTGGCTTGTTCCCAATGGCAGCCTGGCCCCAGCCTGGCATGAGATCTCACCCTGCTCTCTGCAGGATGTGCTCTCGCTGGCCGTGGGGCCCCGGGACCCTGACGAGGGAGTGTCCCCAGAACACCTGGAGCAGCTCCTGGGCCAGCTTCGCCAGACACTGCGGTGCCGCCAGGTAAGACTTGGCATGGGCCAGAAGGGAGGTGTCAGCAGCAGAGCCATACTGGCCCAGGGCCAGTTCTCCCAGCAGTGAAATGGTGCTGATTGCCCCCTTTTCCCCTGCAGTTCCTGTGCCCTCCTGCTGAGCAGCATCTGGCCAAATGCTCTGTGGAATTAGCGTCCCTCCTGGGTATGGCTTTTTATCACATCCTCTCACGGATTCTCCAAATCTCGGGGATGGGTACAAGCAAGACTAAAAGACAAAGCCCTCTTTGGCTTCCATTTTTAGACCCCGGTTTCCCTCTCTTCTGTAGTTGCAGACCAGATCCCCATTCTGGCTGCCCCACACCGGCTAGAGCGGGGACAGGCACGGAGGCTTCTGCTCATGCTGCTTTCTCTGTGGAAGGAGGACTTCCAGGGGCCAATTCCCCTGCAGTTGCTGCTGAGCCCAAGAAATGTGGGGCTTCTGGCCGACACTCGGCCACGAGAGGTGAGTCAGGCAGGAAGGTTCTTAGTCCTCTGTAGCTGGGGTCTTGTGATCACCACCCTTGCGGAGCTGCTGTGCTTCCTGTTTCACACTAAAGCAGACTCCTTGTGTTTGTCTCAAGTTCACACAGCAACTCTGACTTTTGAGCTCAGTCTGTCCGGTCACGGTCACTCTGCAGTGCCCCAGCAATGCTAATCTCCTCCGTGGTGGGCTTTTCAGTGGGACCTGCTGCTGTTCTTGCTACGGGAGCTGGTAGAAAAGGGTCTGATGGACCGAATGGAGATTGAGACCTGCTTGGGCAGCCTCCATGAGACTCCGTGGCCAGGGGTAAGCTGTCACTCTCCTCTGATCTCACAAGGAAAGAGATGTCACATAGCCAGTTTGTTGTCACTGGATAGGACAAGTATTGGAGACAGAACAAGTGGATGTGTCAGGTTTCTTCAGGACAACCAGGGATTAAGGCATGACTGTTGTTCTTTCAGACTACTGTAGCTGCTTTCTGAGGAAGCAGAGGGTGGGGGGAGCAGCTGGGAACAATGAGTATTGCTTTTTAAAATTAGGATAAGCTGGATTTGAATCATAGCCTAAGTTTTTTTTTCTTCTGTGATTCGAGGACAAGTAGTTTCTTCACCCATAAAATGGGATACTGGGTACTGAATTGGTCACAGACAGATAATGGTATGCTAGGGAAAGCCTCAGAGCTCACCATGCCATGACATGTACCTACCCAAGTACCAGTAAGACAATGTGGCACATCCACTTCAGTGGGGGGAGGGGGAGAGTTTGGAGTCCATCTACCCCCAATAACCTAGGGTTTGCTCTTTAGACATACCATGTCTGCCATTTTTTGTCGTCTTTGTCCTTAACTCCAGGACTTCCCTGAAGAATTGGCAACACTGTCTCGCCTGTTTTTAGCTGAGCTCCACCTGCCAGAACCCCAGCTAAGAGCTTGTGAGTTGGTGCAGCCAAGCAGGGGAACAGTGCTGGCCCAGAGCTAGGGATCCTGCCTGTACCTCAGGAGGAGACCTGGGGACTCACTGAGGCTGAGAAGTGGATTTTGCAGCCAGACTTCCTGCCCAGAAGGGAAGGAAGCGTGTGGCCCCAGTGTGGCTCACAGACTAGGCTTGCAGCCAGATCCTGGAGGAGAAGCCTTGGGCTCCAGTCCTGAGTGGAAGAACTGGGATTTCTAGGATGCTGAATGTACTGAGAGGAGCCTGCTCAACACGGTGCACAGGCTCAGCATCTCTGAAATCTGTGATCCTGGGGAGGCGTGACAAGGCAAATGACTTCTGCTTAACTTGTGAAGAAAGTTAAAACATGGACCTTGGGAGGCCACATTTTAGCACCAGGAACTGGACTACCACGTGTACCACGGAGAAGGCAGGACCACTGGCTGGAACCTGCTGTGATCTGGACCTTCGCTCTGTGCAGGTGTTAACTTTTTAAACCCTGTCTCCATCCAGGGACCAAAGACAGGGCAGAACTTTGAGGTTTTTGTTTATTTTTAAATAAACTTTTAACAAGGGCTTGACAGCTGTTTTCCCCAGTGTCTTCCTGTCTGAGGTAGTCTTTGAGTTGGGAGCTACGTGACTGCGACATCCATGTAGAGCCCACCCTGCGACTCCCACCCTGAGGCACTGTCTGCTGCTAACTTCCTGCAGCAGTGCAGAATTGTCTGGTGTGTAACTCCCTGTGCGCAGGACAGATTTAGGATATAGTGCAGTTTCCATTCACAGGAGCCTCCCTGCTGAGCTACATGGTGGAGTAGCTTCTGGAATATCAAGTTTAGCTCAGAATGTGCTTTGGAACAAAGTGTTCTATTTTTTGGATTAATTGTTGAGACTATGTCTCTAAATGAATCAGTAAAGTACATTATATTCATTCCTACATGATGTTTCTTCTTTTTGAGAATAAGACAGTTTGTAAGTGGCTTATAAAAATCTAAGCATGCAACATTTCTTAGGATAAAAATTTGTTATCAGAAAGGTCGTTGACCCAGATTTTGTGGGCCCAGAGAGATCTCCCTGTGTTTCCACAGCAAAATGAGGAGATGCCATCATCAGCAAGCTGGTGACAGAAGAGTTTCTCAGTCACATTTCTCCCTGCTCACTGCAGCCCACCATGCCTCTTTCACCACCACTCCCTTAAAATTTCTGCATCTGAACCTAATCTCTTCGTTGTCAAAAGCCTTTATTTTTGTCCTTCAAGTCCAGTGCCTTCTTAAAAGTTTGTCCTGGCAACTGAAGCCAGGGCCTTATACACACTAAGCATGTACAATGCCACTGAGCTATACTCCCAGCCCTCTCAAAAAAGCTTTTAAGAAATACAGTTTCCTGCTGGATGTGGTGACACATGTCTATAATCCCAGCAACTGAGGCTGACATGAGTTAAGGCAGCCTGGGCAACACAGTGAGTTTAAGATCAGCCTGGTCTTTATAGCACAGTGATCCTCCTGATCCTCCTGCCTCAGCTTCTGGAGTGCTGGGATTACAGACATGTGTCACCACACCCAGCTTATATTTCTGCTTTCTGTGCTCAAAGACAAGCACTACAACAATAGGGTTAAACAGCAAGCAAAGCCAAACCCTGCTGAAGGTAAGCAACAGGCTCACAAGCTACTTTTTGACGTGCTTAGGAGAGTCTCAAGCCCCAAAGAATGCTGGGCTTACGAAGGTCTGACTTAAGGCCACTGAGTTAAAGCCAGGTGTTATGGGTACCTGTATGGTCCCAATGATGGACCCTGGTCGATGTAAGCCTTACAGGTACTCATAAGGGCTGTAGAGATAGGAAACTACAAAGGACCAGTGAATTAATCAGATTGTTTTCTATATATCTGCACTCTGAATTGTCCAAACGAGCACTCTTCAAAGTGCTGTCCCTAGACAAGAGCCTCAAGCATCACCTGGGACTTCCTAGAGAAACAGAAGCCACAGCCTCTCCCTAGCTGACTGAGTGTAAGAAGGCCTTCAGGTGACTCTGTTGAATGCCATAGTTTGAGAACCACTAATCTAAACTAAAATCTGATCTTGCATTTAGCTGAACAGTCACTTGTGATTTGCTACAAAATGAGCCTCAAAACATCAGCCTTCAGTATATCTGGGGGCTGTGCTGGTTCCATGATGCTTAGGCCTATATATAATGGCACAATATTTGCATCTAACAGTCATCCACTACACTTATTTTTTCTCCTGTACTGTATATTTGAGTCATTTCTAGATTGCTTATAATACCTACAACAAGGTAAGTGAGTATAAATAGTTGTTATCCTGTATTGTTTAGAAGAAGACAAGAAACAACGTTTGTTGGCTGAGGGCACAGATGTGGAACAGAGATGATTGCCGATTACACACTGCCGACTCAGCATGGTATGTGAGGGAAACAGCGTCACCATGAGACTGTCCCTGCACTCAGGTCCCTACACCTGCCTCCTCCAGCTCTAGGATGTTTGCTCATCTTTTCACTTGGGCATGTGCAAGGTGTCTGGCTGCTGATGACTGCTAGGTGGGCGCTGGGCACAAAGGAAGCAGTCTGAGTGCAGGCCATAGGGCAGGCCAAATCCTACCAAGCTCAAATAACAGGCACAAGCTCTTTTAAGACCTCCTTCCCAGAATACAGGTATGCACGGGACTTTGGGTTTACAGGTATCCTGACCTTTCGGATCAGGTCTTCATAAAGAGATTTATATATGAAGGCATTAATTTACCAAATGTTACCAAAACAAATTAACCAGAAAAAAATAGAAATTTAAAAGCAAGTTTTTAAAACTTTCAATAATACATAAATAATGAGGTACGAGAAAAAGAAGGCTCTGCAGACATTCTCAGAAGCAGAAATCCTTGCTGTGCTGCACAGAGATTTACCACTCTTGCTCAGATTTACCACATCTGCTCAGGCCCCGGTGACTGCCCTTTGCCAGCAGGGATACGCAGCAACTGCACTACAGCAGGGAGTCCCCCATTAGCACAAACTCACCTCCACCCTTAACAAAGACAGCCAGAGCAGGTCCTGACAATTCCTTTATCTCCACTGCCCATCCGCACCTCCTTCCCATCTTCAGAGTTCAGTTTTCAGTATGAAGTTCCTCTTGTCAGTGCACTGCTCCTCAAAGAGGCAGTCCTTAGCTCTACCCCATATCCACCCATTTCTAATCTGATGCCCCCTAGCTCTGGTGCAAAGACCCACGTGTCAGGAAAGGAAAGAAAAGGCAAAACAAACAGTAAATTTTGCAAAAATTCACCAGGGAGAAAAGATTCTGAATCAGCACTCTGATTTGGTCAGCTGTTTTTTTTTTTTTTTTTTTTAACTCTTTTCTGCTTTGGTCCCAACTCCACCACACAGACAAGCTGCCCGCCAAAAGGAAAGCAGATGGAGAATGGAGTCCTGGCTGGTGGTTGCTTGCTTCCTGACAGCTCTCCCGTAGGACAGGGCAGGATTAAGGAGGTGCTGCACCAAAACACCAAAGTTCCCCAACTCTGATGGCTGAGTCCCAGGAATGCAAAAAAAGGTGAGAAATCCAAAAGGTGAGTTGACAGCTGAACGGCTCGGGCCAGGAGCCCAAAGTGCTCAATGCAAAGGTGCCAGAGGCAACCAAGGTAGCCTCGGTTCTTCTCACCTCAGGGCCGTGGCATCAGTTCAGAAGCACCATCTTGACAAGGCGATGCTAGCTACCAAGGAAGGAAGCCAGCCTGGCCACAATCAGAGGCTGCTGTCTGACAAAGGAACTCAGGTGATGAGGGGGAAAGCCTGGAGCACCCAGCTCTACCTGAAAGTAAGAAGGAAGAGTTAGGGTTGAAAAAGACCTGAAGGTGCCAGGGCCTTCCTGTCCCAACAGACACCCTGACGAGGCAGTGGGAGGTCACTAGGCCCCAAAGGCCATCTACAAACTCCTGGGCTCCACTGCTCAGATCTCAGCCTCAGTTCTCACCTCCCACTGAGAAAGTCCGAGTCATGGGACTGAAAGTAGAAAGCCAAACAGAATGAAGGATGAGTTTACCAAAGCTTCTATGCAGGTGGAGTGGGGTTTAAGACAGGATCTCACTAAATCACCTAGGCTGGCCTTGAGCTTGAGATCCTTCCTCCTGCCTCAACTTCCTAAGTGCTGGGATTACTGGTGTACACACTACACCCAGCTCAGCCCTTGCAATGATTCATCTATACAGTGTTAAGGACCTTGGGAGAGAAGGGCTGGTAAATTCTTTCCTATTTCTGACTTCCCACTGGGAGCCCTAGAAGCCTCGAGTCTTCCATCTATCAGGCAAAGGGCCAGGCCACTGAAAGATGTTGCCCAGAAGGACAGACAAATTCCAACACGTGCTGTGAAGCCAGTATCACCTGGGCCAAGTAGATGACTCTTGTAATTTCCTTCCCTCCCATGGTGACAGGCTGCAAGATCCAAGCACTAGGCAGGATTTCCCCTCTGACCATTTGTCTGCTGGGTCTTGGCATAGATGTGTCATACACAGACTGAGCTGCCATGACAGACAGGTGCCCCTAGGGACAGAGATGTGCGTCAAGGGACAGGTTCAATAGTCAGCATAGTGGAAGGCAATGCTGGGCCAGCCTTGAAGCTGCCCCTGCCTTGGCCCCACCCCCAGTGTGCTCTCCTTCTCACGGAGGACCCAGTGCCCACGAGTGCTCCATTCCCCGTTCTTCCCACGACATCTTTACCACCTGTGAGGCAGGCACCTCTTTGGCTTCTACGCAGACACAACAGAAATCCCTCGGCTGCTTCAGCGCACACAGGGAGGCATTGCACACAAGGTACACTGGAGAGGCAGGGCAAGGGAGTCAGGAACTGTGGGCAGACCTTCTAATCCTTCTGCCTTCAACCCCTTTATATGCTGACTGACACTCAAGGAAAGTTAGGCCAAGCGCTCTGGGGTGGCCTGAGGAGCGGGCATCCCAACAGGGCTGCCTCCCACCCTCTACCGCTGTCCCTGGCCAGACTCCTGAAGCCTCCTTCCTCTGAACTCACCCAGGCTGATGCTCTTGGTCACCCGCTGATGCAGCCTTGCTGTCTGGATGGGCTTGTGATACAGGGGCCACAGGGTTGGGTCACTCACAGCTGCCCACACGTGAGACAGCGGCTGGACCACCATTCCTGCCCCCAGGAAGCCGTGACGAGTAGAAGAAAATTCCTTGTAGTAAAGCTGTACCTCCTGCTCCTTACCTTGATAGCTGAAGGACCCCAAGGACCAGAAAGAGGAAGAGGTAAAAAAATAAAAACAGGTTCCAGCTGAGCATGGTGATGCACACCTATAATTCCACCACTTTGAGAGGCTGAGGCAGAAGGATCACAAATTCAAGCCCAGCCCAGTCATTTAGTGACATAGACCTTATCTAAAAGTTTAAAAAACAGGGGAGTGGGGTAGAAATGTAGCCCAGGGTGAAGACTCTGGGTTCCAGTAACAGCAAAACAAAATAAAACAATGGATTCCAAAGCAGAGAGGAGAGCTCAGGTTATGGGATTCTGGGACACTAGGCAGAGAAGGGGAGGAGAAGCCAAACAAGACAAGGGTAAAACTGCGACAGAACCAAGGGACTTACTTCCAGCCTGCTGTTGCCTCGCAGCTGAAGAGGTTGTGAAGATTATCTGAACAAGCAGCCATTACCTGGGGACACAGTCACCACATTATACAGTTGGCAGCATACACACCAGGCCCCTAGGTCAGTGAACACCTGTTTCTCAAGATAGCCACTGAGGAAGGCCACAATCAAGGTGGCCATAATCTGCACAGCTCCCCCCGCCCCACCCAAGCAGAGGTCTGGCTAAAGCAGACAAATAGGGCAGTTACATCGGCCATGGATGTGTCCACGATGTGCTTGGCCAAATCCTGGTAGGAGGAGGAGAAGCAGGTTCCCAAGCTAGACAGGCTGGATGGCGACCAGCAGCAAGTGCCCACGGAGCCTCTGTGGCCTGCCAGAAACAGAGACTCTGAGACAGCACGAACCGCAGATCCTCAGGACATTCACAGCTTTCAGCAGGGACATCAACATGAACACTGATACTCTCAGGCCAGTGACTCACTCCTGAGCCCCAAACCAGAATCTATATCCCACCTGCCCACCACTCACCGTAGGCTGAGCTCTTCAGGGTAGATCCAGCCAGGTACATGTGACTGTTCCTGAATGCAGACCGGCTCCGCCCATTCACCATCCAGGTTTCTCTGGAACCAGGCAAGTGAGAGTCCCTCTGTGGAACAGAGGACATTCAGGGCCAGAGAGCCAGCAAGGAAGTGCAGAATGATCTCACTGTTGGCCTTTGATGCCTGTTTCAGACCCACCCTGCTGGGATTCCAGGAGGCAAGATGCAGCCAAGAGGTCACAAACAATAGAAATCAGCCCTGGCCAGGGATTTAGCCCAGCAGCATAAGCACCTGCCTGCAAAGCCCGAGGTCCTGAGTTCAATCCCCAGTACCAAAACCAAACAAACAAACCACTAGAGTGAAAAGATATTTAAAAAAAAAAAAAAAAGAAAGAAAGAAAGAAAAGAAAAGAAAGAAATCAGCTCTGGAACATCTTGCCCTCCAGGCCACTTTTCAGAATTCCAACAGGGATCAGAACTGAATGGCAACCTCAAGGATGGTGATGGGAGGCTTTCTGGACCACCATGGCAACAGGAATAAGGTTATGGCTTTGGGGTGGGAGGCTCGTGTGGGTCATAAAGCCAAAGTGGAAGATAAGGCAGAGAGGAAAAACACTGCTCTGCAAAGCCAAACCCCTGGTCCCTAAGTCCTAATGTGGAACCAGATGAGCTGAGCCTCTGGGTCCATGACATAGGCCCAACTTCTGCTGGCCTTAACAGGCAGTCACCAGATGACTTTTGTCACCACTTTTATAACCATTGCTCTGTGGAGCCAAGAAGAGTTAGCAAAGACTACCTGCTTTCTCATCTCGCTCCACCAGCTGCAGCAGAGAGCAGCTCACCCAGCTTAGGTTTAATTTCTTAGCTCCCTGTCAGGCAGCCTAATTACTGACCTGTTCCACCTGCCTTGCCTGCCCCTCTTCACCGGAGACTTCCTGTTAGGACCACAAGCTCCAAGCCCTGTTTTCACAGATGCACTTCCGGCTGTAGTTGATTCTCTCTATCCCATTCTCCTCCAGCCTCTTTCTCTATTCCAAGTAGCAGTCACACTGCTTGGGATTCCTGTGGCTGGGACCCACGCAGCTTCCAAGGCCACCTTCCTCCTGAGGCCTGCCTGGAGTCCCACCTCCAGCTCCGTCCTGTTCCTTTTGTTGAGTGGTTTTCAACCACACATTAGTATTGTGTGACCCTTTCAGGCCCTATTTACTATCTTACTCTGTAACTTGTTCCCAGGTGATCTCATCTGTTCCCAGTGCTACTCTGATGCCTTCCAAGTATAATCACGGATTAATCAATAAATATTGCTAAGACAATTGGGTAGCCATATGAAAAAGACTATTTCAGACCCTCCACAGCTCATGCCAAAATAAATCTTTTATGCTTTGTGAATCGAAGGTATGCTGAGGGTAGGGGAAGTGGAACATTATAAGAGAATATAACGAAGTCATAGTGGGGGTTACAATAAATAAACACCCTGCTATATCAAATATAATAATATATTTAAATTTTTTAAAGTTGGAATGGTAATGCACACGGGAGGATTACAAGTTCTAGCACAGCTTCAGCAACACAATGGCTTAGTGAGACACTTTCAAAACAAAACAAATCAAGGTTGGGTGCTTGGATGTAGCTTAGAACAAAAGCCCTGGGTTTGATCCCCGGTACTACCAAAATAACGAACAACAAACATATCGGATATAGCTGAAGGAATGATCAAATGAAAAATTTTAGCTTTAAACATCAATGAAAAGAAATAAAAATGAATTCTATGAACAACGTATGCCAACAATTTAGATAACTTCAATGAAATGGACAAATTTCTGAAAGGATACAAAATACCATCACTGACACAAGAAGAAACAGAAAATCTTAACCAAACATTTAACAAAACATCAAACTAGTACTAAAACTCAGGATAGCAAAATCTGCCAAATTAATTAGGAGTTAATATTAATTCTTCCAAAAATTCATTGTATAAGGGCAAAATAGCAATTAGAAATAAATTACTGACCAATATCTTTAACAATATATTACAAAATTTCTCAACAAAACACTAGTGAAGGATTGGAGATTTAGCTCAGTGGCTACCAAAAAAAAAAAAACAGAAACAAAAACAAACAAACAAAAAAAAAACACTAGTGAACTAAATCTAGCAATATATCAAGAAGACTGCAAATCATAACCAAATAGGATTTACTGCAGGAAATGTATAGTTTGTTCAACACACAAAAATCAATGTATTACCGTACTAACAAGGGGAAAACCCCACACGATCATCTCAATAGACAGAAAATCCAATATTCCTTTCCAGTTAAAAAATACACTCAACAAATGAGTGTAAAGAGAATTTGCCCAGCTTAATAAGGGTCAGCTATGGACAACTCACAGCTACTATCCTACGTAACAATGCAAGACTGCTTTCTCCTAAAAATCAGGAACAGAAATGATGTCTGCTCTTACCACTTCTGTACACTGTGCCAGAGATTCTAGGCAAGCAGGTAGGTAAGAAAATAACAAAAAAAGGCAGATGATAAGATCCTGTATATAGAATATTCCAAGGAATTTAATAAAGTACTACTAGAGCGTTCAGCAGGAGTATGCAAAACAAAATCCATATACACAAATCACTTCTAAAAATGAAGTAAAAAAAGTCCACTTATAACAGCACCAAAAGGAACAAAGTACTTAAGAACAAATTTAGGGGTGGGGATTTAGCTCAGTGGCCTAAACACATGCCTGGCAAGCAAAAGGTTGTGAATTCGATCCCCAGTACCCAAAAAACAAACAAAAAATTAAAAACACAACCAATTTAATAAGTGAAAGATGTATACCATTCTGCAAATTTTAAAACTGGGCATGGTGGTGCACACCTATAATCCCAGTACTCAGAAGGCTGAGGCAGAAGTATCATCGTGAGTTCAAGGACAGCTTGGGATACAAGGTGAGTTCGAGGCCAGCCTGGACTACGTAGTGAGACGCTGGAAGTTGAAATCAAGTAACACTTAAATAAAGACATTTACAAGTTCATGGCGTTAAAGTGTTAAGAGGCAATGTTCCCTTCCACCTTGATCAAAAACTCAGTGAAATCCCAATGAAAACACCAGCTGATTTCACAAAAAGTGACAAGCTGATTCTAAAATTCATACAGGAACATAAGGGACTCAGAACAGGCAGTTATCTTGAAAAAGAAGAAAAGTTGGACAATATCATTTTCTGATTTCAAAAATCTATTCCTGATCTCAGAAGTTACAGAAATCAAGACAGTGTGGTCCTGGCATTAAGAACACAGTAGCTCAGCAGTATAGATAGTACCAAGTGCTTAGCATGTGTGAATCTCTGCATTCGACCCCTAGCACCCAAAAAGTAAAAAAGACACAGACTAATGGAGTCCAGAAACAAGTCCATACATCTATAATCCACTGATCTTCCACAAGGACACTGAGACAATTCAATGGGGGAAAAGCAGGTTTTCTGATAAATGGTGATGAGAAGTGGGCATATGCATTCAACTTCAAACTTCCACCTCTTAACATAGGAAATCAACCCAAAACAATTTAAAGACCTAGATGTAGGAGCTACAAATGTAAAGCTCTCACAGGGTAATCATAGAAGAGAGATGTGATTGTTGTTACCCTGGACTAGGCATTAGTTTCTTAAATATGACACACACTAAAGGAAAACAAATGACATTATCAAAATTTTAAAAATTAGTGCTTCAAAGAGCACTATATGAGGACACTGAAAAAATACAGAGAATGGGAGAAATTACTTGCAAATTTTGTATTAGAATATATAAAAAACTAGAATACTTAGAAAACCATTGCTGGACGTAAGCCCAGCACTGAGAACATAGAGGCAGACAGATTATCATGACATCAAGGCCAGCCTGGGTTACACAATGAGTTCAAGTCCAGTTTGAACTACACAGTGGAACCTTGTCCCCCAAAACACTAACATTAAAAAGAAAAAAATTCAACTTTAAAAATAAGCAAAAGATCTCGATAGATATATCCCCAAAGATACAAAAATGTATATGGAAAGATGTTCAATACTATTTAGCCATCAGTAAGGCAACACATCACATCCAGCAGGATGGGTATAAGCAGACATAACCCTCACTCAGTGCCCACTCAGGACTGGCCCTAGGACATCCTCAGGACACCAAAATATGAGCTACTCAAATTTCTTTTATTTTTTGGTACTGAGGATTGAACTCATGACCTTGTGCTTGCCAGGCAGACACTTAGGCCAACTGAGCTAAACCTCCAGCCCTCAAATTTCTTACATAAAATAGCATAGTATTTCCATATAACCCTTTGTAAATCCTCTCCATCCTCCTATAACCTTTAAGTAATCTCCAGATTATTTATATCTAATTCTGTACCATATAAACACTGTGCATTATGGCTTGTATCTAGATGTCCCCCACAAAAGCTCCATGTGCTCATACATGGAGGTGCTTGTATTTCGCATGTGTGAATGTGGATTAAGAGGGTGATAACTGGGTTAGTCCACAACTGGTTTAGCTCTGTTCTGAGCATGAGGGAAGCCCCAGCCTGGCTGTGGGTGGCACCAATCAACAGGCTCACAGCTTGGATGGACTACAGAGGGACAGTAAGAAAGCAGGCTGGCCACACCATGGATGGTCTGCCATACCATGGACAGTTTCTCTTCTGTGAGGCCACTCTCTGCTCTGCTGCACATCACCTGCTTTGGAGTCAGCTGACTATGGACTGAAATCTCTAGGAACTATACCCTTAAATAAATGTTTCTTAACTTATTTTGGCTCAGCAAGGAGAAAAGTCAGACAAGATGTAAATAGTTGTTACACTGTGTTGTTTGGGAATAATGACAAGAAAAATCCTGTACACTTTTAATACAGATGTAGCCATCTTAGCTCTAACTGCATAGTAACATCAGGAGCTACAAACATTTCAGATACTTTTAATAGAAAGTTGATTACATCTGAAGATGTGGAACCTATGAATACAAAGGAAGGACATTAACAGCAAGTGGTAGTGAGGATCTAGCATTCTGCTTCCGGGGATTCATGTAAACAATGCATCCTCTCTGAAAAAGTTTAGTCTTTCTTCAATGAACCAAAAATTCAATTCTAAGTATATACCCAAGAGAAATTAAGGCATGTTGACACAGAAACTTGAACAGCTAGTAAATTACCTTTATTTCTAAAGCATATTTTGATCTTTCTAAAAACTACTAAAGAATGTGGATGGCAGCATTATTAGCAAGAGGCAAAAAAGACACATGTTTATCAGCTATTGAACAGATAAAAAAAGGTAGTCTATTCATGCACTGGATATGGGGGAGGGTTGGGACTCAATGAAGGGCTTTCTTACCAGGTTATCCCCTTTTGTTTTGAGACAGGGTCCTGCTGAATTGCTAGGCTACCCAGGCTGGCTGTGTATTTGTGACCGTCTGGCCTCAGCCTCCCTGAGTTCTGGGTTTACAGGCATGCGCCGCACCACGCTTACCCACACAATGCAATATTATTTGGCCATTAAAAGGAATGCAGTTCTACTAAATGCTATAACATGAATGAATTCTTGTAGGTTGGATTATCATTTCCAATAAAAGGATTATTTTATCAGAGCCTTACATCTGATGATTGATGACACTGGGAGAGCCATGCAAAGAACGGACACACAAGGCAGCCAGGCGAAAACAGAAGCAGACACTGGAGTAACATGGCTGCAAGCTTAAAAATGCTCAAGACTATGGCAGACACTAGGTTCCTGGAGAAAGGCAGAGATAGACCCCACACGATGAAGGTTTCTGAGGCACTGATGCATTGCTAACAGCAGGATTTCAGATCTGTGGCTTCCAGAACTATGAGACAATATATTCTGCTGTTGTAAAGCACCCTGTTTGTGAACACTTGTTACAGTGATCCTAAAAACTTATATAACCCTGAAAACATTATTCTGAGAGAGACAAGCAGTACAAAAAAGACCGCATATTACATGATTCCATGTATACAAAATTCTGAGAAAAGGCAATGCATAGAGACTGAAAAAAAATTAATGGCTACCTAGGGCTGAGAGATGTTAAGTTCGGGGAAAAGTACGTAATGGTGTAGTGTTTTTTTTTTTTTTTTTGAGGAGGTGAACAGAAATGCTTTAAAATTGACTATGGTGCTGAATGCACACTCTCCAAATATATACTAATGGCCAATGAATTACAATGACAGCAAAAGCATGTCAGTTACAAGTGAGGAAGAATTCATTTAAAAAACATGGAACAGGGGCTGGGGATTTAGCTCAGTGGCATAAGTGCCTGCCTTGCAAGCAGGCAGTTGTGAGTTCGATCCCTGGTACCGATAAAAACGAAAAAGACAAAAAAAAAAAAAAAAACATGGAACATGTCAAAAGGACTCAGGACAAAAATAAGTAAAGCCAGAACAATCAGACCAATGACATCAATAAAGATAACTATTAAATTACAGTCCACAGAATCCACTTCAAATAATGCTTTTTTAAATTTTATTTATTTATTTTTTTTGTCCTTTTCATTTTTATCGGTACCAGGGATTGAACTCACAACCACATACTTGCAAGGCAGGTGCTTATGCCACTGAGCTAAATCCCCAGCCCTCAAATAATGCTTTTAATAAACAATTCTACACATTACTTTATAACCTATGCCAGCACAACTTTTATATCCTGCCAATATCAGCATCATCTGGCTAATTTTGGCCAGCTTAGTAAAGTTGTATACAAAGGCTGATAAAAAATACCATGTATTAGAGAACATACTCATTAGTAAATAATAAGACACACTTGTAAACATCATATTGTTTCACTAGTGTGACCAGCTGAAATTAAAAAAAAGTGTATATGTATATATATATATGTATATAAAAATAGTTAAGATAGTCAAACTATTGATTTCTCTGAGTTCGCTAAAGAGAAAGATCTGTGCTAGAACTGTTCAGACAACTGAATGCAGGTGTCTTGCGCTCTGGGTGAGTGATTTGGAGATGGCAGGGCACAATGCAGGTACCATTGTTGCCCCAATTAATGTGTTCTGAAATTTTGTTGTAGCCTTTTTTTTCCCTTTTGATCCCTGAATAAAATGAATTTGAAACAGAAACCATGTGTATTTAAATTTTAAAAATTATTATAAAAAAAGACATTCCCACTAATCCCCCTCAAAATATACTACCTTTCATTTGGAACACACTCATCCCATCATTTGTGACATTTCCGGAAGCCATTCCAGAAGTTCTATTTCATGAGGATGCAGTGTGATAAAACCTACAGCGAATGCTGGTGCTGAGTGCCATCCAATGAGAAGGCAGGCTTGTAAAAATACCAGTGTGTCCTCATCCATGAGTTCACCAGATGTGTCACTATGTGATCTACGGTTACTCCACAAAGTACAAGTGACTATGAAAGACTAACATTTTAAATCAATTCAGGATGCCAAGGCAGCTGCAACAGTGCAACAAAAGAGACTAAACTGTCCAGGGTGTGATCCTCCTGCCTTAGCCTCCTACAGTGCTGGTTTATAGGAATGTGCCACCACACCTGGCTCCCAGCCAGATCTTACATTGGAGCTTTAGATCCATCTTTGTTGTAGTTGACTCTGCCTGATACATCTGGATTTCTTATAGGCACTTTCAACTTAGGAAAGTGGAAATCTTGGTCTCTCCCTAGATGTCCTCCCACATCCGTCATCACTGACCACCATCCCTTCAGCTGTTCAAGTGTATCCCTGATCTCGACTCTCCTTTCCCCTTCTTCTAACATCTAACAGTCATCAAGACCTTTATTTGCTCTCTCCACTACATCCACATCTGTTCACCTTCACTGGCAGTGCCCTTAGGCTAGGCAGCTGCCATCTCTCATGCCGCCTTTCCATGTCACCTACCAGGTCCTCCGCACTGCTCCTGCTGCCTCCTCCTGCTGTGGAATCTATGTCTCTCTTTAGCAGCTTTCTCACTCTTCAGCAGCTTTTGGTCACTTTAGGGAAGTCACATCAGAGCAAGTCCTTCCCCATGTCCCTACCCCATGTCATCCTCTATATCCCTGCCTTACCAGTTTTTGTTTCCGTTGTCCCCTCCTTCTATGGCCCACATCTTTCCTCTCCTCCTTCCAGTCTCAGTGTAAGTAATTTCTCACCAGAGATTCTACAGATTCTGCAGGACAGCCCACCCTGTTTAAGCAGGCTTAGTGCCCCTTCTCCAAATAATTTATTGAAACTTAATCATAAAATAAGCTGGTTATCTAGTAGTCACTTCTGTGTCCAAAATAGTGCCTGCAAAATAAACACTTGAAAGACTGGATAAACGAGAGGGTGAGGGAGGTGGAACTTAAGATGAGACCATGAGAAGGGCTGCTGTCAGCAGTGGCCCAGGAGGCATGGGTCTTGCCAGTCTCCTGGCTCCACAGTCGTGGCTCTGGCTTGTTCATGGCATCTGTCCACTCACCACACTCTCGGGGGACTGGAGCTGGCCCGACAAGGCTGAGCTGCTATTATAACCGGAGGTGATTCCAGACGAAAGGCTGCCGCTGGAGCTGGTGCATGGGGAGCTGGAGTGGGCCAGGTTATGTAGTTTTTCTTCTTCCTGGGAATGACAGTTCACCATCAGCCAGTTTCTGATACACCCATGAGACCCCATCCTATCCTTCCATCTCCTGTCTCCCATCACCCATGCGCTTCACTAGAAACCCTATAAAGCCAGGTCTGAGAACAGAGCTGGTCGGATGACAGCAGGAGGGGCACAGCCTCAGACTCAGAACGGCCACAGTGATGCGCCTTAGACTGGGTCTGCCCAGACTTTGGACCTATGGTACAGTCGAAGCTCACTCCACTCCTTACCTTCAGCAGCTGGGAGACAATCTGCTGGTGGATTCGAAGCTTCTCCTGTGCAGTCCGCTCTCGGAGCCGCTCCCGTGCCTGGGCAATCTCCACCTTGGCTTTCTCACGGGCCCAACGATAGTTCCGCAGCATCCGCTCCATGTCAGTGGGTGGGTGGGCAGAACTCAGAGCTGACTCTGGGCTTCTGTGGGTGGAAAGATAGCATCCAACACGGTGGATGGGAATCAGCCCTGCCTGCTTCACAGGCCAGTCTCTCACCTCCTTGAAGGGCTCATTCACCCCCAGCCCAACCATCCTTTCCTGTAACTTCCCACGTCAATCCTGCCGTATCTGATTCTTTCCTTTTGGTCCTGTCTGCACACCTCCACTGTCCACACAGCAGAGCCTCCTGGACATCAACTCCAGCCCTAGCTCCTCAAGGCCCCTCTCTACCACAGAGCCCCTTCCTGCAGGTGCTGGGTCCCTGTTACCTGGTGGTCTCCACCACATCCTTCCTCAATTGCTGCAAGTATTCTCGGCGCTTGCTGGGTAAGTCCAGGTCCCAGGAGGGGAAAGCCCTGTTAGGCTGGAGGCTCAGTCCTTTGTGGGGGCTTAGGCTCCGTGTCCTGCGGAAGTTCTGAAGTCGCTCAGCTTGTTCTCTTTTGAGGGTCTCAGCAGTTTGTCTTTGCCTAAGACAAAACAAGGATCAATCGATTCCTTGAGCTGGCCCTGAGTGCTCTCACCTTTTCTCTTCCCGCTCCCTCACCCTGCCAGCAGGGAGCCTTACCGAGCATGGAACTCCTCCCTGGTGGACATCACAGCCTCATCTGGAGCAAGTGCGGCACCTGTTCCTCGCTGCAACACCTGCAGCAAGGCATCTGCCTGCCCGAAGCCATGATGCAGCTTTGCTTCTGTGAGTTCTACACTGAGCGGGGTGCTCTGAGCTCCAACTTGCAGGGAGACCTGCTCCCTTGGGGACCATTCAGGATCTGGATTCTGGTTGTCCAGTTGTGGGAACATCTGCCCCTGCTCTCCAGAGCTGAGATCAGAACTGGCCTCCAGTTCATTCACACCCAGCCCCCGAGAGCCATGTTGAACCCCAAACCAGTTACTAAATTTGTTATGCACTGGGAGCTGCCTTAGGCTGCAATGGTGGGGTTCAGGGGCCATACACATCTGGGAACCAGGACACAACACTCCCTGAAGGTGGCAGGCCTGGGGTGAGCCAGCAGTAGAACCTCGTGTCCCTGCAGGCTCAGTTAGCTCAGCAGCAGGGCAGGAGTTATGGTGTAGGGGGCCTTTCCATGATGAGGAGAGATCCTCAGGGAATTGTGGCTCCACTAGAGGTGCTGCACTCTCACCCCCATTTTTAGGCCTGCTCTGCCACTGACTTGGCCCCTGACTGCTCCGTGGGCCGTGCTCTGGGAGAACCGCCTCTACAGACACAAAGCTGTCAGTCAGTTTCTGGCCACAGTGCCTTGGGGGTGGAGGTGGCGGGCTGCTTTGGCCTCCAGTGGTGGTACTTGGCTGAGGCTGCTGAAGAGGTTGCTCCAAGAAGCTAACTTGGACACTTAGGCTCTGTGGTGGGCTGCATGGGGGACTTGACTCCAAGAATGACTTACTACTGCCTTTTCCACCCAGAGCTTCCACTGGCTGGAAGCCACCTGGTTCATGAGTGATTTGAGAACAACTGTCCGCTGCAGGTCTTGGGCTGAAGTCAAGCTTCTGGTGACATTCCAGAGGACAGGTCGAGGATGCTGAGAAAGTCAAAAAGCCGAGGGGAGGACCCAGCTCTTGGGTGCTGGCACTAAATGTGAGGATTGGAGAGGAGGCCCTGTCCACCAAGGCACTCGTGGGATCCAGCTTCTCCTGGACCTGAGGCTCCTTGGCAGACTCTGAGGCAGTGGGAAAAGGCCCTGGGGTGTGAGATGTGCTGAGGCTGGTGTTGTTTACAATCACATAAGAGGCGTCCCTTGCCTGGGAAGCATCAAGAGAAGCTGGTGGACTCACAGAAGAGAGGTTCTGCTCTCGAAGGGCTTTCTGAAACCTCAAGTGGAGTGAAGGCACTGGAGGGCTTCTTAGTCTACAGTGGGCACTTTCTTCATGAAGATCTGAAGGCACAGTGGCTTTCCATGTCACTTCCTCTGCGTCTCTCTCAAGGGCTCCTGTGACTTGAGACTCAGGTGTAGTATCTGAGCTCAGCACTTCAGGGATTACAATGACTTCCTGAGTTTTGGCCTCTGGGGCCTGTAGGTGCAGAGGGGGTAAGGTTAAGTCAGTCTGGCTGTCCTTCTCCACACAGGTCTGAGTCCCACTGTCCAATCTGAGAGTATGTAGGGCCCCAGCTGAGGGGTCCCTCTTGGAGGTCTGTTCCTTGGCCACACCTGGATGGGAAAGACTTCCAAGTAACTCTGAGGTGCTGTTTAGGAGCTGGGAGAGGTGGAGAGACAGGTTGTGCATGCTGGCCAGGGAGGCCAGGTCACAAGGTGACACCACACTAGTGTCAGGCTGAGCAGAGAAGACATCAGCACAGCTCTGGTGGAGCTGGCAGCCTGAGGTCTGTGTGCCCTGCTCATAGGTGTTTGTCCTGGCACGTGCCAAATGGCTGTCAGTCTCAGAAGGATACAGCAGCACAATCTCATCTACTGTACCTACAGAACTTCCTTCAGCCAGAGGGAGCCCACTCTTTAGACAGCCTGCTTTACTGGTTGGATCCTTAAACTGGGGTATTTTGTCAGGACCACTAGGGTTGCACCCCAAGGCAAATGAGGTACCCAATATGTTCCAGGTTTCATTGGAATCCTGTACATTCTCAGTGCTGCCATGTGTGCTTGACAAGTCCTGGGTTTGGGTATAAGTGCTGAGGAATGGGGGGTTCTGGTCCCCTAAGCTGTTGTCCATGCTGGAACACCAGGCTACATTTGATGGCACTGGACCAAGGGCTTTCTGACTACAGGGGACATTGACTGCCCTTCCAAACACATATTGCTTCCAGCCAATGTGCATAGGCCCTTCAGGGCACCATGGTGGGAAGCAGGGATTAATATCACTGGAACCCAAGCATAACATTCCTTTGTCTATCTGTCCATTCTCTGACCTAACCTGGACATCCAGTTTCTCTGGCTCTCCTTGTGGAACCATAGTACCAGACACCCAGCTGTTCATGAAATCAGGAGTCGGCATGCCAGACACTGTGGAAGACACTGGGTAAGGAGGGGTAGCGCTTTTCAGTGGCATGTGATCAGCAGGGCTACTGTTTAATTTAAATGGGTCCATTGGATTGGAATCCTCAGTCTTCAGAGGTGTTCCTGTCATCATCTTTGCTGAGGAATAGCCTGGGAGGTGTGGATTCCACAACCCGTGAAGCCCCTGTGCATCCTTATCTGGGGATGGAGGCTCCACCCTCATGTTTAGCTCCTGAAGAGATTGAGAGGAGCTCACCACAGAAAACTGGGATCTGGGGTTGGACCTGGAGGAGTGTTTGGGACCAGAGAAGACTGCAGTCATAGGAAATGAGCACCTGTGGTGGGGAGTTGACTGCTCTTCATTGGAGTAAAGCTGCCCAGGCCTCTGGGCAGCAGGCTGTTGTACTTCACTGTGCCCCAACAGCATAGGAGCTGGGTCTTCGAAGCCTGCTAAGTAAGCCTGGGATGCAGGAAACGTGGTCACAGCCACTTCCTCTCTTTCAGCACCTCTAATGTGATGGCTATTCAAGCTACCTTGATCAGGAAGTGGGAGATTCCTGCCCTGGGGACGGTCTTTACCACCTCCTGAAGGCCAGTCTCTCTGTTGTTCTTTGTCTTCCCAAGGACTATCACCTTGGGAACTACAGATGTGTTTTGCTACAAACTTGGCTGGAGGATCCCTGGATTCAGTGGAAGGTTGTGGCTTTTCTGAAAGGCATCTGCTATTTTCTAAGCACCCATGCTCACTCTCAATAAACTCTTCACTTAACCTCTGAATGTGTGGTCCCTGAGTTTCTGCAGGTGGCTCTCGCTTGGTCTGAAACACCTGTGCATTTTGGCCACCTACAAAATGATCCCTGAGGTTCCTGAGTGGCTCAGAGTGCATGCCTGCAAGGCAAGGGGCAGACTCAAATTCTGTGCTGACTTTCCTCTTAGCAACCTTTTCTTCAAGATCCTCTACAGTCCTTAAGCTTCCATTAGTAGCTGACGGAGTGAGGGAATGTGTCCTCACAGAGGAAGTACAGAGGGAGCTGCAGCCTTGAGGAGGCAATCCAACAGCAGCTGCAGTGGAGGGCCCAAGCACGCCATCTGCAGGCCCAAAGTCCATGCCTTTGGGCTCAGAGCCATGTGCCAAGAACATGTCAGCTTCCTTGGAAGAGGTCTCTCCAATCTCATCCATTTCACAGGCCCTGGATGGTACAATGAAAGGTGGGTAGACAGGACATGGGACAGCCTGTGAATTCGTCCCAAGGTCACCATGTCTATGACAAAGCAGAGTGGAAGAATGGGAGGAACAGGTGTGAGCAGCAGTGGTCTGAGAACAGCACAATTGTTGGCAAGGCACAGTTTTGATCTCTTCTGCATCCCTCACTGTGCTGAGAGCCCTGCTGCCTTCTGTGGCCCCAGGCAGGATGGGGCAATCTCCTGTTTCCTCTGGACCTCTGCACAGAGCCTCATCTCTCCTAGGGTCTGGGCCAGGTCTTTGATCTAGCAATGGAGTTGGCCTGAGATTTTTGCTGCCAATCCTAACCCCAACATTCTCCTCCCACTTCACAGACTGTTGTGTAGGGAATTCCAGTTCAGCATTTCTTTGGGCTCCAGGCAAAACAACCTGTTGTCCTGGATTTGCCCTCACATCTTCTAAGCCAGTAGAAGCCTCAGGGCACTGGTTATGATCTTGCTTGATCTCCGAAAAGCTTAAAGATCTCTCAACACTACGTATCACAGACTGACTTTCAAAGAGGGCAGTCTTTCTGCCTTGTGCAGTAACTAAGAAGTTACCTGAGAGTTCTCCATATGTGGTATCTATTGCCTCAGGCTCCTGGTGCTCTGGGCTGCTGGTGCAACTGCCAGGAGACATGCCCTCTCCAGTGTGCCATGCAGCTAACGAACGCTGCCCACACAGAATTGGCCCAGGATCATCATGAGGGGCCTGAGAAGATAAGGCAGACACTGCTTTCTCTGATCCCACCATTCTGTCTGCCTCCACAGCTCCTGGAGGAAGAAGCCTGTCCAAGATCAAAGGACCAGCAGAGGAAGGGGTTCTGAATACTTCCTTCTTCTTCTCTATGATTGTAGAGGAACTAGAGTGATCTACAAACCCTTCCCTTGATTCCTGGAAAGACCATAGATCTCTAGGGCAGTATCTTTTGCCTGGAGCAGGTGCAGCAAAAGAGGCAGATTGTGGAGGAAGCTGGGGCTCACTGTTCATGTCAGAGCTGGGCAGAGATCCAGAGCCATCTATACAGAGGTGTGTGGCTTGATCTTTCCTCTTATCAGCCAACAGATGTTGTGGTGCAGCAGAGAGAGATGCTACATGGCCTTCTGGGGTTTCACCTTTATGCCTGGTTCTCCCTTGCGTTAACTGGTTGATTTGCTCAGTGTGAGTCCTGTTAGGATCCCCTGAAGAACACTCAGGTTCTACTGAAGTTTCACGGTAAGTAAGGACTGCATTCTCAGCCCTGAAGTCACTAGGCCACTTTCTCCAGAACTTTGCTTGTCTGATCTCCTCCAAAATAGCAAGGCAAATTGATGCATGGACAGATGTCTCAATCACTCTGGGATCTAGATCAGGCACCCTCGGCATGGAAATAGATGCCGAGTGTGCTCTACTGGCAGGGCCCTGGTCCTCAGTTTCATGTGACTTCTGCCTTGCTCCTCTACTTTGGTCATCCTCCTCTTCTAAGGAGAAGCTGACCCTCTTGTCAAGTTGTGTAGAGACTGTTTTCGACGGAGTGGCTGGTATTTCTTTTTGTACAGCTGCCTCAGTTTCACTGCCAAAACCTTCCTGAGCACTCAAATCTATGGAAGTGACTCCAAGGTCCCCTCCTTGGTCTTTGGGGCTGGTGTTTACTGTTATCCTCTCCTGTGTTCCAAGGGGAACACTCTCTGCTGTATCAGACTGACCATGCAATTCCAAATCCAAGGGCCTCACATCCCCATCCCAAGCTGAGTATGCTGCAGAAGAGCCCCTTCTAATTTCTCCCTGCACATGGGGCCTTCTGTTCTCTCTACTCTGGCTGTCATACCCTACTCCATGTTCTGAGGGACTGTCAGGAATTTTCAATATTGTGGGATCTAATACATGGTCAACTAAAGAATTGCCTATAGTATCAGGGGCTTGAAAACAGCTTCCGGGCAGCTTTGGTGAAGGCAAGGACAAGGTATTGCTCAGGTTTCGATTAGAAGGGGCCATGGAAAAGTCTGTCTGGCTCAGTAATGGGGAGATAGTCTCCTGGCTAAAATATATGCACGTAGAATGCTGGTTTGGGCCAGGATGCTTCTGAGTCAATGAGACCATATTACTTTTGTCTGTTGGCCTCCCTCCCATCTGCAAGGCCATTTCTTCAATTTCACCTTGAGCCCTTGGGCTGTTTGGCTTGGAACTATTTATGCACTCAGTAACTTGGCTTTCCTGAAAAACTTCCACAGTCTCCAAGTCCTCAAGATTTTCCAAGCCCCAGGGCTGCTCCTTAAACTTTGCTGATGCTTGTACCAGCCTGACTTCCTTCCCAGAATTCTCCAGCCAGGGATACAAGGGTGGAGCTCTACATAACACTTTCATTCTCTTTTGGTGAAGGGTAGTTCTGGTGGACTTTTTGCAAGCTGTACCTCTCCCTGAAGAATCACCCATGTCCCTGGGGGACCTACCTACTCTAGCTCGGTGGGTATGCTCTACCACAATTTGACTCTCTTGTACACATTCCCTTGATCTGACGGGGCTTGGAGGCATTTTCTGGACCTGGTTCTTGTTCCCAGTGGTTCTGTTAGTCTCCATTTCCCTAGCTTCACTGTCTCTAAAGACTACATCATCTGCCCGTCTTGGAGATGACGACTGATCCTTACAGGACAAATAGTTTCCAGAGCTTCCTGGCCTCAGGTCATGGTCAGCTCTCTCTTGGGACACAACCTCCTCACTAACTCCTGGTGTGTGGGAAGCATAAAGCTGTTTATTCTGCTTGGATCCAATTTCTAAGATGCCATTTTCCAATTGCATGACACTTTTAATCAGCCTAGCCATTTCATCAGCATTATTAAATCTTTTGAACTGTTTCTTTCTCAAATGTTCTTTTTTGGAGTTTAACATTTCTTGTGATCTTTTGGGGCCCTGACATTCACTGGGGCCACTTTCCTGATAGCAAATAACGGATGGGACTCTTTCACAGGTAGATACTCTCTCTGAGAGTTTAAGTTCTGCTGGGCTGTCTCTGGGATGGACAGTTTCACCAAGGAGCCCAGTTTCTTGGGCTGTAACTGTGGAGCTGGTTACTCTATCACATACTGATCTGGACTTCATAAAAACAGCTGTTTCCCCTGGTGTGTCCTTCTCTAGGCCTAAATCAATGGTTTTACAGATGAAATCAGACCTCGATTCAGAAGGAAGCTGTCTGCTCATATCATGGGCCTGAATCTGAGCCTGCTTTTTTCTACTTATCTCAGGTTCATAAATGAAAATGAAAGGCTTCCCAGATCCAGAGTTGTCTGAAAAAATACTCCAACAGGACTTGGTAGGAGCCTTTTCTCTTTCTTGAAGTACTGGAAGAGTGTGCTTATTATTTAAAATTCCAACTTCATTTTCAAGCTCAAATACTTCTGTGCCAGTAAAAGGGAGAAAATGTCTGTTCTGAGCAACAAGAAAATGAACTGAATTATGGCTTTCTTTTCTAGTATTTTCAGCACATTCTCCTAACTTATCAGTAACTTCATTGGTGTTCAGATCAACTGGCTTCTCTGCAGTGACCTGCTGAGAAAAGGCAATCTTGGAATTCTGGGGTTGTAACAGCACTGGAAAACTGTTTAAGTAAGTTTTCTTTAGGATTTGGTGGTCATGACTAAAGCCCCAGGCTTCACAGGGGGGTGGGGAAGGCACCCATACTTCTCTGCAAGCTGGAATCTCTAAGGCAGTTTCTGTCAGAGCATCCCTACTTTTGGTCACATAGAATGTTTCCAAGACAGATGGCTGTGGGGAGGATATAAAAGGATTCCAGGGAGCAGAATGGAGATACAGCTCTGGACCTGATGGAAGGGCAAAAGAAACATCTGTGTGTCTTCCAACTACTTCCTCAGAGTTCTTCTGGCAATCTGCCTTCTCTTCCTGTTGGGAGTGGCTGCTGTTGTGACTTAATTGTCCTTGCTGAACTGAGCTACTTTCTCTGAGAGGACACTGGCCTTGGGGCCAATGGTCTGCTTTGGTGGCCTGGGCAACATTCCTGCAACAAGCATTTTTCTGTAAAACATACTTGTCAGAGGCAGTCATCACTCCAAGTTTCCTGCTACCCTGACAGCACTCTTCCAAGCTCTTGTGTCTGACTTCACAGGCTTCTTTTAAGGAATATATTGTCTTGTTCTCTGTGGCACAAATCTGTACATTTGTAGATCCAGAAGCCAGTGATTCCAAGTCAGCTGAATAAGCTCCGTTACAACTTACCTCTTTCTCACTAGTACTAACGAAATCTGAAGCATTTTCCAACTTGGCACTCAAACTGTCCTGTTTTTTCTCTGCTCTCAAATGCCTGGTTTTGGAGAGATGGATTGGAAATTCATTCAAATTCTGACTGCTAGACATCGCAGAACCAACTGACAGTTGAATACCTCCTCCTTTGTCAGAATTTTTGGCGAGGGAACTAGAGTCTTCCTCAAGGTAGGGGAAGGGTTGCCTAGACTCTCCGACAGCCTCCAAAACAGGTTGAGAGAGTTCAAGAAGGTACTTTTGCTGAAGGGCAGCCCAGTCCCCTTCATGAGTGCTTCCTACATAAATGAATGAGGTGCCAGAGGCAGCAGGCTCACTTGACACACTAGAAACTTCAGAGTTTCGTGGTTGGGTTGTATCAGGGTTACCTCCTCTCTGAAGGAGGTCATCAGTTACTGGCTGAAGAAGTCTTTGAGTTCTCCAAAGTGACAACTTGGAAGTACCAGAAGCAAAGGCTGTGAGTACATCTCCTGTGTTGCAGGGTAGCTCAGTACTGCCTTGAGGCAGTTTCAAGCTACCTGGCAGAACTGTTTCTGCACCTGGTGGCTTTAGTTCTTTAATATTCTGCAGGTATTGAAATCTCTCTTCATCAGAGGGCTGGGCATTCTGGACATCAGGGATTAGCAGTGAAGAACCCTCTATTCCTGGAGGGCTGCTAGGATTGATCTTAGAGTCACAGGAAAACCAAGAATCTATAGACACCCGAGAGTTCCCTCTTGAAAGCTGTATGTCTTGGAAAGAGCTGGTTCCTTCTGGGTACCTGGCCTCTAGCTCTGACTCAGGCCACTCCTTATGAGGGTGGACCTGAGGATTAAGGTAAAATGAACTGTTTAATGGTAGGATGGTATTCAACTCCATCTTTGCTCTGTGGCTGATGGGCCCAGATCTGTATGTTGTCTCCTGGTCCACTATAGGTTTCTGCAGGTGCCAAAATATCTCTGTGGGCATCTCATCAGCTGAACCAAGGAAAGGTTCCTCTTGCTGATCTTCTTCTAATTCTTCCTCAGCATCAATCAGGCTGTCTAATGAAAAGCTTCTATGAGCCCGAGCAAGGAAGCCACTGTCTGAGGGCATGAGAAATCCTCTCATAGAAGCTTTAGTTCCGGTCTTCAGGCAGCTACGTTCATTGGTTGGATGACTGCCCCCTAGGTTTTCTTTTGAGCTCTGGTCTCTCTTCTCAACCAGTGAGTCTTCAGATATTTGGCTGTTGTGACTTTCAGAGTTCTCTGACTCTGGGAGGTACCACTTCCCCCGAGGGTGCTCCAGTATCAGTGGTTCTTTCAGTGATGCTTTGGCATAGGCATGAGACAGAGAATCCACTGAGCAGTTGCTATCTGTGTCAGATAAATTATCTTCTCCTCTTGCACAGTCCATCACTGGGCTTGAGTCTGTGTGTGGGGCATCTTGGTCTCTTGCTCTGTGCTGTTTTTTCAAAGGATGGCCATGAGGTAAAGGACAATACTTTTTTGCAATGTCTCTGACCCTTGTGGCCAGCACCTTCTGAAGCCTTTTTGATTCCCTGCCTAGAAGAGGTAGTTTGGATTCCGTTCGAAAAGTCTTGGCTACTCTCCCAAGCCCAGCTACCTGTTTAAGTCCACGAGGATAGTAGTAACTATAACTGGCTCCCTTAGCAGCCTTGTGGACTCCAAGATTCCCTTCTTTTTGTGAGACAGCTTGTGCACTGCCAGAATTTGGTAGTCCCTTATCCCTTCTGACCTGGGTAGCAGAAGTGAAGGTCTTTGGTCCATCTCTTGACTTTAGCTTGTCAGTTGATTGACAGAAAGATGTTAAGCCCTGGAACACCATCTGAGATAGTTGCTTACCCATGCTCTGCATTTCCTGGATGTCGACAGACTTGTGGCTCACAGTAAGGCAGGTGCCTAGAGCTGTGGTGTCTTTCTTGGCCATGCAGGGGCCATGCCCCTGGCCTGAGAGACAAAGGCCACTCCTATGGAGACATCTTATCCTTGGAAGGCAAGAAGATGCCAGGGAAACATGGCCTGCCAGTGTGATTTTCTCTGACACTTGATGAGCAGGGTCAGGCATAGGTGGTAACATGGTAGACAGATCCCCATTCAGGAAAGCACTGTGGAGACAAAGAAAATCACCTCAAAAAGAGTAAGAGGCTTGTACTTTCTGTTGAATGAAGCAATAAGAAGTTTGCTCTGAAAGAGGTTAAAAGCCAGGCCCAATGGCACTGGCCCTATTCTTCTCAGGATGAGAGAAAAGTTTGGTAAGTACAAAAGAAACCCCAGGTACACTGTGTTCCTCAATTTCTTTATTTTAGGTAAAAAAGTTGAATTCTATCTAATTACACTTTTAGGTTATGTGAGGAAAACAAGAACAATTTAAATGATATTATAAGGAATCAAACAGATAAATCTATAATGTGGGTACATTTGGAGTATCTCAAGTTTGAGCCCAGTCTCAGAAACTTACTGACACAGCAAGACCCTGTCTCAAAATGAAAAACATAAAAGGGTTGGAGATGCAGTTCAGTAGGATGGATCTGGGTCTGGTCCCCAGTATACCCCTTCCCAAAAAATCACATGTAGGGTGGAAATTCGGATTAATTTGAAAAACTAAAGAAGTATATGTTTTGAGGCAACTTGAGAAATATGAACATGGTCTAGGTTTTAGATTGCATTAATTAATCTTAATTTTGCTAAGTATAGTGATGACACTGAAGCTAGTCTCTTTTAGAGGTATGTAAAGATGTGGGATTGAAATGATATGATGTCTAGGAGTTGCTTTAAAATACTTCATAAATCCTGTAATCCCAGCACTGGGGAGGCTGAGGCAGAAGAATCATTTGCAAGTTTGAGATCAGCCTGGGATACAAAGTGAGCCCAAAGCCAGCCTGAACTGCATAGCGAGACCCTGCCTCAAAAAGACAAAACAAAAACAAACAAAAAAAACTTCAGAAAATGAGAAAGTGGGGAGACTTATATGGACTTGATAATGGCTGGATGTGAATGATATACATAGTATTCTCTTTGTATATGTTTAACAATTTCCTATCAGATGTTAAAAGAAAAAGCCTGCCTTGTGCTCTGAAGACCAGAGAGGTGAGCAAACATAACAACACACATTGACTGTTAGCCTACTATGGTCAAAGGCCTGACAATCCAAGGAGGAATAAGATCCAGGGCCCTGCCCCAAGTAGTCTAGGACATAAGACACCATCTCCTTACCTGCTGATGGAGAGTGAAGAAGAGAAAGGCGGAAACCCCAACATAAACCGGAGAGTCAGAAAGACAGCTCTGCAGTGGGCTGGAGAAAGGGGAGCAAGCTGACATGCTGGGGTAGATTAGGGAGGGCAGGAGAGGAGGGCAGCAAGGCAGAAGAAAGAAGTCAGCTCTGATGCAGAAGGCGGAGGTGGTGTTAGGACACATGAGGAAATGTATATGGGTGGCCAGGGTTTTTTAAAACAGATGAAAAATAAAACCGATAGCATTACTCAGAAGGTTAAGAGCTGCTACTCAGGCATAAAGTGAAAAGAAGAGAAAAGAAAAGCCAGAAAATGAAAATACAAACAGAGGACAAAAAAAAGAGAAGCCAATGAAATGAACGTATTTTTCCCTTTCTTAAAGGAAACAGAGGTCCTGGAGAGTAAAGAACACTGCCTGGACAGTAAGGTTGTAAACTCCAGTAGCAACCACTGACTGTACCTGTGCAGTGGGGGCAAATGCTGGCCGCCAAGCGTCTGGCAGTTCAGAGAACTGTCACTGGTCGATCTGCTTCTACATGGAGACTCTGGGGCTGCAGCATCAGAGGTAGGGACCCAACGTGGGGACTGGTAGGTGCTGTCATCCTGAAGCCAAGACAGTGCTGTGAGCTGCTTCAGTCTCTCCAGGACCTCCAGCAGCTTCAGCTTCTTGATGTACCCGTCTAACTGCAATGAGGCCTTTTTTCTCAGGATGTTGTGCTTCCCTGCCTGAGGGACACGTCTCTGTGGGAGATGCAGCTGCACCAGCCTATTCTTCTGGCTTCGGACCAGTGGGGGCAGTGGAGCCTCAGAATCTGTCTGAAGCTGAGTATCAAGTGCTACTGAGGCCTCAGATTCTTTCTTTGTTCCGAGGTTGTCTTGCTGCTTCTGCTGCTCCTGTAAGTTGGCCAGCCAAGTCTCTTCTCTAAACGGCCACTGTTGGTCTAGGAAACAAAATCCCAGAGAGAGTATGCCCTTCCTTCCTGCCTTTGGCTGCCTGGACTCAGATGTCACCAGCCAGAGCTGGAAAGGGCTGACTAGGGTAATGTGGCAGTGGAGGTTCAGGGCCTCCTTACCACAGGGGAAGGGGACAAAGACCCCAGCCTCAGCCCAACAGCAGATACATGCTAGGGCAGGCAGAAAAGCATGGACAAGTGTGCAAGGAAGGAGGAGTGAGGAGGTCCGTCGTTCTGTGGGGCCATAAAAGAGTCAGCGTCCTTCTTGCCTCCATCCCCCTTGGAAGCACCTCTGGTCTCTAAAAGAAGGGAGAGAACATCTAATGCTAAAGATTCCACTGTATCACAGAAGAAACAAAAGGAGAGAACACAGAAGGCTGTGGGAGCATGCAAGTGAGAAGGCCAAAGGTGAAGTAGACACCTCTCAGGGTGCAGGGCACTTACTATCTCCAATCTTCTGGCGGGTGCCAATCTGGTCAAATTCCAGCTTTTTCTTGGCTCCAATCTGCTCTGCTTGTATCCCCTGCTTCAAATCCGCCACACAGCACTGCCACTGCTGAATCTGGGCTCTGTGGGATCTCTCTCCATCCCTTGGTGGGTGGCGGTCCTTGTCACTTAGCTCTTCTAGAACTCTCCTATTACAAAAGGCAATGGAGTTACCCAAGTAAACCTAGTCCTAGACAAACTGGTGGTAGTCTAAAACCCTTCTAAGAGAGCCCCTGAATTCAACAGGGTATAGAGGGCTTTAGCCTTCCGGCAGCTTGGGACAAACAGGCATGTTATCATAACAGGTTAATGATGTCACATTGCAGGAGAGAAGAAAAGCATGATTCTTACATACAGGTTTGGCAGAAATACAAATTCATTTGATTAGGGAAATGAGGTAAATCAAGATCGTTTAAAAAGACAAAATTTTTAGATAAATCAAGAAGCTCTGTCCTCTATTTTTTTTTTGTTATTTTATTTTATTGTCTTTTTGAGACAGGTCTTCCTATGCAGTTCAGGCTGATCTTGAGCTCACTTTGTGGCCTAGGTTGATCTCGAAGTGCACCGATCCTCCTGCCTCAGTCTATTGAGTGCTGGGATTACACAGGCATGTGCCACCACATCTTACTGTTTTTATTTTTTGAGACACAGTTTTGCTCTGTAAATCAGGCCTTCAGTTCACTATGTAGCCTAGGCTGGTCTTAGAACTTGGTGGTAATCCTCCTGCCTCAGCCTCTCGAGTGCTGCAATTACAGGCATGTACCATCCCCCCAGCTTCTGTCCTTTAAGAGCTGTTCTGACTGACGGAGCCTTAGTATAGCACTTAAGAGTTTTACATTTTCCCATACCTTTTCAGAGACTTATACTGTATTGTTTACAAGTGAAGTATATCCTAAGTTTCCTTAGTTCCAGTGGGAAGAAGTAGGTGTGCATGAGTATGGATATCAATGAAAAACAGTAGCCAGGAGTAGATAATGTGTGTTGAAATTTACCATAATAAACAATTTATAGAAAATTCTATATCGTAGTCCTGCTTTACCCTGGCAGCTGGCTCCTGTATCACCAGAGACCAATTAGAGGCTTTCTCTGAAAACTGAAAGCTTCTACATACATGCTGACCCTTGTCTAGGTCATAATCTTTTTTTTTTTTTTTTGTCTCATTATGCAGTTCAGGCTGGCCTTGAGCTCACTCTGTAGCCCAGGCTGGTCTCAAACTCAAAACGATCCATCTGCCTCAGCCTCTGGGTCATAGTCTTCTATGCAAAGCCCTCCAACATTGTTTTATCAGGGTATTTCCAACCCTGTCATTCAGGCTTCTACAGAAGGCAACCGCAGGAAGCCAAGAGCAGCTGTGTAGGCTTGCAGTTGCAGCAACTTAGGAAATTAAAGCATGAAGATCACATGGCCCAGAAATTGAAGAAAACCTGGGCAATATAGTGTGGACATATAAAGGATGGATGGATGGATGGATGGGTGGATGCATACAGGTAGATAAATAAAGGGGCTGACTACCTGGGTGTAACAGGGTGGGGATGGGAAGGGAGTAATTGAGAAGAGTCAGATTCTGCCATAGGTTAAAAAGCCAGTACTGGGGGCTGGGGATTTAGCTCAGCAGCATAAGTGCCTGCCTTGCAAGCAGGCAGTTATGAGTTCAACCCCCGGTACCGATAAAAAGGAAAAAGACCAAAAAAAAAAAAAAAAAAGCCAGTACTGGGTCTGCTCTGCCTAGCTCTCAGCCATTGCTCTACTTCAGGATGCCATGACTCCAGGCTTAGAGAGGCTCAGACATGGATCTGATGCTAAAACGAAATCTCAAGTAGTGAGAGCACTGTGTGCTAAGGAATTCACTCTTTTTAGACCTCCACACATTAGAGTTTGGGGTCGTTCCTGTTTGCTTTTTATTTTTGAGTTTGGATCTTGAATGTCCTCCAAAGGCCTTTATGTTGAAGGCTTGGTCTCCAATCCATGGTGCTAATATTGGTGGTGGAATCTTTAGGAAATGGGATGTAGTGGAAGGAGGTTTGGTCACGGGGGCATGGTCCTGAAGGGGATGTTGGAACCTGGCACCTCATGTTTCTCTCTCTCTACTTCCTGGCCACCATATAGTGAGGGCTTCCTCTACCACACAATCATACTATTCTGCCTCACCACAGGTCCAAAAGCAACAAGATCAACCAACCAATCATGGACTAAAACTGAGCCAAAATAAACTCTTCCTTTTTTAAAGATGATGGTCTTGAATTTTTTGGTTTTTCTTTTCTGAAGACAGGGTCTTGCTATGTAATTCAGGCTGGGCTCTAACTTGCTAGGTAGCTTAGGATGGCCTCCCACTTATAGGTGTTCCCAAATGCTTCAATTTTAGGTGTGAGCCATCACAAATAGCTTTTTGGGGGGTATTCTGTTATAGTGACATAAAGCTAACCTATCACCTTGTAAAGCAGAATGAAATCAGACTATCAAAGCAGAGATTCACAAATTACAGCTTGTGAGTCAAATTTGGTCTGCTGCCTGTTTTTATAAATAAAGTTTTTTAGAACACAATGACAATATATGTTTATGTACAGTACTGCTTTTGGGTCACACTGGTAGAGCTGAAGAGCTGTGCAAGCTTTACATGGCCTAAAATACTATCTAATTCTTTTTTTCAGTTTTTTGAGACAATGTCTCACTATGTATCCCATGCTGGCCTTGGACTCACAGTGATCCTTCTGCTTCAGCTTCCAGTGTGCTATGATTACAGACATGTTTCACCATACCTGACTTATATTATAGAAAAAGTTCACTATCCTGTATTAGAAAAAACTGAGATTCCATAATGCAGTCTTAAATCAGTGAAACAGATAGATGGGGTGAGGACTGACAATCACTCTGTCTTCTGGAAGAAAGTTATGAGATGATTCAACATGTAATGGGTCCAATGCCCAGAAACTTGGGCACATGTGCTCAGGGGAAGACTGGTACTTACCTGCTATGGGAAAAAGGGCGTAAACTCACAGTGGAACATACAAACTGTAGAAAGGTATACTCTATCACACATGAGGGAGAATGCTAGAAACAACAACCAAAATAGAAATCCAGCTAATACAAAAAAAAAAAAAAATCCTGCATGGTGGTACATGACTGTAATCCCAGCACTCAGGAGGCTGAGGCAGGATGATCACTAAGTTTGAGGTTAGCCTAGACTGAATAGGGAGTTCAAGGGCGGCATATGAATTACATAGGGAAATTGTCTCAGAAAAACCCAAAAACAAACCAAAAAATAAAACAAGGAAGAACAGTTCATAGAAAACAATTTATACACGTATATGTAGCATATCTTTATTGTTGTTCCAACCTTTGATCACAAAAATGGCTGACCTGCAAACATAAGCCTATCAGACTGTGCTAGACACACAGACCACCAGATACAAACAGCAGGGAGGGAAATCTGTATTCTGAGTTCCTTGAGACTGCTGTTTGCGTCTCTGGCTCTCTCCCTAACCCTTAAAAGACAGCACCACCTGTCCTTCCCCTAGGAAAGCAGCACCACAACAGTTTCCTTCACAGCAGCAACAGAACCTGCAGGGAAAGGCTGTGTGAGATGATCACTACCGACACACAGGATCAGCCCGAAACACCAAGAGTCAGGTGGAAGGGTTCCTCTGATAAGCACATCAGTCAGGTTCCCATAATGAACTGAAAAGAAAATGCCAACCTCATGCCACATTCTGTGTACATCATCAAGAGCATCTTCATTACCCACAGCCAAAACCTCTGTCTCTAGCAGATATGACTGCCTTTCACCTTCAATGGTTCCAGAGTGCCCTGCCTACTGCCCAGTCACCTGCTTAACACTCTCACAGCCCTCTCCAGCTGCCTCAGTCTGACAGCTTCTGCAGCAGAATTCAGCAGCACCTACTTGCTAAGGTTGGAGTGGTGGCAGAAGCAGCAGTGGCAGCATCTCCCAATTCTGGGAACTTAAGGCTAAGCCTCCAAACGTCCAAATGGGAAAATACCAACACAGGCAACAGTTTTCAGGGCAAATGCCTATCTGGTCCAGATCATTGCTATGAGGAGAAATGATGGCAAACTGGCCAAGTTCCCCTGGCTCTGGAATCAGCTCCAGCTCATACAAATGTTCCTGCTGAGAGAAAAATGAGAGAAAAGAAGTAGAGCACAAGGGAAGGCTTCAGAGCTAAGCCCTCCCAAAAACAGGAGTCTCATAGAGACAAAACCACAAATCCACACTGGGAGCACTGCTGACAACATGCATTCTCCCATCAGGTTCCTTTCCTTGGTCCCTCTGCCCAATCATCCGCTGGAGTACTGCACCATACCATCTGACCAGAGGCTGGTACACAGTTGGCTACAGGTGGTACATGACTGTTATCATGTACCATGTCCATGTGTATGGACTCCCAGACTTGATGCCAAATGGTGGATGCAATGGGTGAGAAAGACACTGATTCTGAGGTCCTTCTCTGTTCTCTGAAAGGGCACATACTCATTGTTACTGAAAGGTCACATGAGTGCCTGCAGGGCTTGAGAGCCCTAGGAAGCTTAATAAGTCAGAAGAAGAACACAGGGTGCTCTGGGGTGGATGAATCAAATGGCTGAGACAGGAGGACAGGACAGAGAAATGGAGGCAGCCTTCCTGGCAGCTTGTCCTTGGGCCTCTCAGCCACAGGAGCCAGGAGGTAGGTTAGCACCATGCACACGCACTTGCTTTCAATCTTTATTGGCATGACCCTTGGGGAAGAAATGGCAGTATCTTTACTTCAAAGATGATGAAGTAGACTCAGGGGTTCAACAATCTGCCTAAGATCCCATAGCTCTTATGTGGTAGGGCCAGAGTATGAATAGTTTCATCCAACTCCAATGGATTTCTCCACATTTCCAGCTCTTTAAGCCACAGAGCTGTCTTCTCAGAATCTCCAACCTCCAGCTCAGAAAACCCACCTTCAGTGTGTTTTCCCAACAGAAACCTTATCTAAAGCAAGATCTTCTTTCAAAAGACTGCACTGGAGGGGGAGGAAACTATGATGAAACAAGAGGTCCAGCTGCAGTCCTGAATGTACCTTGGCCTTGACCTGTACATCCTGTCACCCCTTCCACCTTACCCTCTCTCTACACAAGGCCCTCAGACAACTGCCCCTACGATCATCTTCCCTTTACCTCTGTTGTAGCACCCTTCAAACCCAAAAAACCCTCCAATGAGGACATGACGCTCATGCTTCTCTCTCCTGAATTCAATACACTTTCTACTAATGTCAGACCCCAAACTGTCTTTATCTGGCATCCTCTGAATGGATCAGGGCCATCAGAACTCACTGCGAACCCTAAGCACAGGTATACGGCCTTCTCCCAACACCAGAGATCCCACAGGCTTTGTGGCTCCTGCTCAAATTTTCTATAGGAAATCCCACTGGAAGAGGTCACTTTGCCCTACAAGTACACAGGAAATACTAGTATCAAAACCAAACCACTAGGCATATAGAACTGGAGAAAGGACTCTGTGTACAAACAGATGAGGTATGACCAAGAAATAAAAAAGCAGTAACCACCAATTAATATAAAATCCCTGATTCAGGCCTGTGAACTTACAATGAGAATAAAGTGAGTGTGAGAGGATGGAAGATATTTTTATATTGTTCCTGCTTCTTTTATGCCTAGTTTTGGATTTCTGGTTAAGAGAAGAAAACATAAAGGACTCTCAGTCATATATTATCGTTAAATACCCAGCTGGATACAGTGTTAAAGGCCTATAATCCCAGTTACATGTAAGGTTGGGGCTGGGGGATCACAAGTTGGAGGACTGCCTGGGCAATTTAGTGAGACCATCTCTAAAAAAATAAATAAATAAATAAAATAAAATATAAGGCCAGCCATGGTGGCACATGCCTATAATGCTAGCACTTAGGAGGCTGAGGCAGGATTATTGTGAGTTCAAGGCCAGCCTGGGCTACAAAGTGAGTTCAAAGCCATACTGAACTGCATCATGAAACCATGTCTCAAAAAGATAAATAAATAAAATATAAAGTAAAGTAAAATATAAGAAGGACTGGAGATATAGATCAGTGGTAAAATATCCCTGGGTTCTATCTCTAGTACCTGAGTTCACCATAAATCCTGGACATTAACTGAGATGCTATAACCCACACACAGGCAGGCCAGAATTTAAAGGGGACTACAAAAAGGTACGCTCAGAAGCAGCATCAAAGACATCTGCCAATAATGCTCAGTTAGCTCGGCTGCCAGAGAAGCGGCCAGAAGAATGTCAACTGACAGTGTCAGGCTGCCTTCAAAGATGAAGACAGCTGAAACGCTAAGGAGGAAACCAATAACAATACAGACTCAGAATCTTCAGTCCAGTGTCTTCAGAACCAGAATCTTAAGGTCACCTGCCCAGATGACTCACAGTCAGCTACACTCAGACCCTGGCTGCTACAACAGTCACCTTTCTGCTTCACGCTGTAATGGACCCAGGAGGTTCCACACTGGTATGAGTAGCTGTTTCTCACCTTTCCTTCCAAATGAAAGGGCAGAGACCCAAGCGAGAGGCAGTGACATCTGCGTCCAAGTTCAACCATTCCAAAGAGCCATTGCTGCCAATGGCCTCTCCAACCTGGAACAAGGAAGAAGGTACAGTGAGGCTGCCCCCATGAGTCCCAGGCCAACATGACAGGGCAAAGTTCAAGCTCCTCTCCTAAAAAGAAGAAATAGGAACCAGGCACAGCAGCACATGCCAGAACTCAAAGAGGCTGAAGCAGGAGGAACATGAGTTCAAGGACAGCCCAGACTACACAGCCCAGACTCCCTTGTCTCAAAAAACAAGGGAGCAAGAACTGAAGTGAGAGAGTGAGAGAGGAAGAGGAAGAGGAAGAAGAAGAGAAGGGAGAGAAAAAAAGAAATAGCATGGCTGGCAGCACCCCAGAACCTACAACCACACTAACCTGCTTTCGCCGCCGCAAGACAGCAGCCTCTGCTGGGTGGCTGAATCGAAACTTCTGAGCTTTCCCCAGAGTTATGACAGCTCCTGCACCAGAGATTGATGAGAACTCTGTCAGCAGATCATGTTTTGAATATATACTTTTTGCAGGGTACTATTCTGTGGGCAAAACCGATGTCCTAATCTAGTTGATGGGCTTCAGCTGAGTTTGTAGACACCTACTAATTAGATATCAGGAGCTACTGCACTCTAAGAAAAAACAAGTGGTTGGGCATAGTCAAAGACAGCTTCACAGAAAAAGGGGAATCTAACCTCAATCTCAAAGGGCAGACAGAATATGAGCAGACTAATGACAACAGTGACAATAATAATGATGTGTCCTTCCCAAGTATGAAATGATGCTAAGAATCTTATACAAATAGGATTCCTTCAATCCTTTCAAATCTCCATTTTACAGATGAGGAAAGTGAGACTCAGACACTTTCCTAAAGACAAGAATAACACACTCAGGAACAGGTTTCACAGGGTATTCTTCTCTTTCTGGTCCTGGATTGAAGAGGATTACATTAAGAAATCTTCAGGTCTCTTAAAGGTCTGCTTCTCTGAGCTCTCTGGGCCCATGAGATCGGAGCTGGTCCACCCTTTATCCTGCTTACAGGGCTACAGATAGTCCTACCTTGGGTCAGACGGCAAGAGGCAGTGACCTCACGGCCATTGACTGTGCATCGTGCCCCCTGCACAGGCCGGAGAATGACTACCCCACAGGCACTGGTGATTGTGCAGTGGTCTCTCTCAATCCACTGACCCTGAAGAACTAGAGAAAAGGTGGTGGTCACTTAGGTGGGGGGTCAATTCAGGGAATATCTCCTCCATTCATCTGTAACTTCAGTACACAGAAAAGATCACTGCGAGTTCAAAGCCTATCTGAGCTACATGCTTCAAGACCAGTATGTACTACATAGCATCTCAAAAAATCAAAACCAAGGGCAAGGGATATAGCTCAGTGGCACAGTATTTGCCTGGTAAGCACAAGATTATGAGTTGAATTCCCAGTATTAAAAAAAAAAAACAATAAAACAATAAAAAACCCAAACAAAAAAACAAGAATCCAACACTTAGAAGAAAAACTTTGAGAACCAACACTTAGATATCATCTTGTTATGATGATCTCCCATCATAACAAGAAAGAACCACCATCTGAGACCACCCAGAGCAGGAATCTTCCCACAGTGCTGGTCTCTTCTATCCAACTGAAAGCCTCACAGTGGGAAGAGAAACTGACCCTTGATACTTCAAACACTCCTCTTCTCTCAGAGCATAGAGTCCTCTGAAGAAACTTTTTGGTATAGAAATTGTCAGGAAGTGCCAGACCAACAGTCACTGTCACTTACCAATGTCCTGTTCCTGGTCTGAGTCAATCCTTCCTATTTTTGTTGTCCCCTCCTATGGGGGAAAGAAAGCCATTTTAGTAAGAATACAAAGGGGGGCTGGGGGTTTAGCTCAGCGGCATAAGCGCCTGCCTTGAAAGCAGGCAGTCGTGAGTTTGATCCCCGGTACCGATAAAAAAAAAAGGAAAAAGACAAAAAAAAAAAAAAAAAAAAGAATACAAAGGGACACTGCCCTGCCCTGAAAGGACTGCCCGCACTGGAGTGTTACTTCTGTCTCCCCAGTCCCAGCCCAGCCTTTTCTGTGCCATTCCTCGACCTCAGTCCATGCTACTTTGACCATCTGCCTACTCTCTCTTTAGTCCAGGAAGCCTCTGAGAACACTGAGGCAAACAAATAAGACAACAATCACCAGTTATACGGAAAGGCTAACCAGTGTTGACAAACCCCTTTCTATCCTACAACCTGAAGTTACACTGCGAACAGATGCAGTCTTCAGTCAAAAATACTCTATCCCAAGGAAATGAGCACAAGAAAGCTTTCTCCCAAGGGGTTAAGGTTTGATCCAGCAAGTCTCAAAGACATGAACTTTTTATGAAGATTTATGTAAATATAGCTTTGTTAGTGAATAAAGTCTAACGGATACTAATTCTAAGAAGAGTAAGGCACAAATAGGAGAAAAGCACTTCTGGAATCAAGAGAACTGGAAGAGAGAATGAGAGAACAGGGGAAACTGGAGTTAGTACTAAACAATTCACTGAGTTAGTACCAGACAAGACTTGTGGCCCTTGGTTTATGGTAAATATGCTAAAGACCACATGGTTCTTTTGGGGAAGGCAGCAACACAGCAACAGAAATGCCAAATTCCAGAAATATCTTTATCAGCTACTGAATAACATTCAGTATGCCCCAGGTATTAAACTGAGCGCTTTATAGTTTTTTTTTTTTTTTTTTTTTTGTCTTTTTCGTTTTTATCGGTACCAGGGATCGAACTCACGACTGCCTGCTTGCAAGGCAGGCGCTTATGCCGCTGAGCTAAATCCCCAGCCCCTAAACTGAGCGCTTTATAAACATCATCTTTTCTTGAATAACTTAAAATTAAAATATAAGGGCTGTTTTGTTTTGTTGTTTTTGAGACAGCATCTTACTATGTAGTTCCAGGTGGTCTTGTACTTACTATGTAGCCCATGCTGGTCTTGAACTCACAGCAATCCCCCTGCCTCAGCCTTCCAAGTACTGGGATTACAGATGGACAGGGTAGAAATTACCCAAAAAGGTGGTACCATCCCAGATACCAAGGATGGAATTGGCACCTGTGACTGTTGCTCCTCCTACCTCTTTATGCAGGGACTCAGAGACACAAAGGTGATCATACGGATGGCAGCACTTGGTGCTCTACCCATTGTTCCCTCTGTCCCTTACTACCAGAACAGGAAAACCATTTCCAGGGTATCAACGGACAGTTCCAGGGCAGTGACCAAGAGAGAAAAGTAAACAAAAACACACAGAATCTTGGGCCACTGCTGTTATACTATTACCTCATCCAGGATTTAAAAAAAACAAAAAAACCCAAAAAGTATAGGTACACAAAATATCGAAGTGCCAGAATAAGAACCAGACTAAAACTGTCTCACACAGGCCCAATGGAAATGTACCAAGAAGGGATTAAACCTTCTCTGCACACTATGAAAGTGAAAATAAGCAACCCTGTGTTCAGATGGTATTCTCACTCCTCTTCAAGTCTCAGACTCAATCTAGAAGCACAGCCTTCAATCCTCGGCTACTTGGAACACTTTGTTTCTTAACATCCAACTTTCTCTGCTCATTCTGTATCCAAGCAACAGGTAGATTAGCCCTACTCAGATAATGACCATTTTAATCCATCTGGTCTCCTGATTCCCAACCTCTTGCCATGATCCCGATAGCCCTAATGAAAGGATTAGTGTTTAGATTTGCTGTTAAGGTAGACAGCCTGAGGCATTTCACTCAGACAATCTATGCCCAGTGTTTCAGAAAGTAAGATACTTTAACTTTCTGCTGAGATGTCAAGTTTCTGACAGCCCTCCCAAGGGTTCATCCTGAGGACACAGAGGAGCCTTGCTGAAGTCTCCCTTCTGCATGCACCACCCCAGAAACTCAAGTTCCCCAGGGATAATGGCAGCCTTACACATGCCCCGTCAACTTCTTCGGTTTTTTAAAATATCATCTGGAGACAATGATGAGAATGGAAACTGGATTTTCAATGAGCCCGGGGATGTTAAAATATGTTCTCACATCCTCTGTCTTCCTATAGGACATAACTGATGAGAACAGGGCATTAGACTATCTACCACTGGTCATTAACTCTTAAAACTACTTCTCTATGAAATAATGACCTAAATCAGCTGTGATGGTACATACCTGTAATGTCAGCTCTCTGGACACTGAGAAGGAAGATTGCTTCGAGTTCAAGATCAGCCTAAACTACATAGTGAATCCTTGTCTCAAAAACCAAACCAAGCAGGGTGTGGTGTCACACACCTATAATCCTAGCACTTGGGAAGCAGAAATAGAAGGGTCAATGTGAGCTTGAGACCAATCTGGGCTCTATAGTGATTTAAGGCCAACCTCAACTACATAGTGAAACACTATCTCAAACAAAAATAAAACCAATAGAACAAAGCAACAGAGCTGGGCATATTGCTCAGTGGCACGAGTGCCTGACTCACAAGCACAAGGTCCTGAGCTCAATTCCCAGTACCTAAAAAAAAGGCTCCAGGTGACAAAAGCCAGAAGAGTTTGGTCTTGTTTGCAGGGTCTTAACCTCATCACACTTTTTGACATCAGGACTTGAACTAAGACCTCATGCTTACCAGGCAGGTGCAATGCCACTGAACTACATCCCCAACCCAACCTCATCACATTTTTTCTAGAAGGGTGTGTGCCGCCATGCCATCCTTGCCAGTTTTGCCCCAGCTTCTTGGATCCTTTCTCATGCTTTAAACCCAAACCTCAAGCTTATCTACCTTCCCTCTCTCCTCTTTAGTTCCAGATGGGAGAACTGGGAGGTATGTATTTTGTTGATTTGGGGGTTGAAGAAAACTTTCAAGTCTTCTGAATTTCCCCATCTTTGAGCAACCTATATTTGTGGGCTTAGGAGCACTAAGATTGCCCTTTTTTGTTTTCCCCTACAATAGGGTCTTATGTTACCCAGGCTGGCCTTGAACTTCTGAATTCAAGTGACCCTCCTGCCTCCGCCTCCCATGCAGCTGGGACTCCAGGCATATGTCATTGCAGCTGGTTAATACTGATAATGCTTCTGAGATTAGGATTTCGCTAAACCTGTACACCTCTGTGCTTCAAAAGCCAAAAAAGAAATATAGAAAGGATTGTTCTTATTTTAAACTGAGGAAATTATAGCATATAAACAGAAGAAAATTAGTAAAAAGCAACAGTAATAGTTGAAAAAAATAAATGATTGTTCTGATTTCCAGTCTTCTACTCAATTTATACAAAATCAAAAGCGATCACAAGCTGGCAAGCTGAGGTTCCCGAATGGAAAGCTGAAGGCAGCTCTGTAGATCTGCCTCAGTTCACACGAACACAGCTCAGCAAGAAAGGAGAAGCACCCCTGTCCTCACCTTGAGGTGGTAGAGCACAACACCTGTACTGAGCACATCATCATCCAAGGCCATCAGGTGCGGCAGGCGAGAGTCAATGACCACCCCAGCCTTCCTCCTGCTGATGTCCACACTGTAGAGTTCTATGAGGGCCTGCCACTCATGCCACTTCTGGGTCCAGTCTTTGGTCAGTCTGTCCATCTGCAGAGGCATAGGAGAGGAACTAGACATTTGGTGGGTGGAGCAGACGAGAGCTCAGAGGTCATCATGAGCTGTGTTCCCAGGGTATTACTTTTCCATGATTCTCACTGTTACTATTCAAAGCTCAGAGGCCTTCACACCTCTTGCAACTTCTAGCTCGGTTGTTAAAGTTTTCTTCAATAAACAAATGTTAACTTTTATAAACAGACAATTCCTCAATAAATGTTACTTTTGAAGTTTTCTGCAACAAGCGCATACTGTTCTAACTAGAAAAAAATTAAATATTATTTTTTAAAAATTAGTTGGTTACTTGGACATCTATGTTTTCAATTTCCCTTTCCCCATTTTATTTCTATGTGATCCAAATCTAGGATTCTCTTCATGATCTAACTCTCTGTTCCCAACATGCAATTCCTTGAATTATAAGTTCACACATGGCACAAAGATGCCCAAGGCACTGAGAAAAATCCTCCCATCAGAATGAAGACTATATGAAACTTGCCTGGACAATCATATAATAAAAAAGTATTCGATGTTTACTGTGTACTAGGAATACACTTAAATATACTGAAGCTTAGAGGCCTTCAAAGCTAAGAGCACCTGAAGGACATGAATAAACAGTGCTGAACATAAGGTCCATTTTCTTCTTTTGGGGGAACGATGACCAGGCAGGCAGCTTATTGTGGGAATGGAAGAACAGACAAGCTCAGAAAAAGAGACTGGATTCAGCTAAGTTCTCTCACAAAAGGAGTACTTCAGGAAAATATGACAAGTTTGGGTTCAGGTATTCACATATTCTAGAAACATTATTTAAATGTTGCAATTATTGAATTCTAAAAATCAGTGAAACTACAGGGTACCTGAAAAGGCCTGGTTTCTGCTTTCTACATTTCTGTTACAGGAAGACAGTATTTTCTGAATAAAAACTCAGAACATATGGCTAAACCAAGGATCTCTGTGTTTATAGTGCTAAAGTTCAGTGATGATAACAAAATGCTGCCATGGTCAGGACATTTTAATAACACATAAGAATGATACAATACTGAAAATGGAAACATTTCATTGTAGAGTCTAAATCTGGCCACTGAAGTAAGACCTGTCATTCTCCTCCTGCTAAATGCCTCTGAGAATCACCATTTAGGACCAGAAATTTAGCTCAGAAGCATAAATACCTGCCTTGCAAGCACGTGGTCGTGAATTCGATCCCTGGTTCCAATAAAAAAAAAAAAAAAAAAAAAAAAAAAAAAAAAACCCTAAGGGATATTTATCCTACTTTTCCAAAACGCTCTGTCCTCATCCTCTCTGGTCTCCTTCCTAGTGGGTCTGTGTCATCCAGTCTTTGCTCTTTCAATCCACCCTACATACAACTGCCCTATTGTTTCTTCAGTACATGCCTTTGCCATAATGTCACTAACCCGACCCAAGACGCTGGTTTCTAGGATGGCCTTGTCTCCCCTCCACGACTCGCCACTACCAGTGCCTCTCTAGCCAGCCTAATCTCCAAGCTCACACTTCCACATGGCCTCCCCTAGTTCTGTGGCTGTGCTTCACTCACTCAAAATGCCTTCCTCCTCCTTTCTAACAACTATATGAATCTCTCAAGGTCAGTTCTCTGGCTAGTTCGAGGTCAGTTTTCTGACTTTACACTCTACCATATGGTATCAGTTCTGAAAACCCAAGCTACAGTAACTTCTTTCTTGCTGAAACTTTTTCCCTCTAAATCATATGCTTCATAAAACATACTCATCTATGTAAGTATATCCCACTAGACTATAAACCATGTAAGAACAAAGATTCCTTTGCATCTCTTGCAGAATCACACTAAGCACATATCTTGGACTCAATCAATGAACACATTAGCTGACTGACTTCCTGACTGGAAAATAATTTTTCTTTCTAGGTCACTGGCACTATCCAAAGGGAGTTATTATGAACTCCTAGGAGAATAAAACAGAAAACTGGAAAGCTATTTACAGCTCCTAAGGCAAACACATCCCCCACTCAAGCCTCAAAGGAAGAAAAGAGTCAATTTTTAAACTAGATAGACCTCTCTTCCCTACCTAGGAAGAATGAATGGAAGGAGGGCTAGGGATATAGCTGACAGCGCTACTGGCACAGTGTCTGCCTGGCAAGTCCGAGGTCCTTAGTTTGATTTCCAGTACAAAAAAATGAATGAATGGAGGGAGATCAAAACTATTTCCAAGGTAAAATAAAGCACAACTAGCCCACCCAACATACTTACCTTCAATTCATTTTGGAGAACAAGTTCCTTCAGATTTTCATCCCTGTCATGTAAGGAACTAAAGTTTCTCTAAAGAAACAGAAACAGATATGTGCTGTGATGTCTTCCTGGAATGACCTACAGGCAAGTCTCACCTTTAGATTTGTAAAGAAGAATAAAGGAAAAATGCTTTACTATTAAAACAAAAAATAACTCTGGATCCTAAATCCTGTATTTGGGCTTACATTAGTGCAAAAGAGAATTCAAGCAACTGTCTACTAGTGACTTCTTGCCCATGCTGGCCACACAGAGCAAGGGGCTTTTAGGCAAGTGGCCTATGGACTAGAGATGAGACCAGGAAAGGATGCCCAAACCCACTTGAGGTTATCTAGAGATAGCAAAATAATTCCCCTCCTGTCTTAGTCCCACGAATGTCAATTGGAAATAGGGAGTGCAGTAGGATCAGATGCCATGCAGAAAAAAGAAGCTCAAGAGGAAAACTCCATTTAAATACAGAAATTTCTGGTTGCCAAATACCAGCTCGAAACTCAGCAGCATGGCTTTCAGCCTCCTGATTTCTTCCTTGAGTTCTCTGATGAGCTTCACATTTGCATCCTGAAACACAGAGAAGTCAGTCACTGAGGATTGACTGAGGTCTCAACCAGCTGTGAAATGCTACACGCAATTAGCTTGGAAGATGTGGATTACTTCTTCAGAATAAGTTCTGCAGCTCTTGTTCTCGAAGTATCATCTCAGGACCAGGGATACTAACTTCATCTGAAAATCTGTAGAAATGCAAATTCTGGGCCTGGGATTAGCTTAGTAGCACAATGCCTGCCTGGCAGGCACAGGGTTATGAGTTGGATCTTGTTACAAAAAAAAAGAAAGGAAAGGAAAAGAAAAGAAAGGAAAGGAAAGGAAAGGAAAGGCAAGGCAAGGCAAGGCAAGAGGAAATTTTGACCTTACCCAGACCTATGAGATCAACAATTCCAATGGGCTGGAGTTTTAATGAACTCTCCAGGTGGTTCTTGCATGCACACTAAGGTTTGAGACTCATCACTCTCCTGAGTGGGAGGTCAGGAAGCTAGCATTAATCCCAAAGCATTATACATAGAAGGTGCTACTACTCTTCCTACATTGGGATTAAATTTACCTAACTATTGTATACAATGTAATTATATTCATTGTGCACATAGTATACAATGAGCACATGTAATGTATTAAAGGGTACTTATTGTTTAAATACAAATGTTCATATCTCATTTCTTTTTTACGTTGAATAAATGTTGATGTTCTTGTTAAAAAAAATTTACGTAACTACAATGGTGGATTTTTTTTGGGGGGGGTGGGTTGAGATAGGTTCTTGCTGATGTGGTTCTGGCTGACACTGAACTCACTATGTAGCCCAGGCTGATCACTAATTTGTGATAATCTTCCTGCTTCAGCCTCCCGAGAGTTGGGATTATACACACACACACACACACACACACTGCCACTCCTGGCATTACATTGCCTTTTAAGACAATTTCTGTATTTGTGTGATCACCAGTTGTGATACTTTGGTTGGAACTTGAAGATAAGATAAAGAACATTTAGAATATTGTAATTACTATTCAGTTGTCAAAACCAACAAACTCTCTAGTTTAAAAAGAGAAAAAAAGGGGCTGGAAATTTAGCTCAGTGGCATAAGCATCTGCCTTGCAAGTGTGTGGTCATGAGTTTGATCCCTGGTACCAATAAAAAAGAAAAAGACAAAAAAAAAAAAAAGAGAGAGAGAAAAAAAGCTATCATGATTTTCTTTACAGTAGGCCACCCTTTCTCCTGGGTAACCTTTTATTGCTTTTCTCCTTTTACTTGGCCCATGCTTGCTCAACAGAGCCAGTCTGTCCCTCACTTTTCATTTTTACTTTCTCAAATAAACTTAGCCACTGCTTTTTGCTCATTTCATTCAAAAAGAAAAGAAAGAGAATTTCTTATATTCCTTCTCTTTTAAATTTAAAACAAGAGAAGCCATTGTAATTTATACAGGAAATATGAAAAACTACAAGGCATAAATAATATTAACTGAAAACAAAAGCAGTAAACAGAAACTTCTAAAGAACCTTGCTTAGTGTGGCACTGATACACTGAAGATCTTAAGAGGAATGATTTTAAAGAAATATCTAAAATATGGGGCTGGGGATTTAGCTCATAAGCGCCTGCCTTGCAAGCAGGCAGTCGTGAGTTCAATCCCTGGTACCGATAAAAACGAAAAAGACAAAAAAAAAAAAAAAAAGAAATATCTACCCTAACCCTAACTATCCATAAAAGGTTACTAACTATAGTTTGCAGGAATATCAGAGAAGAACACAACAGCACTGAAAGAAAGATTTTCAAGTCTGACAAGTTGGGAAAAGTACAAAGAAAAATAAAATCCAGAGAAAAAAATAAGCACACTGTGTGAAGTACACCAGACCAATCTACCAATGGTCTCACCTCATTGACCCGTGGTTTGTTGATGATGTTCTTGGCACTGGATGCATATCTCAGTGTGCTCATGGTCTCAGTGTAGCTGGTGTGTGCAGGAGACACAGCTGAAGTGGAAGTTAGAAGGTAGGTCAGACCCTTCCAGTCCCACACTCCACCACTTACTTCCCTTGCTGCTACTGCCCACACTACCTGCAAGCCCCTTGAAGAAAGGGGAACATGCAAGGTCAGGCTCTTTTCTGAGGTGGAATACTCGCCCTACACAGAAGCAGTGTCAGGAGCCCGCTTACTAGCAATCATGATGGTCTTCGAGTTGCCTCCAAGGCTGTCCTTCAGCAGCCAGGTCAGCACAGAGTCCCGGTATGGGATGTAAGACTGCCTCTGGGAGGGTCCCCCATTGCTGGTGATCCCACTGTTGTCACCACTGCTATTGGCTGAGCTGCTGAGGCCCTGGCAGTTACTGAATGCTTGGGAGTTCTGGGCTTAATACATAATAAGAGTGGAAGAAAGAAGGAATTATGAAGCAAACACATTAAGACAGAACAATGGACACAGGACAGTCTGCAGGACACAGACTTAAGTGTTACACAATTTATCCCATTTTGAATGTGACAGGATGCTTCAAATGCAAGCACTGGACCAGACTTTGAATGCATGATTTGAATTGACATTTCATAGCTGTTCCCTCCTTGAAATGACAGGGTTACAATGAGGCTCAGACTGTACTCTATCAATCTAGCACAGATAAATATAAGTTTTTCATGCCTCAACCCAAAAGGTAGCCTTGTCAAAAAAGCACCTTGTATCTAGCCCACTCTGACAAAATGAAAATAATACAGGTTATTTTCCAAAGTCTCCCTCCCACCCCAATCACTGTCAATAAAGCAAATACCTAAAGTAGAGATGACAATTCCGAGAGTCACAAGGGACTTGTTGATATTGGCTCCTTCAATAATCCGGTCTTTACAGTAACTAGGGTCTGCTCTTTCACTAAAACACAATCAATAAAAACAAAAATAAGAACTACTTTTGTAATGTTTGAAAGGTATTATCCACATACAAAAAAGGATATTATCCTCATACAAAAAAGATATTACCCTCTACATCGTATTGATGTTATAAAAGACCCAGATAATAAATTCACTTTAGAATTCAGCTTTACACCAGGCATGGTGGAGCACACTTGTAATCCCAGCACTCAAAAAAGCTGAGGCAGGAGTCTGGGGCAAGCCTGGGCTACATGGTAAGTTCAAAGTCACCCTGAACTGCATAGGGAGATTCTGTCTCAAAAAACAAACAAATATCAGTGCCTACATTCCTCTTACCCATACTAAGAATCTGATTTATTTAAGATTCACATACTGGGAGCTTCAAAAGGAACCCAAGAGACTTTAATGAGCAGCTAAGACAGAGAAACCCTGATAGAGAGGATCTGCCGGCCACCAACACTCTTAACCCAGCACTCAAGCATTTGTTTTTGCTTGTAGACAGGGTCTGGCTATATAATCCATGCCAGCCTTGGATTTACTCTATAACCTAGGCTGGCACTGACCTTGGAATTGCCTGCCTTCAGATGCTGGGATTATAGGGATGCACCACTAGCCTGGTAGAATTTTTTTTTAAATTTTCTCAGGATAAAACGTTAAAAAAAAAAGACTGGATCAAGCTTATTCTGTGTAAAATAGGCAGAAACAAGGTTATTGTCAAGGGAGTAATTCTCTTCGGCTTTGAAATCTTAATTACCTGCCTGCTAGGTCCACAAGATTGATTTTGCTTACAATCTCGGAGGGAAGGTTGTTCTCCACAATTGCCTAAAGGAGAAAACACATTTAATGTAGTCATTTGCATTTTTCCACTAGATACTCTCTTAACCAAGATGATATTTTGGGTTTTTATCCAAATCGCTCAAGAAATCTATATTCTAATATGCTCTGAACCAGATGAGATCTCAGCATCTGACAGACCTAATCAGTAAGTCCTGGACCAAAATCACTAGCAGGACTTACAGGGAGAAAGCAGAGCAAATCTCCACGAAGTCCTCAGAGTGCCCATTTCAAGCACACGAAGAATTTTAGTACAATATACCAGGCAAACAAGATCCTCAAGAGGCTCATTCATCAGCAGAGAGCCACAGTATATGGGCTGGCACTGAGGTTTGTTTCTCTAGTCAACCTGGGTATAAAATTGCAAGGCTAAGAACTCTATACATCCTCTTCAGGGGCACCCAACTCCCCATAGAAAAATGACTTTATCTTTTACCCAGCATAATTTAACATAGGTGTAAAATTTCTGTTTCACAAAAATTTAATGGTATATATATCCATATCAAAATCTAGTACTGTTGATAATAAAACATCTAGCCAGGCACAGTGGTGCACACCTGTAATCCCAGTACTCAGAAGGCTGAACTACATAACAAGATCCTGTTTCAAGGGGCTGGGAATTTAGCTCAGCGGCATAAGTACCTGCCTTGCAAGCAGGCGGTCGTGAGTTCGATCCCCGGTACCGATAAAAGTGAAAAAGACCAAAAAAAAAGATCCTGTTTCAAAACAGGATCCCACATAAACAACTAAAAGGCAGAGCTCTACGCTTTTGCCAGGGCAGGTTAACGGTCAGGTGACCTGTTTGAATTGGCTTTAGCTGACCTATTTCCTCCCTAAGATAAGTCCCACCACGGGCTATAGCTTTAATCACTGTTTAAGTGCAGATAATTTAAAACCCTATGCCTGACAACCTGAAGGGAAAAAAAGAGACTGTTTAAGATTTAATTTAAGAGGAAGCAGCACCCTCCATGAGCCAGCAGCAGTCAGGACGGCCAGGAGAGAATCAGGAAACAGAAGCAGCCTCCTGGGCACCGGTAGTTGGGCTGACAGGGAGAAAATTGGGAAGCAGCACCCTCCCATGCACCTGCAAACTAAGATGATAGCAAAGTGAAGGAAGAACTTAATGCTTGCATTGTTTGATTGACTTTGCAGACCTAAAGCTGGTACTCTGAGCCTCTATTTAGAGGATAACAATATGCAACATAATAACTATTATGGATTTCCTACTGTCATGTTTTTGCCAATGTCATTCTCATTGTTTTATTTTATTTCACTTTATTATTTTATTTCTTTTAAAATAAAAAATTAATAAAAGATGTGAATGTACAAAAGCAGAGCCATCTCCATTCTTAGTTTTTTACTATTGCAGTAAATGCAGGAGACAATCAGTTGAGAACAACTGATTAAGCAGAGCTGAGGGACTAGAAATATGAGCTGAACCATCAAGGGACTCAAAGTACAAGTTGGACCATCAAGGGGTTCAACTATGTGGCTAAGGGAACTTCACTTAGACAAGTTTCACCCTTATTTCACAGAAACTAAAGGACTAGGTAACGCCAACAAGTGACTTCACCCTCGTTTCCTGATGAGTTAATGGGTCCATACGTGGAGACAAAAAGCCACTGGGAGACTTTCTTCTGCACTTAATGCCAGCATCACTCAAACACCTGTCTAGTCTGTGTGTTAGGATTTCCCACAGGGTGCTTTGCAGACCCTTGAGTCTCCTGCATCAGATGCCACTGTAAGTAGTCAAGACCTTAAGCTGTCTCCTTCTCTCTACAGGCCCCAAGCTGAGCCAATGGGGAACCTCTTGAACTTTACCATCACATACATTTTACTGACCTCACCCTTAAGTCCTACTGGGAGAGGTTTGATCTTGACAATCCAAGACAAGAACAGCTCCCTATTACTGCAATATGGTTTGGGTTCACTACAAACTGGGAGGTAGTGACAGATGAGGATGGGATGGTACTTTAACCTATGAGACTATTCTCCAATTATGGCATTTCTGCTTAAAATATACAAGGGGAATGAAATGCCTTAGGCTTTTGTAACTCTATCAAAGAGAATGTTCAGGAACTATGGTGTTTAGAGTGGTCTCTGAGGAGGAAGATATTCTGGATGACCCCGTCCCGAGACCACTACTTGTCTCTGAGGGAGACGTAGGTCCTCTGATCTATTTGATGATACCAGGAGGTCTCTTCTACTTCCTCCTATGGTCCCCAGGTCAATAAATTAGGGTCCTTTTTTAGATACAGGTATACAAGAGGCTAGGAACTATATAAATGAACAATGTGCTTGAAAAAGGGAGAGAAATCACCCTGGAAAGGTTATTTACCTTCAACAGAACCAAACTGGGAGTATAACACTAATGGGGGAGTGAGAATGATGTCTGATGTGCTAGCTGCTCTTACCAGGGAGATAGGTATGTTTGGGTCTTTTGTAAATATACTGGTATAGGTCCACCTTCCAGGGAGGGAGAAGCACTAGTAGGACATCATTTCACCTGTCACTCAGAGTAAGCTTACAAAAACTTCAGATGGGGCCACAGGCACCTATGCTGGACATGGCCTTTTCTGAGTTCAAAATTCAGGATCCAGAAAAGGAACAAAAGAGAAAAGTTATGATAGCTGTCACAACTGACAATGCTTTAAATCCATCCAGGTCATCTAGAGAAAAACCCAGGGACAACTGGGAAAAGAGTTCCTTCCTATTTCAAGTATAAGAGGACCACATTGAGCACCAGACTGCACCAGGCTCTGTATGTGAAGGAGTTAATGTACCTGACTCATGGCACTGGGCATTGACTCTCCCTGCTTCCAAAGAGGGGCTAGGCCAGCCATAACCTTCATTTTCTGCTCTGATGATTGAAGGGACCCAAGATAACTTGCAATACCCCTTTTCATGGACATCATGATCTCCAAGGAACCCTGGGTAATCTTAGATGTCATAGGTGAACCAGTTACCTTCATTCTGTTTTGACTTACTTCTCTAGAAAACCCTTATCTGGATCTATAGCCATATTGTGGAAAAGGAACTCTAAAGAGATTCTTTGCAGTTTTACTAGCAAAAGAAGCTACAAAATTAACTTTGGGTCAGAAATTAGACATCCTAACTTCCCATCAGGTCACAGTCATTCTGGAGACAAACAGCTACTTATCTTTAACAGGGAAATGGCTTACCATATTCTGAGACATGCTTGAAGTTATTAGAAAAACTTAATTACTATTAACCCTGCACCTTTCATGTCTACAGGCCCAGGAGTTAGCCATTACTGTGAATGTGTGATCTCCCAGACCTGTGCAAGCAGGCAGGACATCAGAGACCTGCCCCTTCAAAACCTTGAGGAGGCAGAGTTCACTGATGAAAGCAGCCTACCTGGTCAATCGTCTATAAAGCACAGACTGGAAATTCTATGACTCCTAAAAGCAACCCATCTTCCCAAGCAGGTCATAGTCATCCACTCTAAAGGGCACAAGAAACATGTCTGAAGTCTCCTTGGAAAATCAAAAAGCTGATAGTACAAAGGACAGTCCTACAGTCCTTCAAGGCCCTAACTTTATTCCCAATTCCTAAAGAATTCTGGTCCTTCCTCAAGGGACACAGTGACAAGCCATAAAAATCCTACATGAGAAGTGGGCTTCAATCTTTTGCAAAGGTAGAGAGAGACAACAGACGCTACACTGAGCTCTGGCAAAATTTTGCCAAGTGACATCTGAGCCCTGTCTCTGACTGCTGCCGACAGTGCTCTTAAGTTTGTAACATGCCCCAAACTTGGCTGTTGAGCCCATTTGAGATGTTATATGGCAGGGGATTTCTATTCTCTGATAAGATAGTAGACTCAGAGACTATGAAACTCTTAACAGTATCTTACTAATCTGAATCAAATATTACAGGCTAACTAAAAGTATGGGAACAGAGTCCTGTCAGTTCCTGGTCCAGGACCACTTGCTATTCGCCTTGGAGACCAAGTGCCTGTAAAAACTTGGAGAGAGGCCAGGTGTAGTGGTGTACTCCTGTAATCCTAGCACTGGGGAGGCTGAGGCAAGAGGATCACTGTGAATCTGAAGCCAACCTGGCAACTATTGAGTTCAAGGCCAGGCTGAACTACATAGTGAGACATTGTCTCAAAAAAAAAGGAAAAATAATAAATCTATTAATCTTTAAAAAGGGAGGGAATACATACTGACCAATTAAAGTCAAAATGGAAATGTCCCTTGTTAGTGAATCTTGCCACACTTCTTGCAGTAAATGTGGAAGAAATAGGTGTATCTTTGTAGAATAAAGCCAGAGCCATCTGAACTGCCTGGAGAACAAGCTCACCCAAAAGGAGAAAACTACTTCCATGAGTCTCTGGAAGACTTAAGATTTTTCTTCAAAAAGCAAGTCTCCAGTGCTTTCAAAATTATCTGTGTCTTGTCTTTAATCTGTTTGTCCCCCTAATCAGGGATAAACTTGTAGGCTGGCTCCTATACATTGTTGTGTGCTATGCTGTCATTTAGCGCGACCCTGTCTCAAAAAATAAATAAATAAATAAAATTTCTTTAGTTTTCTTTTTTTCATTTTGATTAGGTTTGGTTTGGTTTGTTTTCTTTGAGTCAGGGTCTCCCTGTGTAGTGCAGGTTGGCATTGAATTTGCTTATGCAGCCCAGGCTGCTCTCAAACTAAGAGCAATCCTCCTGTCTCAGTCTCCTGAGTGCTGCACCACGACACTACCCACTTCAACTTTTGGTCCTCCCGTTTCAACCTCACCTACTGGGACCTCACCTACTGGTCACCTAGTGGGACCACAGGCATGTGCCACTTTCTATTTGTTGGCCTATAGCTTTGTATTACTGTTAAATTACTTGCCTTAAAAATAAAATCATTTGCCTTGTCAATCAATATAGAAATTCTACCTACCCCTACAAATTATACTGATGTTGAGAGACGCAACTGTAGATGAAATGAAAACCAATTTAAAATCTGACTCAAATTTTAACCTTAAT